GTACACCTTGTAATTGACTATTTTGCCAACATTGGGCTAATAATGGAAGGTTTTAATCACAAAATTATAGATTCCATTGTTATTCCAAGCCTGGAGTATAATATTATAATGATACCAGTATGTTCCCTGTAATCTTCCAATGTTGGTATGCTGTAATAGTAATTAATTTCCCATTTTTGGATTATCATTGTTAAGGACATCATTGGAAAATCAAACATACCAATTTTATTCCCAGATTGGATTTTAAACATATCAATTTACCTACAAATTTCCAAGAAAACTCTAATGATCATTTAGTATGTGTTTCCCAAATTTACCAATGTTGGATTTATATTGGTATCATCAATATTTGCCAATAATATTCCAATAATGGTATCTTAAATTAGCTATTTACCAATGATTTTCCAGTTTGGTATCTCTATTTTTTCCTGTGTTTGCCTTATATTGAGGTGAACTAAAGGTGTAATGTGTTTGAGATAAAATTAAAATGTTGCAAAGATATTCGCAGTTGAAAATTTGACACAAATGACGTCATAACTCATAACCAAACGAAGCGATTTTAACACAACCAACACTAAAAAAGGTTTCTTACAACTGTAGTAAGCACAATATAACATAAAAACATCACTACAGGGTCCTGAAGTTGTAATAACAAGGTCCCACATCATAATGCATGGTCAAATTGCCAATAATTATTTCCCAATAATAAGATTGCCTGTGCGTAGGGTTTTAAGGGTGCCAAATAGTATAAATCACGGAGCAAAAAAAGCGTGTACTCACGGTTTGAAGGCTTGCAGAAGAAGTGACCTCATGTAGTCATCACTGAATTATATAGCATTGGTTAGATAGGATTTTGTCTAAATTGAAATGTACATTTCACTGTTACTTTGAAATTTACAGATGTCTAGACAAAAGGGTATGAATATTGAACTCTTAGTCTTTACTATGTGTAAAGGAAAACGCTTAAAAATTAATTGAAGAAGAGTATGAGCGTTTCTAAATAGGCCTACATTTTTGCTGATTTGCCTACATTTTGCTGCCCTAGAGAAAATTTCCCATAGATATCACCAGGGTAACGTGAGTTTTTTTATATGGGAGAAGAATATATGCACCGTTTAATATTTTAGACCTGTCAAATTGCACCAATAAGCGAAAAACATTAAATTAAATGAAAAAATTGATTTTTCTTGATAAGCCTACTTCCAAAGACTGAACTCAGTGAAGGATGAAAATGCACATCTTTGAATAAAAATCAATAAAAAATTCAGATTTTAGCCAAAATAGACCATTTTTGGAAGTGGACTACGTTATACAATTGTTGTTAAGGACGTGTGAAAGTTACTACACTGGAGGTTGTTAGTTTCGGCTTTTTCTCTTTCAAAGTCGTATGTTTTGAAGATAAGACGTTATTACATTTATCTACTTTGAAGTGAAATTTAAGCCGTAAGTTTAAATATTACGAAATAATTATTGCACAGAAACACCTTAAGGACGTATGGACAATACATTGTATGTTTTTCACAACGTTTTAATCAATTTAGACAAAATTATGATCAATTTCTGAGAAGTTGTCATTTTTGTTGATGAACCTACACTATTTTCATTAAGGAAGCCATAAGTCTTATTGAAAGGACGATTTCCATTAAACTTAAGTGTTATTGTATGTCTCATGATTTTTATGTTATTTAAATGAAAATAAATGATGCAAATGACATGATGTTTGTATGGTTGTTGACCTTACGCGATCAAAAAAGCTGGTTCAATGTTTGAACATTTTTAAATCAAAGACAATTTTATCGTTTTGTACCAAATTTGGACAGTGCATGGGAAATTTAATTAGAAATATGGGGAATATTTTTTCCAATACCCTTCTTTTCTTTGTGATTTATAGACTTAACCCTTACTCCAACCCTAAAAAAAAAGTGAAAGCGACTTTCCGAGCACCAGATCCTGTCCCTGGTATGAAGGTCTACTAGACTTTTTGTCAAAATTAAAAAAAATCGATCATTTTTTATCAGGGTAGTTAGTCTAATAGGTATGAGTGTTTAAAACTCCGTTTCTAGTCCCAGGGTACCGAAAGAGCAATTTTTTTCGGCTTAATCTGGCCGATTAGAGTTTTTTTGTTGATGACCCTACCTTTTTTTTTCAAAGTGAAAAAAATTCCTGGAAAGGCGGGAGGGATTCACACACCTGAGCGTAAAGAACACTAAAATATCTCGCCAATCAACGAATTAGAGGGGAAAAAAAACATTTTTGAATTTTTGGTGCATCTACGAAAATCCCAGGGTAAGCCGTAGGGACATTGTTGTTCAGGATGATAATATGACACCTATTTACAAGATGACGGCGATTTGCAGCAATGGATGATATCAGAAACATACACACTGGTCTCATTTGCTCGGTTTCTGAATTAAGGTCATTATATTCCCTTCCAAGAGGGCCAGGACCAAGTAGAAGACAGCAAAGCAATTGTAAGAGGAGAAACAAGACCATTTCAACGGAGCCGTGACGTGCACATGTTTGCGCCATGTTGGTGGGGCTGATTTCGCTCAATGCTACAATGTCTAGTGGAAATGAATTGACATTGAGCTCATTAAATGTCGAAACCATGGACTGAGTATTAAGATGCATTATTTTTAACTGGCCTGAGTTAGAGCACAACGGATGAATATCAAGTCCAGGATCAAGAGATGCGGAGAAATCGAGCGTATCATCCAACATTTCCGCGTCAGAGCACTTGTAAAAGGGCAGGGCAAATCCCAGACAGTTAATGCATAACCAGGTAGAGGAGGAGGCTATCAGGCCGGAACATTTCTGGTGGAAAGAGCCAATACAAGCTCAGCAAGTTATGCTTGCTTGATTTCTTTGTATCGTCTTCTCACAGCAATCACATTTCGTCATGTTTCGCTTGGAATTTGTTTTTTTTTTTTACTTCTGGGTGCTTGATGTCGCTGTTTGTACTGGGCCCGGATTCACAGAAATATCACCATTCAGGATTAATAGCCTTTGTGTTGCAATGGAGTTGCTGTAATAAGCAACCGGCGTTTTGTAATATCGCGGGCGCTTGTGCCTTTGATTACATCGATGAGAGCTGGACCATATAGAATCCATTGTGGCGAGGGCGAGACAGTTTGTTCCAGACCATGAACGACTATCGCTTGGGACACCGCAGTTTAACCATATGCAAATGTCGAAAGACCAATGTTCAAATATCCAAGTTCGAGCTGAGAAATATCCTTGCTTCGTATAGCCACTTGAACCAAGACCAAGCCAAGAAAATTGTACTATTGGCAAGTGCATCGACTTATAAAACACCGGAACAAATTTGAGCGCAGTAGAATGAATATTTCAAAGGAAAACAAGACATAACACGGAGACTAATCAATAGAATATGGTATTATTTGCTTTTAATTATAAATGCGATAAACAACAGATTGTCAACCTAGAAAATGTTTGTATTTTAATAACCGAAATCAAATACAACGATTTGCAGGCGAAACAGTTATTGCTGTTAAGTTGCGTTATTCATTACACAGAAATACTGATGGAAACTTATATTTAAACCACTTTACTCACTAATATTATTTATAAGGGATATTTTTTTATTAGTTAGCTCGTTTCTAAAACACAAATTTTCTTTTCACGAAAAACAGCAAATGAGAAAAATAGAACGAGTAGAGAACAACATAAATATTTAATCTTACAACTTAACTACAAAACTACCACAGTGATGTAACCATTACACTCCGCTGGACATGTTTGAAAACTATTCAGACTAATAGAGCGTTCTACGACTTACCGTCGAGCTCACTGCTGCCTTCATCAGATATTATATTTGGCAGTTTTAGTTGCCACTTCCCATCTGTTACTATAGCAAAGTTCTCGCATTTGCCCGTGGACGATTTTGCCAGGCGAAAGAGCTTCAGCGAGAAGCACCAACCCCAAATTGAAGAGCTTGCTCATTCAATCCCAAAAATTCTGTCAGATGTTTTTTTTAAATTCGAATACTCTTGTGTGTTTATCTTTGTCAACCAGAACTCGGCTACGGTGGTGTTCGATTGCGACTTCTTCGCCTTTTCGGAAAAAAACTCACTATCACTTTTATGATTCCGCTCATGGCTGACACGGCTGGACCTTATGAACAAACAATGTGGTTGAAATATTACAGCGGGAGGTTTCGTGGGCTCGAGTACCGGAAATTGTTCTGCAAAATGATTCCACGCTCTTCCGGCCAAAAAGTAAGAAGATGACAGGAAATTCTATAGTTACCTTTAATGTGGTTACTTCGTAAACTAGAAAAAATACAAAATGCTGTTTTGATCTCATCTTTCTGAAAACAAATATCGATAATGTCGGCCTATGTCCGTAGTCGGTTAATTTTTTACTGTCAGCAGTCGGTAATTTTTTTCTCGTTTTGTCGGTAGTCGGTAGTATTTTTCGCCCTTTGTCGCTAGTCGGTTAATCCCATTCACAACCTCATGTTTGTTTAGTTGTCGTTACAAGCTTAAACTAGAACCCAGACCTCACGGTATGAAAGTCCCTATAATAGTATATTTTTATCTTATTAAATATAGAGTTATTATTAAAAGTTATTAAATGTAACTTTCGTAAAGCCTCCAGCAAACTTCTTAACTTTTTGCCGAAAACCTATAAATTGTTGAGTCTGCGCTCGGGTTGCCTTCGAATACTTTCCAAGCAAACGAGGAACACGACGTTCCTTTTAGCCGGAATTCCATTCCATGGATTTCGCGAAGTAAATAGATGTTTTTATAATTTTTTAGGATCCTTCTTAAGAGATTTTTCTCAATAGAAACTGTAACGGCAATGTCAAGAACAACGGACGAGATATCTATAAATAAAGAAAATGCCCTTTTTTCCCTTTTATAACTAGCGTTACTTTGTAACGCTAAGGTAAACATTTCGCGCTCCGATGATCCACGCATCCAAGCTATTTTTGAAGCCGGTTACGTATTGCGGACGTATATTATTCAGACAGATCTCGTGACTTGAGGATCCAAAATGGCAGAATGTTGCAAGGTGGCTTTCAAGGTCTTCGCCGTTTTTTTCGTGCTTTGCTCATTCCAGAAGCTATCATTGGCATCCTACAGACTGACACGTACAGCTTACGATGAGATTTTTAAAAAGTTAGGTGTCTCTCTTGAGTCACTTCCAAATATCTCTTTCACTTTGAACGTTTCCGAGGAATGCAGGGAAACTCTGACGAATCTGCCCTCAAAGCCTGACTTTACACAATGTGAGTATGGATAGCGTGTTAAGTTTATAAAAAAGCACAACCATTGTGTCATCTTGTTTGTGCACGGTGAACTGAAAAGTTAAATTAAGCTTTCACGAGTCGCTAAGTCAAAAATACCGCTTCCTGTCGCCGATGTCACGAAAACGTGAACAAAGGCCATATCAAACTTAGGATCTAAGATGCATCCTAACTTTCTTCACTCAATGAAGCTCTTTTCTCTAAAATGATTTTTTTTTTCGTGAAGACTTGTGTGGCGTTAAGATAGATGTAAGCACTCGGAGTTTGAAGCAGAATCATGAATTAAGAATCAAAGCGATTAGATTAGAAGGAATCGTGAATTTTCGTGTTTAAAACTTGGTACTCGTGAATTAATAGATATGTTAAAATGTAACATGAAATTTGGAAAAAAGTTGCTGACAAATCATGAAGCATTGCACCAAAAAAAGACATGACTCATAAGTCTCGAGGTCAAACGAATACATGTTTACCCGTCATTTATAATCCTTTAGTGTTGATCGGCGATCGCCAAGCGATTGTTTCATTTCGTACGTCATTCTTGAGGCGACCAATTAAGAATTTAGTGCCCTCCATTTCAGGGCTACTTAATGTAATCAGAAGCAGACGAAGGTATCAGTAAAGAAATAGAAGGCAGGAAATTTGTCTCGGAATCTTCTTCTGTCATTTCATTCTCATTTTTGTTCCGGCGAAATACGCAACCAGTTGTTGCGTGACATTATTCAATTTTACTTCAATGAAGACAATGTTGATCCGCTCATTAATTTATCGTGGTCTTGATTTTACGCCGATGCCTTTAAAATGCGTCAAACATTGTTTAATTTGTTAAATCATGATTGCATTTTGGTGTTAAAAAACAAATGTTTCCAATGGCTACTCAGTAAGAAAGACATTGCTTGCGGGGACACATAATAGGGGGTCACGAATTTTTGTCTTTGTGAGATGGTCTGTCAATATGGCAAGTGCTGGAAACCAATCCATCATATCAAAGCGTCCTATGATGGAGTGGACCTTGGCAGACGAATATTATCACTTCGAAGGCTTTTCTTAGTTGTTTTTGTTGTATTACGTGACCAGAGAAACTGTGTAAAGGACACTGAACTCGAAACGTCACTTAAGGTCATCACGTCGAAAAGGATTACACAGATTGTAGTCGTAAATTTCGTTAAATCGACAAAACAAAACCAGACTAATCGATTCAAAACACGAAGCGAAGAAAAGCAAAGCCATCGAAGCGGTGAAAAAAAAACGGTAAAATTTCCGCACAGTCCCATACTATTGTAAAACAAATCTGTTTTCCCAATGGCAATGTATTGTTTTAGTCATTGTTTTCTCTATTCAAGAACTGAATGCATAATGAAGTATGGGGCTGTGCGGAAATTTTACCAAAAAAACCCCTACGACTGAAATAGTCTTCAACCAACGTAGAAATAAACCTGAACTGACGAAAAATAATCAACCGAGACACAACACACAAATGCAAAATAAAACCAAACATATTGAACGAAGAAAGAACACAATATGAGACTAATTAACAAGAACTACAAGAACGCCAAGACTAAAGCTTAGCAAAAACAAAAAACACGAACAAAGACAATGATGTAATCCTGGCGCCTAATCAGAGAATGATACCAGTAAACAGAAGTGTAAATTGATTTTTTTTTCTTTAGACCTAGATGCCCTTGGTAAACCTCAAAGTGGATTTCTATTGGGAAATTTTGGTTGGTTAGGATCCTATAGTGAATGCACAAAGACCATCAGTGATGCACACTATTGCCTAGCTTACATCTCATTAAATAAGGTGAAGTGTTTACAGATTTTTTGATCCAAGTTACTTAAGAGATGCAACTTCTGTTTGTTGTTTTTGTTGTTGTGACTGCTGAATTACACTTTCTCTCTATGAACTGAAATAGCTAAATGGACGCACATCATCAAAACTCGGAAAGAAGAAAAAGTTGCAAAGATACAACGAAAAATTCTTCAACAAAATATTTTTGCTATAATGAAGGTAGATAAGTCCCCATTCTCAAGCAGTCTATGCAGTTTGTAAATGATAATTCGAATGTTAAAAAACAAACAAACAAAAAAAACATAACTCTCCTTCCAAAGGCAATCTCCTCCTTTTCCTGGTGGAGTTGAAATTTAGTTTAGAACCCCTCTTTCATGAAGATGATGTCCAATTTTATTTTAATCTGGGAGATTTAGCCATCTGTATGCGAACCTAGAAGATTTTTTCCAACCTCATCAGCATTTTATTAGAATTCTTCTATGGTACTAATTTTTCTGATTGTTTTTTTTCCCTTTTTCACGAAGACTGTGCCCATACATTGGGGTGTCTGTGCGCCAAAACAATGCAGTGAAGAGGATGTAACGAAAGCTCTACAAGAAATCTTTACAGGTAAACACATGTTCAGTGTCGTTTCCTTCGATGAAGTTCCGCGTATAGATTTTGACTGAGTTATGTTTAAAACATGAAGTAGTGAGAGAGCAAAATACCAACTACATCCACAGCTGTAATGCTGATGTGTGATCAGTGTTTAGGTTTTACCCGGGCCAAGTGGCCACCTAAGCGAACTTATCTCGGTTTCCTTAGCATGAAGTAACTTGTGACTTGAGGTATCATTACTCTCCCCTGGATAGGATGTTAGTCCGTCGCGCGGTTACCCTCCAGCATTTTAGCAGGCTTCCCTTACGATTCGCCGGTATCCTTTTTATACTCTTCGGGGGGAGGGGCACTGTGAGAATAACGTGTCTTGGCTAAGAACACAACACATTGACCTGACCAGGTCCTGAACCAGAGTCCAGCGCACTAACCATTAGCCTTCTACATCTCTCACTTGATCAGTGTTTACATACTCTTCTTTACCCAACAAGCGATAGCCAACTACAACTAAACAATGGTGAGGATTTGTACAATCTTAAGTGAAACCAGGGTTGACACGAGCTCGTTCTTAATTGTATGAACTGCCAAGATGTGAAAAGGAATATAGAATATTTGTTTTCAGTTAGTCCTAGGAATTTGTTTGAATTTTTAAAAAATATTATTACTTCTTTGTTATTTTAAAATCATCATCAGCTGTTCATATAACAGTGTAATGAAGTTGCACAGAGAACCTAAGTACGTGTATTGATGCTGCTTGGAATGAAAAGATTAAGGCCTAAAGGGTTAATGACGTAGAAAACAAGATTAATTGAAGAAACACAGACACTCTAACGACAAAATACTCCCCTTTTCAGGTGGCAATGAGTCGGTGGTGAGCTTGGACCCTCAGCCAGTCAGTTTCATCGGAGATAAATCCCATAAGAAACCTGTTTTCTGTAATAAACCTTCGGAATACACAACGGGAGTAAAGTTAACGCTGTGAGTACATATGCTGATTATGAGACAAAGATGTTCAGTGTAACACTATTGATGACTGCCGCTTTAAAGTGTGCCTTGTTCCCAAAGAGTCACATCTTTTCAGTTAAGATAATTTATAGCGTAATACTCTGACGACTATAGCACTGCTATCAAATTTGTGCAATACTCCTGCAAATCTACCGGATGCAACATAATTCCTTTTGCTAATTATGCTTACTGCCAACTAGTAAACTAGCGCGCGCGATACGTTAAAAACTATACTCACAAGGCCATAGAAAAATTTCCCAATAGTCTGAGCTTTTGTTCTACATTTAAATTTCTCAAAATCATCGCAGAGTTATACCCCAATTTTGAGTCCTTCCAAATGTCCTAAATTTACAAATCCATGAGAGGTTTGATAACTTTATTAGACTGCTGTAATATTGTCGAACCTTTTTTTTTTTTAACACAAGACGAATTACTATTGATTTTCAATGGTTCAAGAAACTCTAACTCATACCTGACTCTGAATTTGCACGATGTCCTGTAGGTAAGTATTTTTTTTATTCTCTTCATCCTCACAGGATTTTAATTGGCTTAGTCTTGCTTCTCTGTCTGGTTGGAACCAGCTTGGACATAGCTATTGGCTTTATGAAACCACACTCCACACCTGTCAACAAAAGTGATGGCTTCATGCCGGTCAGAGGGGCCTCCATGGCAACAGACCATGATACCTTCAGTGACAGCTCAAATCTAATCCACTCTTCCACAGTTTCCTCGAGTTCAAGGCCAATTTTGTCGAGCCTTCCTCAAGAACCCGCTAAGCCAAGTAGGTATTTTGTAAATCAGTGTGCTGTGGTCGTTGAACTTTTATTGCGCTTATTCAACTGTGGATGTAGTGTATCAATTCATCCTCTGAGGGTTCTAAATGCTGCAGATATTTTTTTGAGAATTGTTTAATCTGCGGGTTGGGTTGCTTCCCAACTTGTTCAAAGTCGCCCACTCCCCCCCTCACCTTTTCGTCTCGTAGCCTAAAGAACCTTGGGATCATCGGAATTCTCTTTCCTCACCTCATGGAACCATTATGTTTGAGAGGCCAATGAAATCGCGTATAACTACTTGTTTTCAGACAAAGATCTTTTCCATTGAGAGCTGCGTTGTCTGATGCTAAATAGAAGGTTTCATAAGGTTACGAAGACCACACTTACACGACAGTTCTGGACGTTTACAAAGGATTTGTAAGGCTTGAAAAAAAAAAAAAAGCCAACGAACCAGAATGGAAATCAAATATCGAAAGGATCCTCAAAGGTGAACCTCACTGATTGAACACGCCGATGTGTCCAAACACTGAATAATGTTTCCGCGGAAGGAGAAGGAAAATTGTAGACATAAATTTTAGGAAATTCAGATGTTTTTCTTATCAGCGATTTGAAAATTTTCAGATTGATCGAGAAGAGTGTGGTCGCCTTCCGTTTGAATTTCTGTAGTGGGTTTGCAAAATGTGTTCACAGGGTGTATTTCCCCGACGAATTTACTCCGACAGTAGACCGTCTGAGAATCATACTAATGTTTATGCAGCACTAAGATATTTACAGTGCGAGTCGCTGAAATACTCAAGTCGAACCCCTTCAAACTGCAGCCTTTAAAATAGGACAAGTGGCACTCTCTATTACTTAACAAGATTTCTTTGATTTTTTGCCGTAGATTTTGTGTCGCGATTCTTGTTATGTTTTTCATGGATCCAAAATACAAATCGTATCATGGATACCAATGTCCCTCCCAGTGCCATCACATCAATTAATGGTATGAGAGTGCTAAGCATGTGGTGGGTCATCTTAGGACATCTCTTCTCCGTACAAATGATAACATCTATTAGTAAGTATTTGATTTTGCTTATATTTTGTCTTCTATAAAGATACTAATTACACTGATAGTTTCTACATTACTTTACTTTTCATTTAGTTACTAACGCTATCGGCACTATAATATTAAAGCTATTTGCACTTTAGTATCAACCCCACTTACAATTCTATTGCTACTACCACCGCTATAATATAATTTAAACCCTGACTACACTGATATTGTTCGAACGCTAAGTGACTACTAAATGCTACTGACACTACCATACTGGAGCCACAAACATGACAATACTAGCAACACTTGCAATATCATCACTTCTCACACAACTTACATTACAAGTGTTGATTGCACTAAACTATATCTGAAACGTAGTTAAAAGTTGTTTTTCTCAATCATTATTTTGATCAGTTTTTTCTCTCTCATATTAATTCTTCACCTGTTGTTCCTTTTTCTTTTTCATATCACTTGTTTTATGACGAATGTGGACAACTGGTCTCATCGAGATGTTTACGAGCGTCTTGCAACTAACCATATCAATTTTCTTATTCTGATTTGCTGTAGGTAACTTGAAGTTATTTACGAACATTATTCATCGGTTCACCTTCCAAGCAGTTGGCAATGCAACCTTTTCAGTGGACACTTTCTTTTTCCTCAGGTACGTTTTGCAGCTTTTAGTCCTGAAATCATTTTCGAGGTCATCTTAAATCCTGAATAAAATCCAATGTAAACGTATTTTTGTAAGTTTGTCTCCATATTATGTGTAATTGTGTAACGGAGGGGGGAGGGGGTCGGGGAGTTTTTTTTAAGGGGGGATCACATGGTTTTCGGAAGGAACAAAGAAGGGATCAGTCGTCATCAACAGAGTATAAAAGAAGGCACCATCAAATATTGACCGCCCATTAACTGCCAACGAAGGGGATTATAAGAATTCTACAGAGCCTACTGGGTAAATTTTATTGTGACACAACCAAAATCCTCCTTTTCCTTCCCCCATTCTTCCCCCTCTCCTCCTCCCCAGGCGGCAAGTAACGACCGGTCCTAACTCCAGACAGCTTCCTGCCAGTATCGTGATCTCCACTTTTTGCGACAGATCAGTACTAGCTCTTTATCATGTAAACTACGGTGTTATACAAGGATTTCCAGCCCTGAGAAAAGCCGTAACAACAAACGTGAAAAAAATACGATATTTTTGCACGTGTGTTTGATGTCGCCAATCAGCTGCTGACACGTCACTTGCTTTTCACGCCACTCGGTCAGGCAAAGCCTTCGCAATTCTTAATCCAAAGTTGTTTATTGGAATTTTTTCGGATTATGGCAGCTAAAACAATGTAAAATCCGTATCACTTACCGATAGTGACGTTCAAACTTTCCTAGAAGGGGAAGAAAACCAAAATACGGAAAGAAAAACCGAAAGTTATGTATTCAGTGGCATTGGTAATGGCATTTCTCGCGGCTGAAAAAGAAAATCGAAAACTGGAAGATTTGCCACAGGTCGATTTTGGCCGTGTACCTGAAAGATTTCTTCTGTCGCTAAGGACCAATTCAATGACTGAGAATTTGTATAATGTAAACTAGGCCCATTGTTTGTTTTGTAGTGATTCAACCCATGTTTTCATATTGAGTGCGCCAACGTATTTAACGATTTTTATTCGGAGACTGTCGATCCTTTCATTTTCATTCATTAATAAAGTCGACTTTTCTTGGCAGTAAAAGGCCCTTGTGTTTAGATGATAAACAAAATGATACATGGTTGCTTGTAGATATGAAATTTCTCCTCTCGTGTTCAACTAGACTTCTCACTCGTGAGCTATCGCACCCATGTATTATTCTCTACTTATCAGTGTATCTATGGTATTCAGCAGCATTTTGAAAGACACAACTGAAAGATGTTATTTTCTTGATTTTCTAGGGAAGTTTTGTAAATTGAGTGATGATCTTAACTACTTTTATTCATTTTGAAACCAGCGGCCTTTTGGTAGCTTATCTGGCACTTCGTAATATGGAAAAGAAAAATGGGGAACTTCCACTCTTCATGTATTACTTTCATCGTTTTTGGAGGTACAAGCATGGATATGATATTGTATTTCTTTCACTTCTATTCAGAGGACGGTAATATAATATTTAGAGTGTAGAAGGTACTGTACAAATTCAAGTACCTTCGTAGCCAATTCAGTTCTAGTTATGCAGTTTGACATTGCGTGTGAAGGGCTGTTGGTCAAAACAGCTTCTTAAACCTGTAATTACTCTAAATGCATTAGGGGAACTCAATTCGAATATCTCAAAGTTGTCTCTTGGGAAACACAGGCGGCTAACGCTCACGTCTCGAGAAAAAGCCAACAATTAATTCACGAAAGCGTCACGCGTTGTGTGACTCGGTGTTAAGTTGCGAGAGGAACCGTTGAACATTTGAACACGTTATAAGGAATAGTATGGGGAACAAAATATGGTCGATTTACAACAATAAATATTTCGAAATATGAACATTTTACACGTTAAATCGATAAAACTTACTCACATCCTGTGTGTCCGTCGTAGTTTCTAGCGATTTCTGTTATTCATGTCAAAAGACTTTATCCGACAAATGAATCAATCTAGAACAGGAAAAGCACGGAAAGTTGTGCGAACACGGGCCTTAAAGTTAAGGTTTGGAATAATAAATCGGCAATTTAAAAACAAACGTGTGTTACTCGTTGAAGGACTCAGCTGAATAGTTAATTAACCCTCTCGCTAGAGGACAGACCCTTCAGGCGAAAGTCGATTGTGTGACGCTTTAAAACCTCTACATTTTTGCCTTGAGGTTCTTATCTTTGTGATAATAGTATTGAACTGGAAGATATCTCGTTAAAAGTTTATTTCATCAATTCTTTACAGGTTGACTCCAACGTACATGTTCGTTTTGCTGTTTTTCGATAAAATGACACCATTCTTGGGCGAGGGTCCGATGTGGTATACATTGCAGGCGGGCAACACTTGCGACAGTTACTGGTGGACGAATCTTCTCTACATCAACAACTTTTATCCCACTAAATTTTCAATTTCGGTATGACTAATGTTCAGGATAGTAGATGTTGTGTATGTTTAAATGGAGACCTTTACTTATTATCAGCCTGGAAAAAGAACATGCCTGTTGAGGCTGAGGGACATTTGCAGAGGGCAGAATTTCAGAGTCCTGATATCCAAACTCCACTCCCACGTTTTAAGACAGATACGGAAGTGTAGCCTTTTGTGGACTGTTTATTGACAGTTTTACGTGTATGGATCCTATCACTGTTTTCTTTACAGTGTATGGGCTGGTCCTGGTACTTAGCTAATGATATGCAGTTCTATATCATCTCTCCTGCTATCCTCTTCACGGCATACAGGTATTCAGGCTAAAAATCTCGCTTCTTTAGAAATGTTAGGTATCAACCTTGCACCATCCAGACAGAACATATATATTTCATTGTGGCCTGAATTTTCATCAAAAACTTAGTGTGCACTATAGCTTCATGCGAGGAAAACTGTAAGCCTCATAATCGGTTTCAAGGTGTGTTTAGACCAATCACTAGATAATATTTTGATTTATTTTAGTCCTGAATTGAGTATGGTAACGCTCCCAACTGCTGCTTTTGCGTGGCGCTTTAGCGTTTCTGTGAGGTTCTAGTAATACACAGAATTAAACCTTTTTCGTGTCGAAAAGTATAGATCACTTTAAGGATAGTCAATAATTTCGTATAGTTTCTACTTTTGAAATCTAAAGTCCTCTTATTTTTTGTGGGATCGACTGACATGACCGCTGTATGAAGATACAACGTTGGAAACGAAAGTACAGAAATGGTACTTATATAACTGTCATTTCGTTTGTGCCAAGGACGCAAATGTATTATTGGCACAAAACAAATTATTGCTACTAAGATTTTCTCATAGAGGAATCCGTGCATTTTTCTTAACTTGCATCCTAGAGTATTTTTGTTGTTTCTAACTGTGACATATTTTTGTGATTAGATTTCGCTTGCGGGGACTGCTTCTCATTGTTGCTGCGTTGATGGGGATCAGTTTTATCACAACAGCTATCTTATATGCACATTATCATCTTGCTGCAGTTCAGTTAAGTCCTGCAGCTACTGCTGAAGCGTAAGTCATTCTTACTTACCCTTATGTAAAATGTGCAAAAGTAAATTGCAAATCCATATTGAGAGAAGAGGCAGCGTGCTGGTTACTGTGATGAACGCCGGATCGAAATATCAGGGTTTAAATCGTTGAGAAGGTTTTTGGGCGTGGCATTTTAATCTCACGGAAACTGTTTTCACCGGGCCCAGTTGTTCGAGGTAGTTGGTGCTAAATCAGAATTTAGAGATAAACTTGATTTTGATCTCTTTTCCATGAAACTGTGCATGATTCTAGAGTTTTGAGAGGTTTTCGAGGCAAAAGTGTACCCCCTGTATAAGCAGGAAAATTTTCGGCAAAGCTCTCAGAGCTAAATGAAAAATCTGTCCTTGCACCGAGCTAGCGAACTTGTGATTCGAACAAGCTAACCAAGGAATGGGAATCGCTGCCGAAAGACAGCCAAGAAACTTGTCACGTAAATTGTAAATCTTAAAACCTCTCCCTACTGGAACAAAGGGCCTACACTGAACTTAGCATTGGAGATTAACAACACGCCACGATAGTTGTGTGAACTTGCAGGTTTATTGCTGGAAAACAGATAAAGCGCGTCTATCACAAGCCAAAACATTCGATTTAATCAAAGAGGCTGACCTTTACAGCAAAAGCCCTAATTATTAAATCGCTTATGTGTTTCTTGTTCATCATTTTGTTGTAGAGCGGCTGGTATTGATTCTTCGTCCCTCACATATGTCAAGCCCTACTGTCGAATTGCACCATATCTTGTTGGTATGGTGTTGGGTTACCTACTTGTTCACGCAAAGAATTGGAAGCTTCCCTCAAAGGTACTATGTTGTATTTTGATGCCTATCCTTTTCGTTGCTTGGTGTTTATTGCCGTTGAATGTCGTGAATGATTCCGAGAGGTGCTCCCACGATTAGCTACAAGATTAACATTGTATAATTTGTTCCAATTACATTTATTTCAGATTGCTATCATTATGAATTTTTAATGAGTTAAATTTACGGATTTTTAAGTGAATCAGTTTTTATTGTGTTGCCGAGGAGAAATATTTCTGAAGATTTATCAGTTGCCTTTAATTAACGCGATCATTAGAGATCTTGTTTTCTCTTGTAAGACCAACATGCGCTTGTTGAACATGGCTGGTTGGTGTGTGGCTATTGCCCTCGCTCTGTCGACGCTTTATGGCGAATACAAAGCTTTACGAAAAGACCATCCTGAACCTTTCTCTCGCGCCGAGAATATCACATACGGGACATTTTCCCGCTTTGCGTGGAGCTTGGCCTTAGCCTGGGTGATTTTTGCTTGTCAAAACGGATTTGGTGGTAAGTTTTTGTGTTATGAGAAATCTCAGCAGTTTTACGAGGTACATTATGTGTTTTTGCATTTTGAGAATTAGGCGACTTTTGTAATCCATTTGTTTTTACTTGTCTTTGCTTGTCTGCTTTGAAGGTTTGGTGAATAAAATTTTGTCAGCTTGGTTCTGGATTCCATTAAGCCGTCTGACTTACTGTGCGTACCTTGTCCATATAATTGCCATTGTTGCACTCTATGGATCGTTCGAGACTGTGCAAGCATATTCTGATGTCCACATTGTAAGTTGTCGATTTTGTCTTGAGAAATTTATAGAAATTAAATAGAACAACAACATAGTTTACTTTCATTAATCGCGTAAACGAGCCAGTTAGTATTAGTTGGAAACGAATCTGAGCTCATTAGTGTTATCGTTTTTTAATGGAAGGGTCAAACACATCCATTTGACATTTGCTGAGTTAAAGGCTTGTGAAAAGAACTCGAGAATGATGTGGAAATCTTTTCCCCTGCTTTCTTGTGAAAAAGTTGCACTCACGAGTGTGCGTTTTGACTCAACGACAATTTAGGACTGAAGAAGAACTAAGCCGAATTTTTAACTCACGCCTTCTTCGAAGGGCGTGAGTTATTAGTGAATAGTGCGACAAACAAGAAAAATCGTCGACATTCAAACTTCTTGCCATTGCTTCAACTTCATTACAGGAATAATCTATCGCAGCCTTCGACAAAACTTGCCTCGACAGCTCTCTTGACAGGCACATGATTATGCGTAGACCAATGTTTCTAACTGTTGTGTTACTTTTCTTTACAGTCCATCTCTTTTGTTGGAGTGGTCGGTATTTCATATGCAGCCGCTTTCGTGGTGTCAGTTTGCGTGGAATTTCCCATGATGCAGTTAGAGAAGCTTATTTTTGATCGTTGATTTCTGAGGTCGTTTTCACTTGTCATATTGCGCCATACAATTAAATGCTAATTCTCGGTCTTATAGCCAGAAATTAACGAATCTCGAAATGCAGAAAAATGATAACAAACTGAACCGAAATCTTGTCATCAAACCTCATAACACAATCTTTTAAACTTTCTGAAACACCGTCCTTGTTTCCTGAGAGGTCCTCAACATTAACTTCATGGTTCGCATGTTGTTAGAAAGCGTAGTAAAATCAAGGCCACAACTCAACCTCACACATTTAGCAATTATCATCGTGCGATAGAGCTTTTATTATTTTCCTTCTCAGATAAATATCGTTGTATTTCCAAGTCAAGTGACCTTGCGTACGAAATTAAAAACAGAATTTCGAATTTTGAGGCCATTTGCGATTAAAAGCGAGATTGAGCTGCTTGATGGTGGGGGCGTTTCGAAAGACGTCCATTCTAGAGACTAACTTTTGTTACCTTGCAAGCCTTGTTAACTTTTGTATTTAACGATAAAATCTTGCACTTATTTGTCAGTGGCTTCAAAATTGTTAATTATAGTTAATCTTACCGCGACAGTTTTATGTGTTTACCAAAACAAGTTACATGGCTATGCAGAGGGCCTAATACCCATGTCTTGTACTGTTAGCTTGGTATTTCATATCTAACTTTTGTAAGTAATAAAGCATACGAGTAAGGGCTTAATGCCCCTTTTTAACCCCTGTAAACATTACTTGTAACATCGCATCGTAGGATATGAGTATTATGATGCATAATTAAGTGGACGTTTACGTTTGGTGATATAAATCAGGGCCGTTTTTTTAGTGTTTCGTGTCTTTACTTCACATTAAATGATTTATCTTGGCTTGAATTGCCTAGTCCGTAAACCCTTCTTATTCGCATTTTTTTTCGCCTATGATTGTACGTTTGTTTGTTTTTATCTTTCACTTTTTCGAAACGGAGACGCTTTGAAGACCAAAAAACTTTCATGGTTGATCTGATTTCCGTGGATTCGATTTTTGTGGAGTTCGTGCTTGATCAGCATACCACACAGTTGTACATTTTGATAAAAGTTTAACTTAATTTTGCCTTAGTGGGGCTTTCGTATGACCCTCTCACTCTTGATCAGAAGAAGGAACCTGGTGAACAGACCGTGGGATCTGCTGTGAATAAGTCTTTGACGAATCGTCGTTTGCTGGCGGGATCAATTCATGTTTCGTCAGCTCCGGTCCCTGGGTAGTTGGCACATCTCCGACGCGACCTACTCGGCGGCATCCGAATAACCGGCAATAAGCTTTCCTGTAGGAAGGATTCATGACTCCATAAATTATAGGGTTAATGGCGGAACTTGTAATACCAAATATGGTATACATGTAATAGGTTCCACGGGTTAGCTCCCATTCCGGCCCAAGAAATGCATCGACAATGTCAATCACCAGTACTGGTGTCCAGCACAGGACGAAGCCTACCACAGTAGCAAATAAAATCTTGGTGACCCTGATATCTTCCAACGAAATTACTATTTGGCGGGTGTTTCCTTTCCGAAGATTGTTTGCAACGTTTTTCTCATGGGCTTTCAACGCTTTGAACACACTCAGGTAGCATACGATGAGAATTAACATTGAGATGGCAATAAAACCGTAAAAGGGTAGCACGAGCAAAGTGAACTTCGATTCCATGAAACAAAAGAACTTTCCAGGTTGGAATACGTAATCTTTACCAGCCGCAGTGTAAGTCAAAGGTGTGATAAAGGCAGATGCCCATCCACCGAGTATGATGAGGACTGCGTTCCTTGGAGTGAAGATAACTCTGTACTGTGAGGTTTTGACAATGTGAAAATATCTGAGAAACAAAACCAAAAGGTATCAGTAGATGAACCCTTTTTGGAAAATGGTGTCAGTAACTATGAATCTGTTTCGGCAAATCACTTCTAATCAAGTGTGGTAGAGGTTTAGTCATTCATGTTATTTCTATCCAGATGAATATAGTGCAATTCTAAATTGTAATACTTATTGGACATTGTGTATTTCTGGTGGTATATAGCATCCTCCAAAAATCAGCAGACATTAAAAATTTTAATTCCGTCGACTCCCTGATATTAGGCGCAATGTAAACTGCTCGAGTCAAGGAAAGGAGTTGACAAGAAATCTCTGGTTTCGTCTCTAAACTGGAGGAGGAACCATAGATTGAATTTCAAGGAGTTACATGATAATTTAGCTTAGCAAACGCAGGCCGGTGCCTTCTTTCCAACCAATAGAACCCAGTGCTCGTGCTTTCCCGCTCTTTCATCGGCTCTGCGCCTTTCAACGCAAGGAATAAAAGGAAATTCTTTGGAGTAATTTTCTCTCAGAATTCCTATTGATTTAGGGACTTGTTTTGCACTGTCCACCCCGACTAGATGCAAAACTATTTTCAGTTAAACGTGACTTGCAATGAAAGCTTTTTTTGATGAGTTCGATTAAGTGTCCCTAAAATATTTAAGAAGAACCACAGTATCTACGCTACCGATTTTTCCGTCAGATTTGTGAGTTGTTATACATTTTAGTCAATTTTAAGACGGTCGGTTTTTCCACCTAATTTCAGCATAAACAACTCATGCAAGTCAAATCAAATGTGACCGAAAAACTCCTTAAGAAAAAAAGCGGCATCTTAAAGTTAGAGCAAATTGTTCAAATTCTGCTCATACAATTCGCTTAACTTACAAGTAACAATTCAATTAGGCTGGTAGCCTGACACCAATTTGAGGTATTTACTTTTTGGTTCCAAAAAAAAAATTTATTCATCTAATGAATTTTATTATTGCATTTCTTTGACAACGGAGAAAAAATACTCAAATGGAATTGAATCTTCCAACATTTTACCATAGATCATCATCATGACACTAAAAAAGTACGGATGAAATGAGAATGCAACGATTAATAATTCGCCAGAAATTTATGCGTGTCGCATGTTGTTCCAAAGTTTTTTTATTTATTTATTTTTATCTTGACTTGGGGAAACAAGTGGAAATAATAATTTTCCCGGTTTGGTACACCGAAAAGAAAAAAATGGATCAGAATCAAAATATTAGAATAAAGCGAATTGCAACTCTGTGAATAGGACTTCCGTGGTTTAAATAACCTCACTTTAAAGATAACGCCATTTTTTGTTTAAAAAATGTCTTCTTGAAAGAGGAAAAAGTAATAATTGGGGTGAATCCAACTGTCAAGTCAGGGTGTTCCGAATAAATGTAATGACATTGTATTTGCCAATAAAGTGTTTACAAAGGAAACCAGTAATAAAAGAATCGTGCATGGAAGGTTTCCCTTTTCCATTTAACAACCTTGGAAGTAGCAAATTGAATTTTTTTTTTCATCCATTCGCACACACGACACTTTGACTCAACTGATCCTAACAGCGGGAAGGACTATTGTCAATGCCACACAGCACAAGGACCATCATTGTTAACGACATTCATTTTTTTCTTCTTTTTTAACCCTGCATCGGCACAGCTTAATAAGAGTTTTTCCTGAAAACGATTTGCAGATCCTACCTTGCGCTATATTTTGTTTCTAGTTTCGTTCAATAAACTGAGAGGAAACAAATTATTTTGCTTCTGTGTAATAAAAGAGGGGGACGCAGAAGACAACGGTGAACAAAAAGGGAATAGTGAGGCGACGGGTTAAGTTGACCTTATAGAGCGTTGATACTTACAAAATTAAGCCGAATGATAATCTAGGTTTATATGATCTACAAGGAACTGAGCTGCACGAGTCTGATTGGCCATCGATTGTGGTGCGGAAACTAACATTAAATTTTAGGTTCGGTCTTTTGTCTAATAAGTAATTTTAAATAATGTTTCCTCTTGCTCAAGGGGGAAAACTTGAATTTACCCTGATTGTAGCTTTGCTTTACAACACCGTTTCTCGTCCTCGTCATTACAATACATGTAGCGCAATTACAATTCCCCTGACCCATTCTATCAGCGAATGGCGCTTGCGAGCCGTTGATAAACGAATGCCAAAATACGCCTGGAAAAAATATTCACTAGAGCTAAGATAAAAAAAGTAAAACAAATATTGAAAACAAAGGTTGGCACTCTTCATCAAAACAGATCTTTCTTTCCAAATCTCTACTTCATTTATCAAAATTGAATTCATTCGATTAAAACTGAATTTATCCTCTTACCTGTTTATCGCAACCAGAGCAAGTGTTCCTAACGAAGCACAGGCGACCAACATGACGATGAAACCTTGAATCTGGCAGAGTAGGTCTCCAAATAACCAGTCGCCAGTCATAAGTACTGCTATTGAAAATGGCGCGCACAAATCCAACATTATGATATCAGATATCGCCAAGGAAACAACAAAACACGCGGGAATGTTCCGGAGACGATGATTTTTGTACAAGACCAGAAGAACTGCAAAGTTACCAACAGTGCCTACAGATACAATGAACGCGTACAGGAATGATTCTCCAGCAGTGGAGGAAATCGATCGGGACAACAGTTCTTCGTGTAAAGATGTCGTAGGAGCCGCCATGATTTCAGATTGCAAGTCAACTGATCACCACGCTTAAAGGGAAATAACTACGATCCTCAATGAGATAACACTTAAAAAAAAACCTAACCGTCATTCACAAACAAACATGAAAAGAGAAAATTAACATATGACACATAAACCAATTCGTTTGCACTTAAGAAGTGTTTTCTTACAGGCAATGTTTCCCTAGGGGCAACGTCCTTCACATAATCTTTAAAAGCCCCAAAATAAAACCTCTCCAAAGCTTCAATTAACACCCACCCATATTCCATATTCTTTCACAAACAGGTGTTTTGCTTGAAAATAAGATAAATATTAGATTAACAAATGACTTTTGTTGAATTATTTCGGAGACTGACGTCTCTTTATTCCTTACTGAATCCCTTTTTAATTTTCAGGAAAAATAGAAAATGTTCAGCTGCTTTTTCGAAAGCAAATTAGCGCTAACCATGGTTAAATTTTAATCCAGGTTTTTTTTCTTTTTCCAAAGCCTCTTAGGGAACATTTTCTCTATTGTTTTTAGAACACCCAAGGGGCATATTGCAAGCATAAAGATTTGAACTGAATTTTCTTTTAAAGCTTTTAGACCTGAAATCAAATTCCACCCTAACCTTGGATTATCTTCACCCAGCTTTGAACAACCCGGGCCAGAAGGTGATATGCGCAAGAAAAGGCAGAATTTATAATTTTAATTATTAAATATTTTTGCGCTTAAACAAAATGCCGCGAACATTTCAATGAAAAACAAAGCTTAATCTGATATAAATTTTAAGTAGATCCACCAAGTCTTAATTTTGTTCTAAGGGAGTTAGTTTCTAAAGAAACTGTAGCGCTGCGTCGGTGGGAGTAATGCAAGAAGAATTTGTTTTATCAACTGCTAACGCTCGAAACGTCAGCTTTGGAAACTTTGTACATGACGGTGGCCAATATATTTATCTTGCCAACTCAGTTGACGAAACCAAATTATCTTTAAAATTTTGCAGGCACCTTACCATATATAGACCGTTACGACTCACTATACGATCCGACTCAATCCCAGCTTCAGTTTGCAAATCAAGATTGGTTATTCAACATTAATCTGTCATTTTACATTGATTAATAAGTGACGAGATTATCTGATATCGGTTTTCAAAAAAAAAAAATCCATTACCTGTCGCTTCTCTTACCCAAAGCGTAAATTGAAACACATGATCTTAGTTCTTAACTGGTCAAGTGAAAGGTGACATATTGGTCTCTTACAGTTAACAATTAAAGTCATTGTGAAAACTTGACTGAACAAAAAAACTCAGGCCTCGAAAGAAGATTGTACTTACTCCCTCGAAAAGGAGTATGTCTTATCTCATACATTGTGTGTGAATTTAGTGGCGTACTTACTACTGTAAAGCGAAACTCTTTAAAACCCTTGACTACTTAACTCTCGTAATCCCAGCGCGACTTAACGAATAAAGATGACACGGCTTAGGACCACTAATTGTCTCGTATGCAGTAGACAAGAAACAAAAGCGAGGATAGAACGAGAAATTACACATGCAAGATTTAATCATTTTCCATTAAAAGAAGCCTATCCCGGCTATTAGGTGGAACGTTTGAAAGTGAAAAAATAGCCAATCATTTTGATATACTTTAAATAAGGAAAAAAATATTGAAAGTTTATCAAGATGCTAAAAAACGTGGAGTGTTTTCGCTAATATTTCGGCAAAACCCGTGCCTTTACTAGAGTAAAAGTTCTCACTATACGAAGAAATCCATCACTAATCAAAATTGACAGGTGAAATAAATTTGCTTTGAGCCGATCTTTGTGAGTTCGAGAAAGCCCTGAAAAATATGCCCATTACATTAAACGATCTGGTCACTCATTTCACCTGAATTGAAGCTAAGAGTAAGATACAATGAAAGTGGATCACTATATTGTATAGGTGATAATACACAAATCTACAGGTGAAAAGCGAAATTTTTCGGCACGTTAGAGCACTGACCCAAAGACTTTACCTTTCAGGTCCGTTGTTCAAAAACAGTCTTTTTTCTAAATACCACACAGGTTAATAAAGCTTTTCGTGCACGCTGATTGGCTCTTTCGGAAGTGATTCGCAAGTATCATACACCTCCGCGCAGCCGAAGAGACAAAATCGCGCGTCAAAAGTTTAACTCAGACTATTTTTTCAGTTTGATGATAGAAAAAAAAAGTTTAGGTTTCTTTGTGGCATTTAAAGAAAATCTTAAGGAAAAATGGCACACAGGCACACAATGAACTGAAAATAAGCACCCAATCCTTGTTAAACGCACTGTTTCTGCTAATTTGATTGTTAACCGGAACAAAAATGTCCCCCGTCATTTAAAGATCTTTAATAGGCGAACTTATCAAGCACGAATTCACTTTGTAAGATGACACTGTTGCAACACATGTAAGACTTAAAAGTGATATCGATTGGCGATAATTAAACCGCTTTCCCCTTACTCTTTGAGCAAAAGTAGAGAAAAAAAATTATTTGCAAAAGAAAGAAATAGAAATTTAGTCATAACAGGTCTACTCAGCAGGTGTTCAAATCGATGGTTTACTCTCGCAAACAATATTTATCAGCTTTTTAGGCCGAGCCTTTGTTCTGCTCAGTTTGATAATTAAAATTTGTCATGGCAAATACAGCATGTGCTTGAAGCTTTTGCATGAGACAATATGCCCTTCCATGAAAGCTTAAAATTCAAACGCTAGTAATTAGAGAGTTACGATTTATCTCAGTGGCAAATGATTTCAGATGTCTTTTGAACTAATCAAGTAGGAATATGCCATAAAAATAAATGACTTATTTGCGAGGAAAACGCCTTAGCTTCGCCAATATATTCGTGATATTTGTTCTTAACACACACTTACAGGCAAATTTCCATAGAAATAAACGACTTATTTTACCGGCGTAGCTCTTGCTTTCGTCGATTTATTCGTGATCGATATTTATACTGAACACACAGATGCAAATTTTGAATTAATACATATAAGAAATGAGATCATCGCTGAGGGAAATAATTCCAACTGTCATTCGATCGTTGGAAAATTACAATAAATATAAAAGCCTTATTTAAAAGAAGAACTTTCGCTTCGTTATTTCATTCGCAGCAATGGTTCAAAACACTTACTGTAAGCAGCTTTTGGCGCGAAGTAAGAATCTGGAGAAATGAATTCGCCACTTAAACAGCATTTAACAACTTTGGTGTATTAATGCAGAGTTCAGATTTGTAACACGAAGATATTTGCAGTTCTTTATGGCATCTGCAACTTATCAATCATACGAAGGTAAAACACACACATAAACATTGCACTCGACCTTTTCTGACATAACGAGGGAAACGTAGACAAAAATACCTGTGGTTTCTTCAAATGTGAAAAGGTTTTCTGTTTGGTCGTCTAGAACCTTAGCAATCTCGTGGAGACTCAAAGCATCTGCTTTCCATTTTAGTACCCTCCTGCCTTTAACTTATCCTAAAATTGCTGAGGTGATTAAACAGAAGCGTGCGATCTGATTGGCTGACGGAACGTCATATCTTGCTAATATCACTTCACATGGGGTGATTTTAATAATGAGTAGAAGCACCTTTCTTTGAAACACGCAAAACAGTCTAACGGTTGGCTTCGACCATTATCTTGCCATTTTTCATCTCATACTGTGAGATTTCTCACAGACATGACGACCTCGTGATTCTAAATGTTTCCGAGGAAAACGTTTTGATAATCTCCAAGGCCCGTGAATTTCGTTGCTTGCTGAATTTTGTTATCAATACAATAACGTCCTTATTTGCTTTATAAATGACAGGAGACTATTAATTACGCTTCGATTTACTTATGTTGCGAAATAAAAGCACGTACAATGAGGTCATCTATTACCAAACCTATGAGAAAAGAGGGTAAATGCAGAAAGGGAAATGAGATAGTTGTCAAGGATCTTATAGTTGCTAAATGGCCCTGTGTACTAACCGCAGTTCAAAGGCAAGAATTCTTTGCTCGCGCTTTTAGGCTAGAGGCTTAATAATGAGGCATCACCTGTACTAGACCCAGTCTTCATGAACCCGAACACGGTTCACTTGATTCAGTAGCGAGAAAACGTGTTAGGTTACTGAGAGCCAATTGGTTAATCATTTGACATGATTAAAACACACCGTGTCTCGTTACACTCATAACCGTGAGACAGGCCAGCTATGGGAAGAAATTATTAGTCAATTTCTATACTAGGGAGGATGTTTTAATTGGTTTGTTGCGACTTACAGAATAACTATTCTAAACCCTTTAAAATTAATGGCTTCTTAAGGTATAAAAGGCAACAGAACTTGAGGACAATCCGTAAAGGAACCAGGATGACTGAGGATACAGAATGGTTAACCATTAGTCACCGTAGTGGAGGAAAATATCTCCCATTTTCACTGACACTGAGGTGAATGAAATAATGTTTTAGTATACGCCACACTGAAACCAAAATATTAGTTTATTTCTGTAAATACACCGAAAAATGCTCGGAAATCAAACTCTTGACGGGCGAGTTTGTCTCTTCGGCTACTCAGTGGTGAATTATACACTCTTCTGAAATCGCCAATCGGCGTGCACGAAAAGAACTATGGGGTATATACAAATAAAACTGGTTACAAACAACGCACTTACGAGGTAAGGTCAAGTTTAAGTTCGAGCCAAGAGCTACACAAAGCGCTGGGATCAATCCAAGTCCCCGTGAGGCAAAAGACGAAGGTCCCACGGATTTGACACGCAACACTTTGTAAGAACAAAACAACAAGAATATGTTCTGGGCCCAGTCAAGAGTAATTTTAGCCCAAGAACATAAACTGTGTTACCATTACATCAGAGGATAAAATCCTCTCCAACAATTCTTATTACTTTGTTGAGCTTGAGAAAATAAAATACGGAAAAAAATAATCACCACAATGCCAATATACAGCATAACAACAATTTACCGCTCGTGTCTTGGACACTAAGCGGGACATAGTTGACTCTCTTTCCAGCATTCAACTATATTCGATTCGCTCATGGGTCTTCAACATGATAATCTCTCAGTAGCAGACGCTGATATCTACTTTCGTTCGAGCTTTATTCTTGTAACTGATTGCGAAATAGTACAGGATCTAGATTAACATAAACCTTGACTGTTACGAACAAAATCGAGGAAAGGCAGCTTCGAGGGTAAACAACACCCGCTCGTTCGATGAAATTCTATTTATTCTTATTATTTGACTGTTCAAGAGCAAACTAAAGGCAACCACTGGGGTTAACTGATTAAGATCCTCACATAAGATTTCGCATCAACCAGCAACAGTGTTAGATCCTTTATGTTTTCCATACGTCAGCTCCACGTGTCTTCTTCACTGCCTTGAACCCTTTGCTAAACGGAAGTACCTGATGCTTTTTAATCGTTTGCAGTGCACCAGCGGTGTTCCCTATAGAGACAACAAAACGGTGCATTCAGCCGCGCGCTCTTTGAGGTATTCCGAGGAGTCTGGGGCTGCTCTTTGAAACTCAAGAAGTGATAGCCGATCACAGTTACTACAATCAATTTGAACGGTTTCGTCATTTCTCTCAAGAGCACTAATTTTATCGAAGCAATAACGATTCCCGTCACCGTCAGTCAATTGGCCATACGAAGCTCGCAAGTTAGCGCAACTCTTACTGACTTACCTACATCAGTATATTACTTTAATTTAACAGAAGCGTAAGCCAGATGTAAAGGCTTTAAAGTTTTTTTATTTCTTTGCGACTTCCCGATGTGTTGTGCATCCTGATAAGGATGCAAACGTATCTGAAAGAGCGCTGCGGTCGGCTTGAAAATATTGACAATAGAAAGTAAAGAAAACACACACTCACCGCTTTGAAGCTCTATGTACACGGCCAATAAAACAACGCGTGCAGAGAAGTCTTTAGAATAACCGAGAGAACAAGCCTACAGAAGAAACAAAGCTGTGGTGATCCTCGAGATTTTCAACAAAATAACAATGAAAGGACAAAAAATCAACCACTTTGCCTAAGGTTTAAGATGAACTTACGTTTTTGCCTGAGGAGAGGCGGGACGGGGGAAACTAAGGGACAAGGTGAGAGGGAGGGAGGGGGGTGGAGAGAGGAAGATAAGGTGTAGACCTCCCTGTCCACAACCACATAACTGGACACACAACCAGCTTGAAAAACTCACAAGGATTTGCGTCTTTTTCTCTTCTCTCCCAGGTTCTCCTTACACTCAAGGCACAATGAATACGACGTATCTAGACATCACAGCTCACGAAGACCAAGTTATTCCCTTTTTAGGTTTCTCGTTTCGTATACAATACTAAGCATTTCCATGAGCTTAAACAGTTGAGGCTGACTGCCATATGTGACTTACTGAAAGGCTATAATGCTTCATCTTTTTGGCACAGACTTGCATGTGAAACTAACTTGTTGCACTCGACGCCTTTGAGTGTATTCATCTTTAATGCTTGGCTACCTTTTGTTAAGGGAACTCTTGGTAAAACTTTGTTTTATAGTTTGTATGAATTACCTGTTGTAAGCACTTCCGTGCCTTATCAAACTCGCTCCGTAAACTGTACACCCCGGCTAGATTAACAAGGAACGAGGAACGGGCTTCATTTAATGTCTCTGGAAAAGTCATCTTCTCACAGGCTGTTGAATAAACAGACGAGGAAAGGTAAAATTATTTGAAGGCCTAAAATGAAAAAATGACGCCAAAGGAGTTTGAACAAACTAAGCGAGCGCGCGCGAGCTAAAATATCCTAGCTAATAGTATCCTCGTTTAGCCCGCTTTCACTCCACGACCTCACTCTCAAAGTACCTTCATCCAACCAAAAATTTATATGGGTACTACTGGAATGTCAAGGAAACTAAACCATTCACTGAGTGGTAACCAGCAAATAGAATTGCATCTCAGTGAACTTAATAGTTGGGGCTAACTGTCATATATGACTTACTGAAGAAGACGCAATATTCCCCTTTGCTTCATCCCCCTATTAACCATCAGTGACAAGATATTAGGGCCTGGTTGTTCAAAGGGCGAGTAACACTATCTAACGCAGAAATGGCTGTCCAGTTACTGCCAAAAACGTGCTGCGCTATCTGTTAGATAGAGATTTATCTAATGGAGAACGTCATCCACCCCTCGAACATCCGGGGTCAGGCCGATAACTGATAGTAGTAATCGCAGGTATTTATTTTCTTACCGCGAGGCTTAGTCGTTTCCTTTTCCTTATCAACATTCTCCCCTGATCCAACTGCGAAAGAAAATGGAAATATGACGGCCGAAAAACATGGCAAACAACACAAATTTCAGTAAAATAAAACTGAATACCATGGAAAAAATATGGAACACTCGGATCAATGTCAGTACCTAAGCAACTGCGCACGTACCCCTCCCCTAACCCAACAATAGTCAACTGATAACAAGTTAAGGTTAATGTTGGGTAAGGAGGGGGGGGGGGAGAGAAATAGATCTGCAGTTGCTAATACACTCACATTGATCCCGAAACTCCTCCAAAGTACAACCAAACTTTGTATATCAAGTGATGAGGCAAAATACCTTCCGCAGTAGTACTGGCCGGGATGATGTTAATGTTGTTGATATTATCAGGTGACAAATGCATTATAGCTTCCGGTAAACGATTCAGTTTGATCAGAGCTTCGGCAGCGTACAAATGGCCGAGAAACCTTTAATAAGGGAGAAGACAATCAAACAAATAGCATCTTTAATTAATGAAGATCTAGGTAAAAGGAAAGAAAATCTTCCTGTGATGGTTATCATAATAACTATGTTACATTTCCACTTACTTGAGTGCTCCTACAAGATTGGATTTTGAGAGAAGTTTCTGCGCATGTACTAAGGCCATCACATTGTCACCCAGTCCCAGCGCGACATAAGCACTGCACGCTAGAATGGAGCACCTGTAATGACACGAAACAGTATCAATCAAGCACCTGTTGGAACCCAATCGATATCGGGCATTCGTATTCCGTCCACAACTTGTTAAAAACATGTATAATAAGAATTCTAAACATGCGACTCCATTAGCAACCGCTGTTCGGGAAATGAGCCAAAGCTCTGGAGCGGTATTGGAGCCTACCCAAACAGGAATAACATAGATAAAGGAATACCTATAAGTTTATTTCGATCATCTTTTGCCAGTAATAAGAACATTCCCCGGAACATAACACTGTCTTACTCTTTTTTATATTTTACAGATCAATTCCCAAGCAAAATATGCTCAAGTTAAAACTCCTGTTTTGGCGTCTAAACCCAATGACAGACACGGACTGCTTCATGCTGCTGCTAATGTGCACACTTACCTCAAGTGTGGAAGCTCACGAAGTTTTACCGGTGGCCCGGGGGGAGCTGGGATACTTGTCTCACTCTGAAGTGAGGAGGACCGACTCAAGCCACCACTGTCACTGCAACATGACACAATTATGTAAATACAAATATTTGAACTGATTCGCAAGGCAGTAAACATGACGGTAACAAAAACTGTTCCCAAAGTATCATGGCAGAGGTATTGGCAAAAGGACATATGTCTTTCAGTCTTGTCACGAACTTGGGACGATATAAAATTAGAGTCCCCATGATGAATCGAACCTCAGACCATTGAATTCTGCTCACCGATGCTCCACCACTGAGCCACAGAGACCCTGCAGTGAGCTGATTCACCACTAAGTCTATATGTGACACAAGTCCTACATACCTTGAAGCGTCCGTTTCCTGGCCAAGTGAATCCTCCTCTTTTACTGCCTGATTCTCCAGCGCACTCTCTGATTCATGGACTTGTGTCACCTCCGTATTTTTTAACAGCATCAGAGCATTTTGAAGACACAAAGACGCAAATGCTAGAGTACAGGCTGGCATTGCAGCAGACTGACCTCTGTTTTCTCTGTAAAGGAAATGCAACATGGATGGCAATGTTTGTTCCTGCACCTTGCCTGATTTGTTTACATGCAGTTTTCACGAAGAATGAGGTCAAAGGAGGTGAATGATGGCTAAGTTGTTTCGATGCCCCAACCGTTAAGTGGCTCCTTTGACATCTACTGTTTTAAAATTCAAGAAGAGAAAGAGGGTTCTTCTTTCCTAGTTTTCAAACTAGAAAAAAAAAACTAAAATCTTCGTCATAATTCTTGAAACATTCCCCCTTGTCAATTTTTGTAAAAGAAGAAATTGGATGGCTCAAAAAATAGATTAACACTTATCTTTGAGAAGGGAGTGGAGTGTTTAAGTAAATTAGAATAGAGATGTGGACTAAAATAAACTAAACTGCTACTGTTTCACTTACTCAGTACCGCACTGTTTGTCAGTTTGAGGGGTAAGGACGATCTTACGGTGAGGACCTGAACCCACAACATCCTGAACAACATCGCTCTTCTTGATGCACTGTTGTCTAAAGTCGTCCGACTGTGCAATGAGAAAAAAATAAATCAAAGAATAAATATATATATATATATATATGTATATATGTATATGTATATAGCACTGTTCCACCCTACGGGTCTTAAACTTAAATTAAAATTTATAAGGTCGAAAATGATGGTAAACTGTGTTCAATTAGTCATCATTATCCCATGGCACCTTGGAAAAAAGATAGATGTTAACTTGTGTAAAAAAAAAACAAACAAACAAACAACCAAAAAGATAAATACAGAAAGGGGTGCGATGCAAGGAAATTTCGAGCTCATTCTCTCTGGGACAAGTGCGTTCAGTTGCCTTTAAAACACTAACTTTAAGCCTCTAACCATTTTGTAAGCTCTGCCATGAGAACGCGACTAACTCCTGAAAGATAGCACCAGCGGCTGAATACAATTCCCTATCCAAAAAGCGGTTTAAAATTAAAATATTATTTCTTATCCAAATGACGGAGTAAATATATGAAGTCTTGGGCTGGTGGTAACAAAATATGTAACCTACCAACTGGAAGGCTACAATACAGCACTCAGCAAGTCGAAGCCACAGTCGAGGATTTGTGTGGTATATTTGTACAGCTTCAACCAGGCAATCAAAAGCAACAACGGGTCGGCCAGAAAACAGCAGTTGAATTCCCAAATTATAGAGGATCTCGTGACGGCGGCTAACACCAAGGGTCACTAAGGTGCGGCTGGAGACAGGGGCATCTACAGAGGTAATAGTTTTATACGAACAATGTTCACGTACATTTCCTGCCTATAAACTATCCATCCTCTCCAGCGATCCCCCCACCCCCCCCCCATACAGCAGCACCGATCATTCAGAAGAAATTGGCTTCTACGTTCCAATAAAAACCTCGTTAAAATAGTATTCTTTACAAAAATACCAAACTATGTATACGACTTTTTGACTGACAAAGAAAGGTGACTGAACTGTTTACACTACAACAGTATATTCGATTACCGTAAAAACCACTTCACCCTGACTTATAACAAGGAAATAAACACGGAAAAATAAACATACTTTTGTCAACAGGAGGAAGCGCGGAAAGGGCTTTGTTATTTTCCTGTAAAGACTTTCTGAAGTAGAGTGCAGCCAAGTTGTACTTGTGCATTTGGAAGTGAATACATCCCAAGTTGTTGTAATACATTGTGCTCACTGACTGGCCTCGATCCGTCAGATCGTTCGGTTTAGGAGCACTATTGAGCAGCTTGATGGATTTCCGAAAATTCTGACGCAGGAATTCAAAGTTGCTTTTGAGGAAAAGTCCTTCAGGTGTCTACGGAAAGAATGTTGTCGTTGTGAACTCTATTAAATGCAGGAGGTTGTATATTTTGTTTAGTGCAAGGTACAATGTATGACTCTGACCCACCTAACCACCGAATCAGCCTGATCATATTCCTTCAAGCATTTTCGTACTCAATAGATTCGTCTACGAGCGTGACAGATTAATCATCGGCCGATACTGAGGAATATCGTTGTAATATTCCCCAAGAGATATTCTCCAATTATCAAAACTTTGGTACGACACGATGATAGGCGATTCTGCACTATCATAACGGCCAAGTAATAAAAGGGGTACCCCACCTAGTGCATAAATCGCAAGAAATGAAAAGTTGATTCACATTTGTGACAATCTTTCAGGCTCTATCATGCCGTTCTCCTTCCTTTGCAAGGCTGTTTTAGTAGATGCGCAATGAGAACCGAAAGTGCTTACCATATTGTTCGCGTTAAGTACTGTCTTTATTTCGCGTTTGCAGGCTTTCATTGATTTTAGCAGGATATTCAGACGAGCTTTATGCTGCAAGAAAAATCATAATTTAACTTTTGAGTGAATGAACAAGTGGAATCAGACATACTTTCAATCCTTCAGTCTGTGTGATACGTTTTGGTACCTGATGTATGTGCAGTTTTAATGACTCGTCAACTTCCTTAATGGGTTGTGGTCCGGTTTGACTTCCAGGTCCAAGTTGAACTTGCAAACCACCTTGAATCATTTGAGACTTAAACAAAAATGAACAGCACATTGAGGATGATGTCTATGAATGTAATATTTTGCTAATTGTGACTAACAGCCAACTGTCTGCGGGTCGGAACATCCTACAATGCATAGAGAACCTTTATTTTGGTACGCAAACTTACCGACAGATCTCCCACAGATAACTGACTGTCGGTCATAGTCAGCCGACAGAGTTTTTAGTGAGTTGTTTTTCACAGTTACCGAATATAAGTACACTTTTAACGTAATGTCTAATCCTACGTTTTATTTAACAAAACAACAACGCAACATGACTAAGGACAATTCAGTTTATTCGCAAAAATGGGAATACTGAAAATTGTGATCCAAAAAATGAAGTAATTGTAGTGTATCGTTATGAATTCTATTCACTATAGATCTCTTCATTCTTTTTTATTCTAGTTATAGAAAATTTTTCAAACATACCTGATGGCATCTAAGCAAATTTTGCACCTTACCATTTATCACCTCTGACATAAAGTGCAGAATTAAAGTAGAAATAGTACTTCTAAACTGTGCGAGCGAAAACAACTACACGCACCCTATGATAAATGGGAATAAGTTTCTAAAGAAACTTTGGTGCTGCGTCCGTGGGAGAGTATAACAGGGTAATTTAATATTATCAACTGAGTTGATAACGTAAGTTAGCCACCGTAAAGAATTTCAAAGCGTTTCGAGCATTAGCCCTCTGTCATTTGCTCTGACGAAGGACAAACACTCGAAACGTCGGCTTTGGAACTCTTTACGGTGGCCAATTTTCGTAATCAACTCAGTTGATAATACCAAACTATCCAACATACAACATACAACATACATGTATGACAGCTTTAGTTATCATTTACACAGGTTGTACCTCAACTGGTTTATTTGAACCAAACACCACAGCTTCCAACACTGACAGAACATTGTGAGCTTTATCAGCCTAATAAAATAATAAATATGAAAGAAAATTTTCGTTTAAAGAATTAACTATAATGTTATCACCTACTGCCGTAGATGAAAACATGTAAAATATTGAAATTTTTCAGATTCACATAATTTGGAAATGAAATCTTAAGCCTTCTAGGGTTGTTTGTGCAACATCTACCATTCATCTCACTGTTTACCTCTTGTAGTACCTCTGCATATCTCCTTAGTTTTTTCTCTCGTGAATCTTACATTTTTCAGCCTTTCATACCCTTACATAAGTATTTATACTTTCCACACTGTTTTTTTTACATTTCCTATGTAGCTCTAACAGGGATAATTTGTTTGACAATCAGGAGCTTCTTAACCCTTTACCCTTTTAACTCCTGTTAGTGACCAAGACAGAATTTCTCCATACAATATTTATACAATATCATGTAAACAAGTGATGAGAATTACGAAAAGTATTAGTAATGGGATCACTAATTGATCCAGTACCAAATTCTCCAAACAAACATAATGATACTTGTTTGGCAGACAGTAAGGAGAATTACAAGTGAGATCTTGGGAGTTAAAGGGTTAAACCCTACGAGTGACTTGTATCAAATTTCTCCTTACAATATCACCCCTGAATCACAATGTTAAGATCATGAGAATAAAGGAAATGATCACCAACGAAAGAAGCTTTTGATTGGTAAACAAATTCTCCTTGTCAGTACCTAAGGAAATATATAAAGAGCTGTATAGAGAATATACATACTGATTTTAGGGTGTAAAGGGTTAAATTGATGATCATTGTCTTTATTCTCATAACTTTTATATTTGATTCAATGGTGATTCTGTGAGAAAGAGTCAGAGGCAAATTACTCTTAGAGATTAAATAACTGCAATGCTGAGGGAGTGGGCCTGGCAAACTTTGTCTTGGTGATAAAGTATTTTTTTTCTCTTTGGCTGTACATGTACAATGTTGGTTTGTATACAACTGTACATGTAAAGATATCATGACATATCTTAATGGAACAAGTATCACAAAATAGCTAAAAAATGATCTCTACCTCCCTTTCTCTTGAGAAAGGTAAGCTTTCAGGCATGAAAGAAAGCTACATGTAACAGATGAATCAAGCCCCTACCAGAAAACTAACCTTTAACAGCATGAGAACTACATTATTACAATCAAGACATATTACCTTGTAGAGTGTCAAGTAAATTTCACTGAGCAGGAAGCAAATTTTGTATCCAAGAGATTCCTCTGTGGAACAAGAAATACCAAAATACTGTAATGGAAACATCAGATTTTCCATGTAACCTGTTTACTAGCAAGATCTACAATGTACATGTAAATGCAAACACCCACAATGTTTCCCACACATTTCCTATAATTTTAGCTCTGACAGTTTGTTGTCAAACCAAACAATGTTCCAATTTGCAACTTGTATCTTTCTCTTCTCATCACCTTCTGCTTGAGAAAGTATTGATCTTGTAAGAAGAAATTCCTTTTTGATCACTTCTGGGAGTGAAAAGATTAGTCAAAACAAAAAATTATGCTATGTTATCTAAGCATCAAATCCCAAAGGAACATATAACTTCTGAGTTAATTCTATTACATGTTGACTTTTGCATAACATTTACTGATTTAAAATGCAACAATTGTAATTGCAATCAATATATTCACCAGTGAAATAGTTTAGATACAAATTTTAAATACCTAGGGGTTCAACAATCTTAAACAGCCTCTCAAGAATTTGCAATGCTTTTGTGTACTGTCGTAACTGAAACAAGATAAATTCACAAATTAATTGTTTACTCTCAATAAAGACAGAAAATATTCTGATCAACAGTTGGCTCATATATTCCTTCACCTTACATACAAAAATACTCTCTTTGCTTAAAGTTGGCTTACTTTGAATCCAAGCTTAAAAAAAGAAAGTACAGTATTAGCTCTGCAGACTCACATTAAAGTAAATAACAGACTCGTTGTATAACAGGTGAGCTGTGTCAATGTCATCTAACTCTTCTCCAGTTTCACCACTCTCTTTCTCGATCTAGAAAATTAAAATCATTAACATATACAATAAATACAGCTGTAGAAAATTCAGCCTCCTTGACACCCCACCCCCTTTCCCCTGTTAGGATTTATTATTTTTGTAACATTTTTGTAATTACATCAATCAAGATGATATGATCTAAGCTTGGTTTCAATGATTATAAGAGTCTGAAGTAATATTTCTTGGCTATAAGATATGGTTTCAGATATTGCATGTACTTGTGGAAAATTATAAAGACATAAACATAGTGGAAATTTGAACTCTTAAGGCTGGTTTTCATTTCAGAGTTGCAGCTGTAACCAGAATCAAAGAGGATACAATCTAGTGAAAATCAAACTGAAAAAATTGGAAGAAAAATGTTGATGCCACTTATGACTTTGTCACTTAGCAACCAGTGAAAACTGGTATGTAGGAGTTGTAAGTCATTGAATAGCCTAAGAACTCCCAATGTGATTGGCTGAATCTGCCACTTCTGCTTGGGGCTTGGATATTCTTGTTTTCACTGGATCATAAGTGTTACAGTCATAAGTAGAATCAGAAGAAAATGAAAATGATCTGATACTTCCAACTCCTATTCCATCCAGCTTTTAAGCATGATTTTCAATTTTCACCAGATTGGAGGTTCTCTTATGACTCCAACTTGGACTTAAACTCCATTGCCAGAGAAAATCAGCTTTTAGTTACACATGTATTATATATAATGCCAACAAATTAAGTACAAGTACTTTGCACAGTTTGAAATAAACAAAAAAATAACCATAAACACCATAGATAACCCTTACATCTTGATCACTGGGGACTTCAAGAACTCATGCAATACTCACTTGTCTTCTTATCTGTAGTAAGTTAAAGGCAAATTCCTCACTTCCTCTGCAGCTTGAGTGGTAAAATTGTGCCACTAGTTTGTTATGCTGAACCTTTGGATCATTTTTCCTTAACTCTGCAAGCTTGTTTAATGACATCAAACATCTGAAAACAAAAGCAAAACTTATTTCTTCATATGGCATAAAACAAGGGTTGTGACATTAAAACATGCATACAATTGCAGTCGACTTTGGATTCATAAATAGATTCTATACTTTACACACACAAAAAACATTCAAAATTCAATGCAGATGATTGCATAGAATTAAGTCTTGAGTTACTTTGATGCCACATTAACTTCTTCCTCTGTTTCACAAGATGATACAGGATAATTTTGAAGAAGGATTTAACAGTCTGTCAGAGGTAATGTAGGCCTTTTCTTTTCTCCATGCACCCCTTAAATTCCTGTGCATCTGAAGAAAACTTTCAAAGGGGTCCTATATCTTGCCTTCCACACAGAATATATTGTCCATACCTCTTTAACATGAGCTTTGCATAAACCATTGAAACCAAGATTTATTTTCACCTCACCTTTTAATATATTTCATACCTGTCATATTGTTTACTTTCAAATTCAACATGAGCATTGTTTGCAAGTTCCCTCTCAGCATCTGTCACACCAACTCTGGGAACAGGCTCCAGTAGACTGTCTATTGTGTTATCCAATGGCACCTCTGACATCTTTTTTAAGAGAGTGATATCAAAAATTGTATGAAATGCAGTGGGACTTGACATTTACAGAAATTGGGCAAGCATTATTACACTGCAATGTGGAGCCAGACAACATTATTTCATAGAAATTTCAAAGAAGCACATGAACAGCAACTGTGAGGTGAGTCAAAACTTTTTACGATCATCTTAGAAAGGTGATTCGTCCCAATCCAGGGGAAAAATTTGGAACAAAATTTGTCAGGCAAAATGAATTTGTGCAGTAAAATATGATTCCAATTATTGGATATCATTTAGCTTATTCAAATTCAAATTTAAGCGTTTGGTTACAAACAATTATTAGACCTCAAAAGTCATGTCACCAAATCAAGAGGGAGATATTTGCAAAATACACTGTACTTCAAGTGACGTTACCATAGTTAGGCTAACCCAAGCGAATCAGCATCGAATCATAGTGCAACCTGAAGAACTGATAATTTAGCCATACATCAACTTTTGCGTGAAAAATGATATTTTCGAAGCTGACCCATGAGGTAATCGACAAGGAATCGGTAGAGGTAATCAATCGGACCAGAGATCAATTTCTTATCGCACGAACTATGTCGATAAAATTTTACTGAGCTCAACAGCTTATTAGACTTTAGCTCAGTCGGAAGATCTTCATACAGATTTATAGCCTACCTTTATGACAGCAATCTCCGATCAATTTGAATCCAATAACTAACCAAGTACCCGTAGCTCAAACGTGTGGTGACTAATGGTGACTAAAGCGGCCAGTAAAGGCTCATGAGTTAAGAATCTTTTAGGTCAGCGGCGCGTTAGAAAATGGTGGGATTGTTGTGTTAACAGGAATAGCATGCATAGCAAGCATGTACTCGTAAGATACATGCGGTTTTCCATACGAAATACTTTACAGGGTTTCGTCTAAACTTACCCTTTCACGTTTCAGCTCGAGGCGACTACCTGTGAGGTTTATATGAAATAATTAAAAGTAATTCAATTTGAATTTTTTTAAAATGGCATTAGTTTGCCATCGGAACAAAAGATACACAGTACTCGTCTCCCTGGCAAAAAAACCAACATTTGAGAAACTAAAACAGGCTCCCAAGACTTTAATAACGGTCTCTTCCCATCTTCCCTTCCGAGTACCTACAGACTATCTCTCACCACCACGATTATTATTAACCTTTTTTTTTTTTTTTTTTTTTTTTTTTTTGCAGCCTAGTCAAAGACATCTAAGAATATTGAAACTCCACTATTTTTAAAAACGGGAATCACATACAAACAAACACAATAACCAGCTTCACTTATCAAAATAAAAGAGAGTCGGATTATCTAACCGTACCGACTGTTCAAGTTGTCAGCTAAACCTATCGTGCGCACAAAAAGCAATTGGTAGCTTACGCGTAACAATGGTAGTGCACTAAGATCCCTTTTGAGTGCTTATTGACACGCCTACCCTCAGTATCTGGCCACTAATATCTTGAATCGAGGCCATCATCAAGTTAAATGCAATCTCTTCAAATTACATTTTGAAAATTCTGTTCCTTCCCCATTATAATACTTGTAGCCTAAGGGATATGAAATATTCAACAGTTGTAAAGATATCTTAAAACATTAAAAATTATGGCCATGAAGTCGTCCACTCAAATATTCCTAGACAGTATTCTTTAATAATAAAAAGGCGTAAGGGCTTTTATCAAAAATGATTTTAATGTTTTTTGCTTTTCTTTCATTCAGGAAGGTGAAGAAAAATTAGGAAACCAGCCAGACAGTAATACCATCTCGTACGCAAGCTCGCTCTGAATAACTTAACATCATGGGGATATTCCAAGATTTACTCATTGTTTAAGATATAGACATCGTAATCGTCGAAGCAAAGAAAATGATTCCACGCATTTAGCTCTTCACAAAATGTCTATTTCACCAATACCCCACGATCACTTTTCTGTTGCTAATTTTGCATACATTTTTTTTTCATAATTTAAGTTAAGTTTAATTTCAAGCTGGCGGTCAGCACTTGCCATCAATTTCTCTTTGAATTAAATATATATTCTTGATTTAAGATCTGTAGTAGTTAAAAGTCATAATCGTTGCTAAAGGAAAACAATTCAAATGCATGACTCTGTCTCTACTAAAGAATATACGTGTACACCGAATGCAACACTGGTCAACGCTGTTTCGAATTAATCTCCAAAAGGTTTCACCGCTGTTTTTTCATCGGTCTCGTTCAGATCTATATCCGTCAGAAGCTTTTCCTGAATTATCTTCAAATTATCATCAAAATCCGTTTCCAGTGTTGTCGATGTTTCTAGCATGCTTGATACCCTGGTAAGCTTCTCTAACGCCTTGTCGAACTCAAGGATACCGTCAGAGTTGTATTTTCGCAAAGGAGGCTTGCAAAACTGTTCTCCATTGAAATTGTCTGCCCACTGAACCGACTTCTTCTTTACCGGCGTGGAATCTTGCTTTACGTGGTTGCTATCCTTGTCTTTCAAAGCACTTGATGCACTCTTAGATCGCCGTCTCCTGACCGTTGAAGGTCGAAAGCGCATCATTTTAAACTAGATGCAATTCATCGCTTCTACTTCTATGACGAGCCAAAGGTTCTTGTTTGCATCGTCGATACTGATGCCAAAGTCATTATTTCAAAAAGAGACACCATTGGCCACTGTGACAGTTTAGATATCACATGAGCTGATTAGCCTCAGGACTTGTCAGACAAAATATTGACAGAAGCCTGTAACTTCTATCGACAAAATAAGACTCCAATGATCTTATTTCCTCGCCTAAGGCGAAGCGCCACAACACATGTTAATAATCTAAAGCTGCTTTTATGCTTTTTAAAGTGTTCATCGTGAACATAAATACCTGCTTTTGGATGCCAACAATACTGTAATAACGTCAAAGAATTATTCAGTTGTCTCGTGCCTAATTCTTTTCATTAAAAAGCTTCATCTGTCGTTTATAATACGTTAGCGGCTTTATTATGACGTGTCAATATCACAATTTCAGTTATTATAGGGGTATGCAGTAGGAAAGATGGCTGTTTTAATTAATCGCAAACTGCCACCTTTAAATTTAGAACCACTAACATTAAACTGCATAGGAAATTCATACCGGCTCCGAAATAAACATTTTATTTCGCTCTTATTTTGTAGGCGGCCAAGTAAACGTGGCTTTAAATTTAAATAATTTTCGATGTTTGCATAAATTTTAGAAAAGAAAATTCCTTAAATCATTCAAAATGATTTATAAAACTTGAAACAATTTAAGACCTTCATTTCTCCGATACTTTGAGCGATTTGAAATTTTCCGAACTTCATGATGTTTTAGAACATTATTCCTTTTACTCTGGAAAATATTGTTCCTTTTGATAAATTCAAATCGATCGACATTTCGGCAAAGTGTGCAGTGCCATCTTGAAAGCTTAAGTAATACATTTTTAATGAGAAATCCGACTAACATCGGAATATTAACTCAATCACACAACTTTAGGGTTCTTTCATATTCGGTAGTTTACAGCTAAATCTTATTTTTCAGTGGGCAGTATAATTTAAGACGTATAATTTCGTCTGAGTGAACGAGAAACTGCATCATAAGTTTAAAAAAACCCTAACTTGTCGAAGTTTGATTTCCACAGATTGGTAACAATTCAAAATAAAAAAGAGACTAGTATTTGCATAAAACTAATTATTTATTCTCATTAGACATTTCAGTTTTTGCGCAGATATATTTCATAAGTTGATCTTTTCAATATGTTTTTGAATATCTTGTTTGCCTGAACTCGTGATCGGGAAGTTTTTTTAGTTAGCGCTCCACTTGCAGCCCTCTGAGGCTTCATTTTTTTTGTGGTTATGAAATGCAAAAAAGAGAGATCAAGCAGGCACTAAAAATGTTTATAAGGAAAATTCTTCGTCGCAAAGGTGTATAGAAGGTTGATTAAAAAATAATCAGGCAGTAAGCCTGTAAACTGGTGAAATTAATACAACAATAATGACTATAATTGAGGAGCGAGTCTTCGAAATGCGAAAAAGTCGAATTTATCTTCATTCGCAACAATCAATGTACACACTCTTTTATTTTGGCTGCCGAGCTGTCTTATTTGCATCACACTTGGCTAATGCGAACATCGCATAAGATCATCCATTAACCATTTAAATCCCAGAAGTGATTAACTTGTAACTTCTCCCTATTGAATCCAGACACAATCCAGAAAATAGGTTGTGAGAATACTCAAATTTATCAGGTAGAGTTGTCATCTTGATCTAACACTAAATTCTCGTAAATAATTTAGAGGAAAAGTTTAGCAGCTAGTGGGGAGAGCTTACAACCAGATTTTGGGAGTTTAGTGGTTAAAAACCTTAAGCTGCTTTGACATTAGCCTTGTGTTTCTTCGTACGTAGTAGATTCTTTTAGGATACATTTTTAAAGCTACTAGAACAAGGCGTCGTCGACAACATTCGTAGCGTTTGTTTTGATTAAGTTGTTGAACAAGAATTTAACTTGAAGCCTTCGCAGTTTTACTCAGCAAGTATGCTTGTCAAGTTTTCTCCGTTCACAAAGTGTTCTTTTCCATTAACTGACACACTGTTTTTGACGAGCGGAAGTCTTAATGAAAAGCTTGTCAGTTCCATTTTCAAATTTCCATTGCTTCTGAAACCTCATACATATTCATATGAATAACTTTATGTAATTTGGTTCAAACTGTTTAGTGTTCCGGTATAAAAGTAAACGAATGTTAGTTCATGATAATGGAAGATTTTCAGCGTAGGGGCAATTGTTAGCTTGTAGGTTGTCACAAAAGTTTCCAGGGTTTCATAAATTGTGCAGGATTTCAGAGGTTGTCGCACTGGGTGCTTTGCGTAATAAGAGGTTGTTGGTTATGTCCAAAAGTTATCAAACGTTTTGATTCTCATTTGGCTAACTTTAAGAGAATTTTACACCTCAGTTAAAGCATATTATTAACAAAATCTCAGTAGACGGGTTTCCGAGTTAAGATTTATTTACAAAACACACTTCAGCGTACTCACTTCTAAATGAAAACAGTAACAAGTAAGATCCTCTATTTAAACTCGATAAGAGGAAAGCATCACTTGCTTGAGGGTTCGATACACTACTAATAAAGGATGAATAAGATTATTCTTATATCAATGGTAAAAGAACAGACGTGGTAGAATGCACTTATCATAGTGGAATGAATTAAAATCTTTTGTAAAACGTGATGCCTTTAAAAATTTGCGACCAAAACAGACGCACGCGTTCAAAAATGAATCTTAAGTAAGATTTTGAACAAAGGCGTAGGGGCTAAGCATCGAATGACCTTGCTTTATATGAAAATGCAAAGGTTCTCTGCTTCGAGCCCCTACGTATGACCTCTGTTCCACTGAACTCTACGATATACGTGTAGCTGCTTTTTTTACTAAGAATATTTATACCAAGAACTCTGACAAACCGGCTTTGATCGAAAAGATTTGAAGAGAAAGTCGACGATTCATGCAGCAGAGACAAGTTAGTCTAATGAATTTGATAAGCATTGTTTGTGGCTTATGGATGAGTACGGCGGGCAAATCTATGAAACTAATCACTCCAACATAAGATAACAAGGTGAAAATTCTCGATTGCAAGGCGGAAAATTAGACCATTTTAACATCACTAAGTGACGCCCGTGACTGGCATTCGGGACATCTGAGTCGCAAGTCCATCTTCATGGCTGATTATCTCTGTCAAATTCTGTGTCAAATCCTGGCTTAAGCGTTTTCCCTTTCTTCTGGTTAGATATTTCAGTCGGGAATGACGGAGATAGAAAAGGGATCTAAAGAATCATCCGTGTGAAGATAGCCAGGTTTACAATTGCATATACTAAGGAAAATATAAAACATTTTCTCTTATTTTGTCGTTCTTTGATTAAGCTTCAAATTTTTAAAACTAAAATAGGTCTATTGTCCGTGGAAAGAATCTCCCACCGTTATGAGATGTCATAGTCGTGCTTCAAAACTGGAGTCGTATGCTCTCACAGGGAGTAGTTCGTTTCCGTTAAGCATGCGCAGTTACGATGAGAATAGAGACCTAGGAAAACAAGAGAAAATGGTATTATAATGAACCATATCGGGTGACCATGTTATAGTGTAGTGAGTAAAAGAGCGGGATCCTATTTGTAAACCCAACTTTCCTTTTTCGTTTTTTCAGCCACGTATCATACATTTGCAACCCCAAAAACAATACCGCTGCTTTTAGTCGATACATGTAATCACTAGAGATTTTCCTCTCGATGACATCTTTTTAAGGTAAATATTCTTAGTTTTTTATTACATTTCTGCTACTTACTTCATCAATGATGCGAGTCCCAGTACAGTGATTAAAGCGAAACTTGGCAAATCCTGCAAACCTTGATTCAAAAATGAAAACCTATTAGAATATGGTCGTAAATTCAATCACATTTCTGTGAGAACCTACATTTATGACGGAGAAATGGGGCGAATGAAAGCAAAGATGTCAGATGACAACACCATTAAAAACATTTTGCTTTTTATCATATCAAAACGAATAGATTTCATGTTTCCCTGGGTCTTTACAATAATAGATCACAGAAGACGCCAAGATGTGGTAAAAACATAAGCGACACACTTGACTGCGCCTCATGTGCCTTTTCTCTTCTGTTCTTACATATTTTTACGTCATCTTTGGTCTATTACCGAACAAATGTGCGGCAACACGGAATCTATTTGTTAAATATCAATTTCAAGACCTTACCTTTACTGCATTCGCAATAAGCCTTAGTCTCCCCTGGACAATATCCTTTATCTTTCTTGTCTGAGGTGTCAAAACCGTGACATTTGTCGGAAGGTGTGCATACACTCTCTACAGTCAATTCCCCGCCTTGTCCATCACAGCAGACTCTTTCGCACTCTCCAGATTTGGGCTTTACTTCAATGAAAACTCCTACAAGAAAATCAAAATCAAAATTTCGTAAGGTGAGAATAGTTATCTTAATATGTACATTGATTAGGCTCTCCATCAGTAGGGATAACGAAAAAGGGAAGCGAGCCAAAAACGTCTGCATGGGCCTCGCCGAGTGCCGTTTGGTCTCTGTTCAAAGAGAGCCTGGAAAACGCCAGCAAAAGCAGAAGCAAATTTTCTTGATAGATCGGTCTCTAAGGACCTTATTATTCTCCAAGAGGGCCCGATCTGTGATACTGTTTTAATTTTTTCCCCTAGATGGATGAGAGGATAGACCTCTTTCGCACCAACCGCATCAATGAAAGTTATCTTTTCTCACATTACAGGTCTCTGAGGCGTATAATTGATTTCTAGGTTGCTACTGCAGATGATACGGTCTGAAATGCAAAAAGCTTCTACACGACGTTCATTGCGGTCTGCTTTTCATTACAATATAAATTTCACTTCCAACCGGAGAGCTATTCGTAAAATTTGCGCGTGAAATAAGAAGAGGAAAAGCTTTCCTTTGGTGATTTTACTTGTTTCACTTGTTTCAAAAGATTCTTCTGACAGCTAAATTGGACTCGGCCTATGGCCTCGTACAATTTTGGCTGTCCTCTGAATATTTTTCACCTAATTATTTCCAAATAGAACAGCATGTAGTCCTTTTACATATAAAACGTTTTAAAAACTATACCACCGAAACCAAGGAAGCGAGCTAAAGGTTTCAAACGTTTTTCCTGGGAAGTTTATCTGTTAGCGTCGACTCTGTGTATTACTGGAACCGTGACTCATTTCAAACATCTTGAAATTGAACCATGAAATTAAAATATTATTTTTACCCTTTACATACGGTCTAAAGAAGTACCTTGAAACTCGAAAGTGGATACCGTGTTCTCTGCTTTTATATCATTGCCGAAAACGCCTTCTTGAAGTCCATTCTCAAATACTTTTGCAATCGTTAAGTTAGAAGGTCCTCCAACGTAAAATGACAGTATATATGTCCCTTGAAACAGAGAGCTGCAGGCAACGTTTTTAGCTTCCACTCCAATGAGTCTGAATCCTCTACTATTATATAGTTTGGGAAGCTGTGGATTGGAAAAACGTGTGAGTAATTATGGCTAAGAACTTAAGGATTCTTGTCTTAGGCATCTGCATTTGGTGATGATAAAACTTAATTCAACCATCTCGCCTTTTGTTATAGATTTTTTTTAAAGGCAAATCAGTGAATTAATGAAAGATAGTGCATTTCAAAAGATATATACACTCGATTGCAAAACGTTCTCACCTAAAAAGCAACGAAACCAACGGTTTTATGGGAAATATTCGCATTTAGATATATAGTCAGAGATTCATACAGCCAATTGACGATCAGCTTATGCCATGTTTATCATGGTTGAACCACAAATCCCACACCTTTTAAATGACTATTGAAAAGGTATACCACCCATACACTTTGCTACAATAAAATCTTAAAAGATTTATCTTTATGGCAAATCAGAATAATCAGAACAGAAGCACCTCGCGCGCAAGGGGACACTAGAAACGTGTCTTCATCTAGAACTCATGTATACTTCTTATTGATAAAGGGGGTAAATTTCTAAATAAACTGTGGTGCTTCGTCGGTGGGAGAGTATAGCAGGTAAGTTAGTGTTAACAACTGAGTTGAAAACGTAAATTGGCCACCGTAGCTTTTTTACCCTTTACGGTGGCCAATTTACGTTTTCAACTCAGTTGTTAACACTAAATTACCTGCTATATTTCTTATTGTCTATTAAAAAGGCATATTAAAGCATATTTAAGTGTCGTTTCGGATGAGAGCTGCCACGACATGATGATAAATCCTTTTTGATAAAAGTGACCAAGCTCTCTACTTACAGCAGCTATTATGGTCACGTTAAAAGTGTCCAAGGTGTCGCTAGAACAATCAATTGTGACTTTCAGGCTCAGTGATACTGATGCACCTGAAGAGAAGAAAGGCTCACTTTAGTATTCATACTCGTTTAGTAAGCATGATAACGTCGTTGTGTTGACTCAGTTTCTTTTAGATTATGTTTTCCTGCAGGATTGGGGCAATATTTCTTCTGGAATGATGGAAATTAATAGCTACCGTATTCTCCGTTTTTGGCGGCGCGAAACTCTGGGGCATAAAATTAAATTTAGCTCTCGATATAATTTGGGATAAATTAAGTTGATCTTCCTTCAACAACTTCTAAGGTTAAGGGTTGTTAAATTATTGGAATCAGAGCGGCAGCTCAATTGCGATGAAACGAGGCATCTTAAAAACAGCTTAATTTACCCCAAAGAATTATTCTAATAGTAAACCGCCAAAATCTGTTTGTAAAAGCCGATGGTATCTTTTGAAAAATCCGTCATGGCGCCTAGGTAAGTGACGCCGTCAACTTAACCTTGATGATCGACTTTTTATTACAATTTCCCACCCTAAGTCACAACGGTTCCCCAAGAATCTGATTGTTTCACTCGCCTGGTCTTTTGTCCACATAAACGCTGGTTGTAGGTGGTGCTGTTTGCGTGCTTGTCGGAGATACTTCTCTTCTATCTACTGCCGATGTAGTTTCTCCTCCTCCAACTACTGAGGTTGCTGCCTCACTTGTTCCGACTGCTGAGGTTGTTGCCCCACCTCCTCCAACTGTTGAGGCTGTTACCCCTCCTCCAATTCCTGTCGTAGTAGTTGCAATAACACTCATTGCTGCAGTGTTGGTTACTGCTCCTCCGGCTGCTCCAGTGGTAGTTACATCTCCTCCGGTTACTGCTGAACTGGTAACTTCACTTCCGACCACTGCCGAGGTAGTTGCCTCTCCTCCGGCTACTGTAGTGGCTGTTTCTGCTCCTGCTACATTTCCAGTTGTAGTTACTTCTCCCACGACCACTCCTGTATTAGTCACATCGCCGCTGGATACTGCCGATGTAGTTACTCCTCCTCCTACTGAAGTGGTAGTTACTCCTCCTCCTCCAGCTGCTGAAGTGGTAGTTACTCCTCCTCCAGCTGCTGAAGTGGTAGTTACTCCTCCTCCAGCTGCTGAAGTGGTAGTTACTCCTCCTCCAGCTGCTGAAGTGGTAGTTACTCCTCCTCCAGCTGCTGAAGTGGTAGTTACTCCTGCGGTGGTGGTTTCTCCACCTCCACTCGTTACGGCTGGGCCCGGTGTGACCGAGGCTGTTGTAGCAGAATCTGAAGTTAAAGTATAGAGATAAACGTCAGGTAGGCTATAAAGTTAAGAATGTCGAAATTTCGGACACGGCAGACGCATGTAATAAGTCAAAAGGCATATTGTAGTTGCCAATGTGTATAGAGTAAAAGATTTGTCGGCTGAACTAATAGAGAAAGTAAAACTAAGGTAGTTAAGATAAATAACAGCGCGTCAATGCACCTTGTGATGGATCCGAATTTTCACTCAGCTTGACACAACCACCACACAATTACACGACTTTGATACTTGTCTCTTTTGTTTGTTTTTTTTCGAAAATTTAGCATTTGTTTAAGTTAATGGAAGTGCAGGCGTATTTGAGATTATTCTACTAATACTAATAACAAATTTTTCCCCTCCTTGATGATAAAAAAGTCTGATTGCAAAAATAGTTCAAAGACTAAGGCTCGAGGAAAATTTTCGTATGTAGCATGGGGTTACGCTGAAATTTAATTATTAGCTGAACAAGAGCAGAAGAGCTTTTCTGATGATTTCGGGTAACTTAGGCAGCCATGAGGCTAACTTCGGAGGTCAAGCAAACCATCAAATATCCTAAGCTGTCTTGCTTGTCTTCAGAAAATTTGCATAAATAAAGTTTTAATGATTCAGAAAGTAAACAATATTAATTTTTGTTTATTTACCTTCAGTCGTTGTGGTTGGGCTCGGTGCGATCGTTGTTGTTGTAGCAGAATCTGAAGTTAAAGTATAATGATCAACGTCAGTAAGGCTATGAAGTTAAGAATATCGAAATTGCGGACACGGCAGAAGCATATAATAAGTTAAAAGGCATATTGTGGTCGCCATTGTGTAAAGAGTTGAATTTAATAGATGTTTCGGCTGAACTAATAGGGAAAGTAAAATAAGGTAATTAGGATAAATAACAGCGCGTTAATACACCTTGTGATGGATTCGAATTTTCACTCAGCTTGGCACAGCACCACACAAATTACACGACTTTGATACTTGTTTCTTTTCTCTTTTGTTTGGTTTTTTACGAAAATTTAGCATTTGTTTAAGTTAATGGAAGTGCAGGCGTATTTGAGATTATTCTACCAATACTAATAACAAATTTGTTCCCCTCCTTGATGATAACAAAGTCTGATTGCAAAAATAGTTCATAGACAAAGGCTCGGGGAAAAATTTTCGTATGCAGCATAGGGTTACGCTGAAATTTAATTATTAGCTGAACAAGCGCAGAAGAGCTTTTCTGATGATTTCGGTAACTTAGGCAGCCATGAGGCTAACTTCGGAGGTCAAGCAAACCATCAAATATCCTGAACTATCTTGCTTGCCTTCAAAAAATTTGCATAAATAAAGTTTTAATGATTCAGGAATTAAACAATATTAACTTTTGTCTATTCAGCGCGGAGAAATGTCAGTGGAGTATTTAGTTTCCATTTCTTTTTTGTAATCATGCTTACATTAACCATAGTTAGCAGAAACGTGCATAATTGTTGTAAAACTCTTCTAAAAAAACAAAAAAATGTTTGGTTCATGAAAATCTTCTTTCGCAACCAGTAGTGGGTCATTGAAAATTCTCGGAGAGGGGTCTTTAAGACCAGAGGTTTTGAAGAAAAGTGTGGAGCAAAACTGGAATTTTTAGAAGGGTACTCAAAGAAATAAAGCCTCCATCCCTCCGTGAAATAAGTTTGAATACTTTTTGTAACAACACAATATTAGACAAAATCGTTACTAACTATTTCTTAATTGTTACATTAACTGCTATTCTAATATATATGAAGAATACATGTGAAGAAAATCACTGTGCCATGCAAAAAAAAACGAATAACTGTGACATTCACGTCAATCAACAGGGTGGCTTGTATTTAAGCTGTCCACTTTCAACTTCTCACAAATGAGAATGAAGAAGTGGAAAGTCTTGGAAAACCTACTAAATTTATGATCTTTTTGAGACAGAGAAACATTCTCTCAATAACAATGATGAACAGGACCACAGAAACAGGGTTTTAAAAAGTCAAATTCATGGGTGATCCTCTCAGTAAGTAAGTTCTTATTCACTGTCTTTGTTTGTGTTGGATTAAGAGGGACTGGGAATGGGTCACCTTGTATCGTCATTATCAATTGAGGATGAATTTGCATTGTAATTATTGGCCTTCCCACTTGTGACAGGTGCAACTTCATAACAAATGTACTTCTGCTAACGCTTTTGCATTTGTTTGCTGGTTTTGCTGCTCCAGTTGAAAGGAAGCATTGATCTCTACTGTAGTGCGTTTGACTGTGGATTTATCGAAATCTTTTTGTTATAGTTGTTCCTTTTGTTACAAACAAGATTTATGTCTACGTGGACGTTTGAAATATCAAGACAACGGAAATTATTTTAAGGCTTTTGATTTTGTTCGCTTGATAACATTTGCTGCTAAATAGGTCAGGGTTTATTTGATTCTAAAAAAAGGCGTATCCTTTTGACTGGCTATTATTTTTTAACCTTGAGGGGAAATAAAGATTCAAAAACAATACCTATCAAAGAAGGGCCTTCCATTTCCTTTTCCTATTTTTTATTTGGGTTTTGGTTACTGTTGCGTTTGCTGAGTGAAAGTATTCTTTGCTCTCTCATTTGACTGTAAAATCAGGAAACAGAGACCTTCAACGTCTTTCCTAAGACTAAGGGGATTAATAATCTTCGTAAGGTTTGGCGGTTCAGCTAATGTACACGCGTTTTTCTGAGGCTTTGACAGCGATGACCTTTAAAGTTGGATAACGTGACCTAGAATGATTTAATTCATCGAACCGGCCGGCTAGAATACATTTCATACGCAATGATCTTCAACATTCCGCTCTTTGTCCTCAATTTTTTGTTATCATATTCTCCATTTAAAAAGAAAGCGAAATTGTGTTAGGATAACAGTTAAGTGACTGGGCGGGATGTTACTCAGAGGGCGATATTGGACACACGCGTTATTGATGCATATCGGTCAATGATCGATTCTCGAATGATTATAAAAAATAAATCCTGAATATCCTTTTTCGCTAATCACTGCTCTATTTTTCTGAAACGGCCTCTTTTTTTAATGAAATACCTATTTGATAACCAACAAGTGCATCGAAAATGGTCACGATTTTAAGTATTTTGTTTCCTTGGTTACCTTGAAATAAACACCTATTCTGTCATCGTTGTTAGGGAAAAATTGCCTATAATTCAGCAAGGAGAAACCAGCGGGAAATTTCTTTCCTGTGTGAACAAGAAAAACTACTTGGTTATGTTTTTGTCAACTCAGAATATTCAATATAAATATGCTCAGAAAATATCTGCATTACGTAATTTTGGAAAAAAGAGAGCGGGTATCCGTGTTTCCAATCTTCTTTGTTTGCAGAAACACCGGCTTTTCTGAGACATGCATTTGTATAGTCAGTTTACAGACTTACTCTGGTCAAAATTATAAATTCACTAGCGATGCAGTAACGATCATACGAAAGCAAGCTTTTGTAAATGCGGTTTAAAGCGAGTTATCCGCGCTTAAAATTTGGGAAATCTGTAGAGGGTTAGTTTTAGGTAACTTGCAACGAACGATGCGATCAACGTTAACCTGAAGTATTATTAAAAGACCTGGAAGTATCATGACCATCATTACTAACAAAGCTGTGGAGAACTTGCAAACTTTTCATAGAACAGCACAATGGCTTCTGATTGCAAATCAAGTCCTCTGTACAAGTAACTTCAAAGATATACTAAGTTATAAGTGCAAGTAAGTTACAAGTAGTTGTGGGCACGAAGTCTCTCCACAACTTAAAGGAAAGGATAAGAAACATCTTAAAGATGTGCCGCACACACACCCATTATATCGTTTTTTTTCTATGGGCGACGAATTTAAGGTTAAAATCACTATTGTGAACAAATGATGAAAAAAAGTGAACTCTCACCTCGACAAAATAGACAGCCCTGAAAGATCATTACGGTCATTATGAATGCGACCTTCGCCATCGTTTAGTGTAACGTTATCAGCGGGGACGTCTTTTGCAACAACTTTTAACCAGTTATACTCGGAATGTTACCAAAGAGAAGAAGGCACCAGATAAACAGAAGTAATTCCGGTGAATATGGTGAAAATTATGGAAAAAATTCCCGCGATCTTAATAAAGGTAGATTGGGTGCTTCACTCACGCACGTTTGAATAAAAAGTGAGGGGCAAAGGTGGTTCACTTGCTTCTTTAATTTTGACGAGCACGTCACAATTACCATAGCAACGTCAACAAACACCAGCTGCACATTATCCTTATTATTTCCTTTTTTATCACTTGGCCATCTTTTGGTATAAGAAAATAAAGTAGATGAAAACATTATCTAAAATTATTGTCCTTCACAAACACCGTTCTTGCACTATGTTTTCGTCTGCGGTTGTGGAGAAACAACAAATTGATTTTTCGGGTCAACACACCTCATCGAATACCTCATGGATCAAGTCAAAAGCAGAATTTTATTTAATTTGTCGATCACACGCTGTTTTTCCCTTCGAGAAAGTATGAATACATTAATAACATCAGAACTCGTATTTGTAGGAATAAGCACAGTTAAATTGAAACTGTTTTGAGGATCCTTTCCCTTCGAGAGGCGAATGTCATTACCTTCGCCTATTATGCAGAAAACATTGTCTTTAAAATGATCGGCAAATATTAAAGGATTTGAAAGGGATGTTGTGTTTTCGAATCAAGCTGGTATATTGACGGCCACTGGGGAAAACATAGTCCAGCATTTTAAGCAGCCGTGATGGCCTCACGCCTAGAAGTTTGAAACTGTTGTTACCGGTATGTTCCAATTGAGCAGTTTTACGAGACGTATTTTCACTCAGTTATTCCAATTTTGCAAGACTCCGTTTATATGTCCGGCCTAACCTTCTAGTCTGTCAATTATTCAGAAAGATGTCTAACTGGAAAGACTGACTATTAATAGAGCTAAATTACAGCTTATTTTTTCGCTTCTCTTTCGAATCTTTTCATGCATCTTTGATTGGTTATTTAGCATCAACATTGGTTGTGATGCCTCAGGCTGGGTCGATTAGGCAAAGCCAGATACAATATTAATGCATATCAAATCTGATGGCCAAAGTTTCATTACTTCGCCGAGTAAATGGAAAAAAGCTATGTAAATTTTATTTTTTAAAAAAGACAGACTGACCAACATCGTGACAGTTCTGCTAAGAATCAACTAACTGCAACATCTTTGTAATTATGTGCGTAAATTACGTCTTTGTAATTACGTGCGTAAAAAAATAAACGCCCTCGATTGTTTTTAGTTCGGCTGAACTCACGCAATAAAAACTCACGGAAACTTGTATTATCTATGAATTCTAAATCAATCAACGCACAGTTTAAACCTTATTTTAAACAAGAGATAGAAGTTTACAGAAAAAAGTTCTTGTTATTTGTCTGCTGTTTACTGGCACCCTGCTATTTCTTATTGACGAAGTTGATGGATCATGCCACGAGTTCAAATCCGCGCGAAGGGTTCATCAATGTAATGTTTATTATTAGCTGTAAAGCCGCTGTTAATCTTTGTACAATTAACTGTACAATAAAATCTTAAAGTCCTAGAGAACGCTAACGTCACACTTGAGTCTCGTTTATGGGCAGTCTCTTTTTTTAATTAGCCATGGACCAGTGGCCTGAAACTGCGCAAGTCGTTTATCTCCGAAAGCCTAGTCACAAAATCGCTCCACGATTCCCGTGATTATAACTGTTTCTTGTAATTTCTGTTATGCTGACAAAATTGTACTCAGCCTTATCATATTGTGTCGGCTAAGAGACACGAAATAGTTGACTTCAATGCGGAGCATTTTCCTGTTACGTAGAACAGAAAAGCTGACCTTGCCGGGCAGTTGTGCTCTAAATCACGTGCACGATAGGATGTGTTTGGATATGACGCCGAAAAAGAAAACGCTAAAACAAACTGTTTGCAATTTATCAATAATTGTATGTATTCAGTGAATGCTACTACGATGCATATATAGCAGATATATTCAATTCGATTATAAAAGAAAAGAATCAAAAGCTTACGCAACATAAAATAAGGCTGTGATAAATATTCATTCGAACTCGATTTTACATATACAGCTTAACGAAAAACGTAAAGCCTTAGGAACTCAAGGAAGTGCAAAGAGTTTTCTTTGTTCAGTTGCAGCGTGATATCATGATGAAACAGAGTAACATTGTGTTTGTGTGGGAGATGGGGGTCAAGAACTAACTCCTTTACGGTCGATTTGTTTTGTCATTGATGCAATCACCGAGTAGGCGTTAGAGATTCTTTACGGCCACGAAATACATTTTACTTACAATCAATTCACCCTCATTTTCAAAAACTGATTGAGCCAAGTTGCATTTATCTAAAAAAAGTTAATGTTTTCCGAAAACCAGTCCCACACAATTTACATCAGTGAAAATAAGTGTTAAGAGGAAATTTCACTTCACTGACTTTGACAAGGTTAAAATGCAAATCAACCGGCACTTTTTTTTTAAAGATCTAATGGTGTAACAGCTCAGTGTTGGAGTTTTTGTTTCAACGTGTTCCATTTCAGTAGATATATGTTTCTAAAGTTCTTCAGTTTTTAAAAGACCGAATAATGTATTCAGCTTGAGTAAAAAAAAAAAAACATAGCAACCGATAAATCATTTTTAATTAACTTTATCACTGATTGATGATGCGAGGCCAGAAACCAAGCTTGAAGTCAAGAACCAACGTGCGCTCGACTGTTTCGTGTACATGGAACACAAAAAATACTTGAGCTTTTGCTACTCTTGTTACTACTTAGTAAGAGTACAAACAAACATCAAAACTAACTGACAATTCTTACTTTTCGACGGTTAATGACCGAGACTCTTCAAAAAACTCATTGCTGATATTGTGAGGTCGGAAAAAGCTTGTTTTTGAGAGGCAACCTGTTTGCTTGTTTTTGTTCAATTAATTTGACGGTTTTGATTACGAAATGCGAAAACGCATCCTTCTAATGAGTCAGCGAAATTGTGCTCAACGCTGAATGCATCGGTGCACTCAGCTAAGACGACACTTTTCATCACGGAGTCAAACCACCAGGGTCAGGAAGGACAGGAAAGAAAAAAATGTTCTTCCATAGGTTTTATCGTCCAAATTAATCAATGAGCTAACCTATCTAAAAGGAAAAAAATCAGGAAAAATGTCATGTCGCATTTCGTCATGATACGCTTGTGTGACGCTACCCACTCTCATTGCATCACGTTCTGTCTATTTTAATTTGGGGGAGAAATAGTGAAATCATGAATAATTTTCCGCGGGGCACCCTTAAATTCGCTGTACGTGAATGAAATCCTACACTATGCAAACAGGTACCAAAAATGCGTTTGCAAGCATGCCCTGTGCTCGAGAGGACACTGAAATATCCACTGTTGCCTCAAAGCCCTAATTGAAGACATGCGGGACTCACTTTCAAATCTCAGTTCTTTAGAAGAGTTTTTGCAATAATGAAAACTTGTATTAGACTTCTCATGGACCATCGCCTATAAGTTACATTTAACAACTTCACTCTAAATCCACTAATGTTAAAATCCATGTTCTTCCAAATCATATAATCAATCGATTGCTACAATTTTAAACAAAACATAACCATCGCCGTAAGGACATCCTCCAGACACCGCCGTCCAGTTAGCATCAGGCGGGATAAAAGACCCGCCTCCTCCAGCATGAAGATCAAGGTTCTTACTCTTGCCATCGACTTGCACCCCACCACCAGAGTATCCACCCCCTCCTCCACAATTTCCCCCGCCACCGAATCCTCCTGTGCACTTGTTTATTTGGCTGTATCCACCCCTTCCTCCTGTTTGAAAAGATTTGCCTCCATCTTTCTGGTCACATGGTTTATTACAACTGGACGCCTTATAGCAGCGCCCATCCGTGAGAAGACCTCCACCACCTCCAACACCACCTAAGTCTGCATCATTCCCCGACATGCAGACCTTCCCTCCCTTTCCTTTTCCCCCAGGATTGACGCTACCACTCAACCCGGCCTGACCAGGATCACCATCTACCAAGTCAGCTGCGCCACCCCCGCCAGCCACAGCCAATGGACTGCCATTGCCTACCAAAACAACAAAAGTTCCTCCTCCGCCACCTCCACCCCGTTTGCCTCGCTGCCCTACTAAGATTGTCAGCTGTATTCCCTGTTGAAGATGGACCGTCCCATTTAGTTTTGCTCCTTTACCACCGATGGTATTAAATCCCTTGTGATTCCCACCTGTAGCTCCGCATAACTCGAGGTAATACGTGGCCGACAAAGGAATGTCCCATGATTGCAAACCGTCTTTCACTAAAATCCCCTCCAGTGATGTACCCTGGTACAACGCGTTATTTACTGGCCCAGACTTACCCGTTGCACCCAGTGTAGTGAAATGATATTCGATATCTAACAACACAACAAGGAAAACCTTTGCTCAGATAGGAAACGAAAAGTTCTGTCTATACACTTTAGACGTGCAAAAAATGAAAACTTCATTCCACCTTTTACATGCATTAATTTATTTGACTATGAAATAAAAAAGCATTAAGCATATGGCGCATATCGGTACACGCACACCGTGAATACTCTGATAATATCAAATGAAATAAACTTTCATGTCGCGATACATTGGGCTTTATAACAATGCTGCTTACCTATCTTCTTTTCGCACATGTCCCCAAACCACGGAAGTTTGCATTTGCACCGATATTTTTGTTTGTCGTTGCTGTAATTGCAGAGGCCTTCATTGAGACAGACCATCTGGTCGCATTCGTCCTGAATCAATGGTAAAATCGTCGGAAAAATAAATGAAGGTAAACAAAGCTACTGGACTTCACATAGAGTCGCATCTGTAACAACGTACTAACTCGGAGCTTATATCTACTTACAATAGCTCAGTATTACATTTCAAAGCTCCTCAGAAATTTGGTAATGGTCATGATTGACATTTGAAAGCAAAAGGTTCTCGTTTTTTATAAGTGAGATATGGAAATGAACAAAATCAGAAAAATATTTCGAGAGGAATGAGATATGGAAATGGGGCACACAGGAAAAACAGTTTTAGAGACGAATATCATCTAAAAATTAATTAACCAACAGAAACTGAAATCTCAAGATATTACAGTAAACATGTAAAAGAAGAACTTTGTCACCCACCATAACGTTGATACTACTTTGAAACACTGGAGAGTAGGCAGAATATGTAAATCCTTCCGCGTACATCAATTCATCGCCGGAAATTAAGGAATCACCGTGGTCATTTAACTCACACAAGAGCTTATTCTCCGCTGAGGAAATTCCAAAGTTCGTGGACACGCATCTGGTCTCCATCAAGCACGAATGAGCGCAAGACAATGATGTAGAACCGTTTAGAGTCCTAATCTGGTGGCCATTAAGCCTGTGATTAAAAACTGTTTTAATAGCACCCTGCATGTAGCGTTGTTCGAAGCTGCAAGAAATTCCAAAAATATGAAGTGCAGTAACAAGAACCCACAGAAAAACAGGTGAATTCATCTCGAAGACCACCCAATATCATATAACTAAGAGAAAACTCAATATAGTTAGGACTGATCGTTTCTCTTAAGGCACTTTCTCATCAATCTTCAAGGTGTTGTAATGGCCACTTGCGTAGATTGTCTATGAAATCAGCTGCTTTTTGTGCAAACACTGATAATCATGCTTTCCACTGACGTTAAAACTTCTCTTCGATACAACAATGGAAGTGCCAGATACAGTAAACAATGAAAGGGATGCTTAAAAGCTGTGGTCGAACAAAACACATTAACCTTTGCTTTAAGTAACTGGTGACGTGTCATTAGGTCAGACTAAAATAACTTTTTCAAACTCTGGTCATCAACTCTGTATCCCGTTTGTTTTTACAATCGCCGAGTTCAGTAGTAATAATGGTAATAATAACAATTATGATTAAAATAATAACTTATTATTATTATTGAGTAGTAATTTCAGCGTTTTTTTTCTTAATTTTTCAATTTCCATTGTTAAATTAATACTCCTGTTAAAAAAAAATTCCCTACTCTTTTAAATCGACTGTTTTACTTTTATCGCAATTTTTGGGAGTTAATTTATCAATTCAGAATAAAAAAATTACGATGATAGCTCAAAAAACTGGAAAATGAAAAATAAAGATACTAATAATAGTTACGACAATAATAATAAATAATGATTATAATAATGCCGGAAAAACACTGCGCACCCAAAGATGTCATTAGAGATGCACCTTTTAGCAATGCACATGTCCAAAAGTAAGATCGTGTCAACATTTACATTACAATTTAGTAACAAAATTGCACCATTTTAAGAAAACTTATTTAGTTTCATTTATATTTTAATAAATCAAAATCGTCTGCCGATTATCTGACAGTTGCCAAGGAGAAGTATCAACAAGATCAAAACGTTCCGATAGAACGTCGAAATTCTGTCTTCCATTTACCTTAAAGTATAATGATACATTGAAACAAAGTAAACATTATTAAGTTCAAGTCAAGGATAAAGTGTTTCACCGAGGAGAATTCAGCAGGATGTATGCAAGATCCCTGGGTTAAATTTGCAAAGCACTCTTCAATCATGTTCGTCAAAGCTATTATGGCCTTGGTATCATATTTCATTGTCTTCGGATATTTGCTTCACTTGCCACAATGTTCAGCCTGGAAAAGAGGACAGAACAATTTATCCTTTAATGGTGCTCTCTTCTGCCGTCAAAACTTTGCACTGAAAACGGACATTTTAAGACAAGTGAAAACTTTCGGGGAGATTCAATGTGCGTTTGTTTGTTTGTCTGAAAACGACTGTGTCGCACAAACGTACTGCGACGATTCGCCAAGGAGAAAAAATCCCAAAGGAACATGCTATTTACATAAATACGGCGTTAAGAACGAAGAAAACAGTGCCCGTCTCGTAAAAAGCAAGAGATGCACCTTTCAGCAATACATGGATTTAGACGTAAGTCAACAAATATTTAGTTTTCTGTTGACGAAAATATAGATAAATTCTCTTCTAAATGTTTCATATCTTCTGGTAGCGATGAAGATGTACTAACAACCACATCAAATTAGGTATCTTTGATGAGAAACTTTACAATTCAAAGGATTTCACAATTTTTTTATTCAGGATTTTAGTATTAATTAAGTGTCTTAGAATCTACTTTTAGTCGGAAAAAAGCATTCTGAGCGCAGGGCTCAAATCAAAATATGTTTGCTAACTTAGAATTCATTGCATTTATTCAAAGTGATGAACTTTCTCTCCTCAATGTTCATTTTCATAACCGCAAAAAAACCGAAAGCAACTAAGTTAGGAAAACCTTCGTGTTTAATTGTGCCCTGCCATGCTTTAGTGAAATTTTATCGCAAGGAAAAATTATATATAGGGAGGTAAATGACCGGCAAGGCAGTGTCTAGCAGTATTGATTTATGTACAAGATTACAATCGGATCTTAGACAAACATTGTGTTTTTAGCGCTTAAATTGCATGCTAATATTGGCTTTAATCATCATAGGTGCCTAACACATGTTTTCAACTGCAAAAAAAAAAACAATCGTCAGCTTATCTGAGGCTATGAATGGAAACAAGTAAATGAATTGTTGCCATCGAGAGCGTAATTTATCTTACTTCTTCGAGTCGTATATAAGGCCTTGAACGAGCATTGATTGCATGAAGGATCGGATTCCAGGGAATGTGAAAAAAAAGAAAAGGGTAGATCCTCTCAGGCGGGGTGTTGTAGTTGGCAGTAAACACTTTGTTTCTACTAGTAGTTGTAACAAGACATCAAAGAAATCAGAAGGTTACAAAATTAAGATCAAATATTGCTACACAACGGAACTGATATAAACGGCCAAACATACAAGCAAGGTTATGACGTGCATAAAAACACAGAGTAAAGTTGATTAGTCAGGCAAAGATCCATACTAAAAAAATATCGAGCGGGCTGTAAAACATACTAGACTGGCCCAATATGAAATTACTTTATGGGTTTACTGCTGATACTGCCTTTAATCAAAAGCAACTGTTCGAGATTAGGGTGTTATGAATCTTGCAGGAGGTCTCTTGCTCAAGAAAATGTCAAAATGGTATGAAGTGTCAGTACGACTATGATACCAGACAATGCCAACGCAGATGTGAGCCGCCCTACACAGGAATTGATTGCAACCAGCTTCAAGGTAGAATCCTCAGCGCATTACATTAAGCATTTTAAGAGCTGCAACACTTTTTCTTAACGCAAAATTGTGTAAATCAAGAAACCAGTGGCTTCGAACAATACCAGGTTCACCTCATCCTCATCAAAAAGTAGTTGCAAGCTGTACCTATGGGATGAAAAATAATTTGATTTATGTCCTAATGGGATTTGCTTTGGGGAGGCAGCAGTTGTGGAGGCGCTCGCCCATCACAGCTGGGGTCTGGGTTCGATTCCCGAAGTTGTGGGTTGAGTGTGATGAGTGTTCTCATCCGCGCTCCACTTAGTTTATTCACAAAAACCAAAACTCAACATTAAAAAAAAAATAAAGGGTCGCAGACGAAGAACCATTAGGCATCTCTATAATGATGCCCTTTATAACTAAAACTTTGTCTCTCCAATTCACTCTTCGTCCAAATGGGATCGAGATAAAGGGAATCCAATTTATTGTGCACTACAACAGGAAGTGAGATTTACTTTGGTTTTATTCCAGCCATATCCTTTCGTTTCACCACTCTTGGTGCACAAGGTAACTCTGGGCCAATATCGACTGCTGAATATGTGAACACGTCACTACAGGGAACGGTAACACTCGACAAAGGGGTCCAGATCTGGAGAGTGCCATTCACTGCTAATTATAGACTCAAAGTCGCTGGGGCTTCAGGAGGAAAGGCGTCATCCTCAGGGGGAAAGGGTGCAATCGTAGCAGGAGTGTTGCTGCTAACGAAGGGAACTGTGCTGCACCTTTTGATTGGTCAAAAAGGACTTCCAGGAAGTTCTGGTGCAGGAGGAGGTGGGGGAACTTTCGTAGTTTCTAACAAAAACACGCTTTTGGTAGCAGCAGGTGGTGGTGGCGGTGGAGGTGGTCATATTATCTCAGAAGACGGAGATGATGGTCAAGCGACCAAAGCTGGCAGCGTTTATGGTGGTGTAAATGGTTTGGGTGGATCAGTGTGCGCTAAAGAGGACAACAATGCAGGGGGAGGAGCTGGATTTCAGGAAAATGGCAAATGTAGTCGCAATGTGTCATGTTCCTTAACTCCTCATCCATGCAACGAGTCCGGGTTGGCCTATGTAAATGGTGGTCTGGGTGGCAATGGGAATGGTGTTGGAGGATTCGGCGGGGGTGGGGCGGCATACAAAGATTTTGGAGGAGGCGGAGGGGGTTATTCTGGAGGGGGAGTGCATGCCACGTCTTGGGGTTCACGGGCAGGAGGGGGTGGATCTTACTGGCCCGTAGGGCGGTTGAAGTCAAGCAATGAAACCAACTCTGGCGACGGATACGTATTGATAGATTTCAATAACAGTTTAAATTAAGAAAACAATGATTGATTCGTTGATCTCTCTTCTTTTAAGTCTTGTATTCCATTGCTATATGTTACCAACGCGTTAGTGGAAAATTATTTGTGTCAGGGCGCTATTTCAGGATTGATAGATCTGAAAGAGAGCTCTACCAGCCGCACAGTGTATGGGCATGATGAATTTTATGGGGCAAGCAGTCGGTCCATCCACAACTTATGGCGCGAATCTCCAGTTCAGAAGACAGGTGGAACTTTTGGCGGTAATACCACAAAAACAAATGTTACGTATCGATGCTCACTGGCCAATTGCAAGGTGGCGTTCATGCACTAACAACAGAGTTTAAAATTCTGTTCTTCAAATCAAAAGGATGTTTTATAGTTTTTTTTGTTTGTGCGAATGAGCAGAAGAGGGCATATTAGCTGTAGCGAACCAAAAAGAAACTATGTGACCCGATATAAATGAGCTCTGTTATCGCAGGCCAAGTAGCTGGAGGGGGGGGGGACATACTCTCACACCTTTTATTGGTCTGCATAAGCTCAATAATAGAGTTGAAAAAGAAGACAAGTTGCAAGGGAAAGTGAGGACCAGCCGACATTTTTGAAGCAATGGATTTCTTATCACGCTCCTTGATGCATTAAAACAATTAGTTGATTCAGTCTTATGTTGCACAATACAATTACTCACTCCAAAATCGCTGGAAAAATGTAGCGCAAACACTCATCTTTATCACAAAAGCAACAGATCTTAGAGTAACTTTATTTTCTCTGCATGTACAAAAATATAACGAACAAAAAACGTCAATTTTACAAGGAGAGAACCCAAAACTAAACAAATGGGATCTCAGAAGGAACAGATCTTGAAATAATTTCAATTTGTTTACATTTACAAGAAAAAACCTATCAAATCTGTCAATTCGATACGTAGAAAACTCAACAAAGACGGAAAACTTCCGCCAGGATGTCTTGCATTTAGAATAAGTTAAATATATCACATAAACATAAATGTGCAACGAATAAAGTATTACTTAAAATGAAAAATTTACGCCTGAAGTATTGAGTAAATATAGGAACACAGTTTAGATCGAGAAGATGGCTGAGAGAGCTGCGTTTATTCATGTGTTCACATCCACATGTGCCTTAGTTGTTCTAGGAGAATCGCTACAATCATTGCACTGGAAACGTCTGAGTGATAGCTTATTCTTTGATGGAGCAGTTTTACTCCGGCGTGACTTTGCATTTAAAAGGGACATCTTAAGAACAGTGAAAACATCGGGGGAAGTTCACTGTGGCCTCGCTTGTTTGTCTGAAAGTGACTGCATCGCACAAACGTACTGCCGCGAGCCGTGGCAGAAACTCAAGGGAACATGCTATCTGCATCGAAGAGGAATCAAAGACGGGCTGGCTGAAGATGCCTTCGTGAAAAGCGATGGATGTACTTACCAACAATACATAGATTTTCACGTAAGTACATTTTGCATTACATTTGTAATAAAGTAATTTTTAGTATTCATTTAAAAAAAAACAAAAAAACAAAAAAAACAAGGAGCAAGTAATGCGGAATTATTTTCAATTTAAACTATTCATTTACCATTTCCATTTGTCTCCAACAAATGACGAATTCTCAATGATTCTCTGGACATTGATTATTTACAGTGGAAATAATTAACAGTTTGGGCAAAACAAACATGCTGTAAGGATCAGTGAATTGGCCCATCGGAATAAACGTTCACCCGACCAAAAACCGATGAGGACTTGATAATCAATTCAAGTCGATTTTTGAAAGCAATTCAAGGCCCAAATTTCAGAGTAAAGTACAAATGCAGTAAGAATTACTGAATTGGCTGGCGTATCGGATAAACGTCTATCTAACTAAAAACGGGGGAAGATGTGATAATCAAGTCGAATTTGAAGTCGTTAAAGAAGAATTTAAGGCATAACTTTTCCATTGCGGTATTTATTTTGTTTCTTAAATCATTAATTGTGGTCAAGGGACCGAACGATAAAAGAAATGAAATTTTTGATTTCCAAGGAAGCTCTCATCGTAAATATATTTCTGAAAACTGCCATAAAACTTAAAGAAAACAACTTGCTGAAAGAAGTACTGAAATACCAATTTTCTGAGCAATGACGAGAGAGGAGAAATAAAACAGCTCCGTTGATTAAATCACAGAGACTAATGAAAACACTTCCACGAGGTTGTGGACGGTGTTCAAAAAATAAAAACGATTTGTAACGTGTGTAACCTTTCCTGTCAGACACCTTGCTCAAGCAAATGTCAAAATGGTCAGACATGTAGCTATGACCATGATAACAGACGATATGCTTGCCTCTGTGAGAAGCCATACACTGGAATGTACTGTGAAAAGTCTAAAGGTAACATTATAACAACCTAGGATGAGATCAGTCTTGCAGAGTTGTCACAGGTCCACCTTCGTCTGCTCCATTTTCAGATTGGGTTTAAAGAAAGCTTCCTGAATATTTTTACTCCTTTAATTTAGTAACAAAGTGAGGTAAAGCGAATTAATGTTCTTAAAGAGCAGCAACGTTTCTTTAATTGTCGCCCAATAAAAACTCCAGCCTCAAAGAACATTGTCATTCGACATAGCGAGGTGATTATTAGTTCCTAAATTCCCTCACAAATGCTTTGTTTTCTTTCTGTGGCTGAAAAGAAATTTGTCAATTTTCATAAGCACAAGACCTTTCCCCTTGTTTTCTGCAAGATTTCAGTGATGGTGTACACAACGCTGTATGGTAGAAAACTCGAAGGCTTTGATTTAGGGGTAGTGATGGTAATAGCACTATTTAAGCTTGAGATGATAACGTTGTCACAGTTTTTTTTTTAAAAATCCAATTTATTAAGTTATCTTTTAATATCGGTTATTAACCATTAATGCATTGTTCCTTTGACTTCCTTGTTGTTTCAGCAATGGCCTTTTATTTCACTTTCCTTGGTGCTCGAGGCAACACTGGGCCGACATCAACAGCTGGATACAAACGCACGCCTCTAGAAGGGACAGTAACACTCAACAAAGGAATACAGATCTGGACGGTTCCATTTACCGCGCGGTATAGTTTCACTGTGGCTGGGGCATCAGGAGGGAAGGGATATCAACCAGGAGGGAATGGTGCAATTGTAAGTGGAATTGTGAGACTTTTCAAGGGTACTGTCCTGCACCTCTTAGTTGGTCAGAAAGGTCTCAAAGGATCTTCCGCTGCAGGAGGGGGTGGAGGTACATTTGTAGTTTTCAGTAATAATACCCTTTTTGCAGCAGCTGGCGGTGGGGGTGGTGGAGGGGGTCAGATAACATCAAAGGTTGGCGATGATGGCCAAAAAGGAACAAATGGAAGCGTTTACGGAGGCGTCAATGGTCTGGGTGGGAAGGTGTGTGCTGACGAGTTAAACTATGCAGGTGGCGGTGGTGGATTTAGAGGAGACGGGAAATGCGCCTTCAATATAACATGCGTTTCTCCTCGATCATGCAAGGAGGCTGGGTTCTCTTATTTTAATGGTGGTGTGGGGGGCAAAGGAGATGGAAATGGGGGATTCGGTGGAGGTGGAGCGGCATATAACGATTTTGGAGGAGGCGGAGGTGGGTATTCTGGAGGGGGAGTGTATGCCACATCGTTTGGTTCACGGTCAGGAGGGGGTGGATCCTTTGGCAATGGTGCACCCCTGTCAAGTAGTGGAGTATCACATAGTAGCGGTGATGGATACGTGTTATTTAGATACCCCTAGTATCAGACCAACATATTCGGTCGATCTCCCTTGCTATCAAATGTTTTGCAATATTTCGATGACACTAACTCAATGACCAAGAATCACGATAGGCTATATTACCTTCTGAATCAGTCACATGATTAATAAACGTCAAGATAACCGGATAATGGCCAAGTTCATCTTTTGCATTTTAATGAACCAAGAAGGGTGGAGGGGCAATAGAATAGAAATTTATTCCTAAAAGAATAGAAATCTAAAAAGACGACGTTAGTTGCGAACCACTGAGGGTTTTTTGCATAATGCCCTAACCACAGCTGCAGTGACCAGCAAATCACAACTGAATGGGAAGGATCATAATGTTTAACGAATCCAGTTAACATTATTGCCTTAAGAAGACTTGCGTTATACAGTCGAAACGTCGGAATCACCTCGATGACTAACTGCATCCTTCTTAATGAAATCACGCATTCCTGCCATTAACGTAACCGACCAATTTGAGCATATGCGTATGTTGTGTGGACGAGAAGTACCTCTCATTTTTCATTAATAATCGGTATTACATAAGATATCTCGAGTATTAGAGATTTTGTCATGGAATTTCCAATTTTATTTACAACGCTTAGCCCAAATTTTGAGCTATACAACGTTTGTTTCATATCGGTGCTTCTTACGCCCTATTCTAAACAACGGTGCTAACGTCACTCTTCCTCTCTTGCGTTGATCTCCTCAGGCAGGTAATGTTCGCCCGAGCTCATTTAATACAAAAATGGTATCGCGGGTAACTCGTCATCCTTTATCGATAGATGAACACTTACTATTGGCTTGTCCATCATGCCACAAGGGTTCTACATTCACGCCATAAGAAAGATCGACTTTCGACTTGCTTTGCCACCATCAATGATTAAATTCACTCTTGTTTTCGATATCACACCAAACTTGTGTGCAAAAGGGAAATTGTTGCAAGTCACCAGAGAAGGTGCATGATCCCTTATAATTCTCAGGAAGGACTTGCACGATTGCCGAAGTACACATATCCACACGCAACCTGCACGCCAGGTTTGTAACTTGTTACAACCCTACCAGTAATTTATGAAGGTTACAGTTCCTGGTGTGTCTGGAGAGGCAGTGACTAGCTTGGTTTCATCAGCCCACATAAGGTGCAGCAATGTTGGGTTACGATGCAGCACGTTCAACAGCTTGCCCTCCTATAGGAAGGGAACAAAGAAAACGTTTGTCTCCCGTTTTATAAAAACGTAGAGAGGATATTTTTCCATTTGCTTATTTGAAAATAGAATCCAGACAAGACTATAAGAAAGTTAAATTTACACAAAAAACCCTAAACGATTTAAGGCACGGCATTTTAAGTCCATACCAGTTCAAGGTTACGGAGATGTGCTGTACAAAAGCCTAAATATAGTCTTTTGGCAAGGTAAGCCAACGCCAGTAGGGAATAGAATGCCGAGGATAGCGAAGACTAATAAGGATAAAAAAAAATCTTGAAAAATAACAGGTTAAACGTTTCATGATGCATACGCCAAAATTACGAAGTACTTCTTCAAACAGCATTACGGCATACCTTCATATCCCAAAGAGCGATGCGCTTCCGGTCTCCGCCAGAAATGAGCCGATTACCTGAGAGGCACAGGCACCTGACCACCCCGATATGCTCCTCCAGTGTGTGAAGCAGGATACCTGCCAAACATATTAGTGACTGTTAAATAACAATCTAGTTAGAGTGCATCAAGAAACAAGGTATAACTACAAGAAATGAAAAAGTCACCTACCTTGATGATTCCATAATCGCACTGTACTGTCCGCCGAACCAGACGCAATTATGTCATCATTAAACTGTAAACAGTACTGGATAAAGTAGTCAAGAAAGTTTAAGAACGTGTTCATTCCGTGCACGTGAAATCAAAAGATGTGCTGGCTTCTTGGCCATAGGGGCGGCATGTTTGGTTTTTTCTAAATTTAAATTAATACACGAACAATCATGCCAAATACTTCCATATGAGGAATTGAACCTCAGTTCTTGCATTGCGCCCTCTGATGCTCGACTACTGAGCTACAGAGAGCTCTATGGCGATCTAGGGTTTTTACTAAGTTCATATGTGACGATCAGCAAAACGAAAACAGAGTGCTACTGAATAGATTAAGAAAGATGGTAATGTGTTCAGCATCAAACTTCGCGCACTAACTCCAACCAACACCTAAAAAAGGCGTTAAGGCGAATTTACCTCATTGAAGGAAATCAGTTTTGCTTGATGGCCAAAATAACGTGCATAATTGTGTAAAACTTATGTCTCTTTGTATTTCATACAATAAGCAAACTATGGATTCATCGCTTACCACTTCCCCTGTATGCCCAACCAAAGTGAATGTATTATCTCCTGTCTGAGCATCCCAGATCTTTATCAAACCGTCACCTCCCCCACTGATTATCTTCTTTTCGTTAAAGTCACAACAAAAAACAGCTGTCAATAGACGTTATAAAAACTAAATATCAGAAAATTATGTTCGATATGTTGCGCAACATTTTCAGTTTTTAAAGAGTAACAACAAGAAAAAAAAAAAAATAATCACGACTAAAAGACAAAAATGTCCATTTTCTTCAATTGTTAAAATTGGAGTCCACCTGGGAGGATCATTTATTTACTTGAACAAGTTCAGGTTCACATTAACCCAGGCTGAACAAACTCAGATAGCCTTTTTATCATTTACACCACTAGTTACTACTTTGAGTTTTAGTGCAATCCCTCGGTGCTGGCTTACGAGAGCTATAAATCTTGCAATTGAAGTTACTTACCTTCCGTATGGCCTCTCAGTGTTAAGAGACAAGCGCCCGCTGTCACATTCCATAGCCTTATGGTTTCATCCCAAGATGTTGTGATCACGAGGTCGTCACGGGCAACCAATGCCTTACAAACAAAAGAAACGTTTTGATTGGTTGGCAGCTGTTCCAGTCACTTGACATACATAGCAAAATAAAGACTAAGTTGAAAGAAGAGGGGACGCAGAGATCTGGCCCTAGTTGTACAAAGGGTGGATAAGGGTATCCACTGGATAAATCACTATCTGGTGGATAGCGCAGTACGTTTTGTTTACAGTTATCCGCTGGATAACGATTTATCAGTTGGATAGCTTTATCGACCCTTTGAACAACTGGGCCCTGGTGGTTAATTCACTAGTTTGCAGATCGGAAGAAGCGAGTTGGAAGTCTCGACTGATTGGTGTATTTCGTTCTCAGTGAAGCACTTTACTCTCACAATGCCTCGATCCAGCCGGGAGTAAGAATGGGTACCAGCAAACTTCAATGGACAATTGATGCAGGGGGTTTACATGCCAAGTAGCAGTAGCAATACTGCATGTCGTTTTAAGCCAAAGGAACTAAAATAGCCTTCATGAGACTTGACCAATGTTACTCGCAAGATATCAATACAGCATCTTAAAACTATTTAAAATTACCTGAATTTCATCTGAATGGCCAGTCATAGTGTGAAGAAGAGCACCAGTATCTGAATTCCACACCCGCACAGTTCTGCGTAAAAACGGAAGATAACCACAACTAAATAGATATCTTGATATCATAACAGAGTGTGATCCCAAATTTTACCTACTTACAGCCCTTACTCACAGGTCAGCAGATGCACTAATGATTGTACTTCCAACAAATGATAAGTGTTCCACACCCCCTGTGTGTCCTTGAAATGACCTGCAGTACACAAATCGTACATTTTGTTAGTCCACGAGTACACGGAAACAATAGGTAACACTTTGAGTGACTAATTTTAGTATTCAAGCTCCGTACGTCGCACGAAAGTCTGACTGACGGGAGTGTTTAGAGGCTTAAAAAACAGAAATTTACTGAACTTTGCAAATTCCTTTTCCTTTCGCTAACGGTTATGAAATTTAAACGACAAACATGCAGTATAACTCAATATTAAATCATATTTTGTATCATCGTTCCTTTGAAGCTCACGCTCATCGGAGTTTATCTACGTTGTCGTTAATAGACGACGAAGAATATTTCTGTCGTTGTTATAGATAAAGACCGTTGAGCTGACCCATGAAGTAGAAAGGACGGTGCTTAAAATTGATGAGGAGAAATGTAAGCCACTGCCAAGAAATCCGTGAATCAACAATGCAGTGAAGTGAATAGGAATGGAACAGAAAAAGTTCATCAAATTGTGCGTTTATAAGAGCTTCACTTCGTAAAGAATGTGACAGGAAAAATAGAATCCACGGTGGCTTTGAAAAAGATTATGAACAGCATCTGTTGATGTACACATACCAATATCCGGCTAGATAAAACCTTGGACTTGTAGGCGATGAAGATAAAATTGGCGTTTCGAAAGCGGACACTTTATATGAAAATTTGAGACTTCGTACAAGGAAAGACTTCAAAATGAAGAAAGTACGCATATGACCTAGATGGAAACCTTAGCATGGATATCCGAAGAGGAAGATAGAGGTTTACCACTCACATTAAAGAGAAAGAAAAAACATTACACAAATGCAGTTACATGTATACCAGAAGGGAGCCGGAGATGGGACCAATACAGGAGAACATGGAGGAGAAAAACAAAGGCATAAAGGAATAACTGAATGGAAGACTAAGAGGAAGTTGGGAAATGCAGCGCCAAGCTTACAGAGCGCGAAGAAGGTAAGTAGGTTTTTCCTTTTGGCGTAATATTCTGAACATCACAAGCAAATATATTAATTCTGAATCAAACCTGAGACATCGTCCAGATTTCAGGTCAAACAGTCTGATCACTCCATCTGCGCACCCAGTAGCGCACAACGAATCCTGGGTCGACAAATAGAAGTGTCATTTATTTCAAAGGGGCAAAACTTTGATATCAAACAACAGTTTCCGTCTACATGAATCATGGCCTTTCACTTCGACTCAACATGACATCTTATGCAACCTGTAAAACTGATATCTACAATTCAACAAACTTCCCATTTGACCACTTAATCTCAAGTTACGCATTTTCTTTGCTTTTTGGTCTGTTTTCAGTTGGTTTATTGACTTATACACATCTGTTACCGTCATAGTTAGCAAACTATGACGGTAATTGGCTTCCCAACTGGTAAATAAAGGGGGTAAGTTTCTAAAGAAACTGTGGTGCTGCATCGGTGGGCGAGAATAACAGTGTAATTTAGCATTACTAATCAACTGAGTTGAAAACGTAAATTGGTCACGGCCGTAAAGGGTTTAAAGGCTGACGTGTCGAGTGTTAGCCCTTCGTCAGATCTGAGGAAGACAATCGCTCTGACGAAGGGCTAACGCTCGAAACGTCAGCCTTTAAACTCTTTACGGTGGCCAATTTACGTTTTCAACTCAGTTGATAACACTAAATTACCTTCCTAGCTAGTGGTCTTGCAGGTTGCACAAGTATATGGTAACCAACACAGCTTCCTCTTGGTCGATAATAGAGACTTTGATGTCTATCATTTCGTTGTTGATTTGTTATTTTCCTTGTTTCTTATGTATCACTTCAATTTCTTTCCTTCTTTTCTTTTATTTTGACTCACATCGACTCACCTTTAGTTGCACACATCTTACAGAGTCAGTATGCGGTGAGTCCAAAACAAGAATACACTTAGCAGTTTGGACATCCCAAACACGAGCTGTATTATCTGACGAGCCAGACACAATTGTGCTACCTGAAAATAAATGTCAGCAGTTGTAGAAACATAAATGGATGTAATTGATGCAAGCTCTATGTGGTATGCTATTTAGGACAAAAGTGAGAAAACTGTTTACATACACACTGAATATTTCTTTGAAAAGTTAGAGACAATGGATGGGATAGTCTCCAAAATGTACAATCACCGTCATGGTTTAACCATTTACACACTGACATCAGTATGCATATTCTCCATACTGTTTTCTATACATTTCCTCACGTGGTGACAAGGAGAATTTGTTTAACAATCAAAAGCTTCTTTAGTCAGTGATCAGTTCCTTTACTCTCCTGACCTTAATGTTTGATTCAGGGGTGTATGGTCAGGAGAAATTAGATGCCAGTCACTCTTAGGGTTAAAGGGTTAAAGAAATTTCTTAAAGCACTTGACTCACTATTGCACTTGGCATAATTAAAAATGTAACTTAATCATAAGTTAGCAAAGAAAAGAAAAACAGAGAAATCATAAGGACTTTTAAATCAATTAAATGGTTAAGAATATATGAAAGTCATATATTTGAATTGCAGATAAAGATGTGAAAGTGATCCTTGCAGTAATGTGCACTACTTGGGCAGTGGTGGAAATAAGGCCTGAAAAAAATTCCGTGTACATTACTGCGAGGATCACTTTCATTCACATTTTAAATCAATTGTAAACATGAAGTTGCAGGAGTTTACCACAGGGTACGGGGAAAAGGGACCAAAAGTTTGCACCCAAGCCATGTGGCTTGCATGGTGCTGGGTCTCTGAAGTATGAAAATAGTAAGAGTATTGCTATTCCATCTAGATGGAATGCTAGTCCCTTCAGATTTCCCTTCACCATTTTGCCAGTCTTCCTTGACAGTTCACTGACTCTGATTTGAACTCTTAACTGGAGAGGCACAGTGAAAGTAGCATATTAAAAACACAATACATTGATTAAGCTGGGTCTACAACCCAGATCTCTTCACCCAAAGTCTGGTAACGTCACTGTTAGGCCTCCATATCTTCATGGAGAGGGTCCAAGGATGGTAGAATATTTAAGACATGGTGAAAAGCTGATGGGTTTGCAGTTTCCCAAGGGTTGAGAATTCATATAGAAACTGGGCTGGGTATAGGTAAGGATTTAATTTCAGAAAAATGCAATGACTGCAATTCTCTAGCAGCCTCTAAGTTTTCCTTTCAATTCTATAACCACTCAAAATGATTTCAGACATTTACCATCACAAGCCATGCAGGTGATAGGATCCTTGTGTCCTCTTAAAAGTGGTGCAACAGAGTATCTGCCTTGTTCCCAGTTCTTATCAAGTGAGAGGGCTCGAATATAGATCTGCTTCCAGCGGCAGGTGGCAGGCTTTAGTACAGTACATGCGTTATTTGTTAATGATGCATTTGACCCTTGAGAGGTTAACATATGACGCATTTGCAGAAGATCTTCTCCAAATCTGTCCCACCCCTTTTGAACACAGAAACGATACCTGAAAAACATTCATGTATATATATGAATGGCAGAGTCAGCCAGCCAAAGTGGTGGTAAAAGAAATTGAAATCAAAATACAAGGTGTTAGGAGGGAATTACTGAAGAGCCTAATGTTCTCCATGCATCTTTAAAATTACAAAATTGTCCCAGGGCTCATTTTTTCTCAAGAAAAATTAATTGGTTTGGCAGGAACAGCTTCTGACTAGTATATCTAAATTTTTACTTACACCAGCAGATGGTAACCAAAGAGCATTTTTAAACTTTCATTACCGATCATTGGCTACCTTAGGTGATTTCACACTTAAACGAATGCTACACTCTTCATGAACTTTAATTCCTCTAAACTCCCATATATCTTGATTTCTCAGACCCTAACAGTTGCCAAAATTCTCTGATAATTTCACAAGATTTTAGGATACTTTGAGCTTAATTTGGCTGATGCTGATTTTCCCCCCCCATTTAAACCTTTCAAGTGCTCTGGATATTTTTCTGAACAGTGTAAACCCACTTCCTTCCCCAGAAGGCATGAAAGATTAAGAATCAATTGTTTTGCATAACCTCAATGAGACAGAATTATTTGATAAGAAATTCTAGTCTGAACCTAAACCAAAAAATAAATGCACTTGCAGTAACAAAAAGATTAATTAAGGAATAAACACAGGTGCATGTATTATGTTGATTGCATGTAAACATACCAAAATGCATTATGATTTGATCTTTCCCTCCACAGTCTGTTGCACTGTGCAACACAACTGAGTGATTTTACAGACAGATATGAGAATATTCTTTCTGCCAATTCTTTTGGTAGAGATGCCACAAAATCTACTGCTAGCAGTGGTTTTAACTCATTGTAAAGCAACCTCAGCTGAAGTGGCTGAAACACAAATAGCAAAAATAAAAAGACTAATAAATTAATAAGAACAACAATTAATATTATTAACAGTAACCCCACTATTAATGATGTCTTTCCTAAATTATCTCAACTGTAAAGACAGTACTTTGTGACTGGCTTTGAGTAAAATGCAGAAAGCCTTGGAAATTGTGTGGTACTTCTGCAATCAGCACACATTTGGTTTCTTGTGTTCTTACAGTTACCACTGCTCAGACACGTTCAACCTCTCCAAATTTTGACTCTCATAATAACCTCTCCATATGCACCTTTCATGGATTTCATCACGAACTTCATAATGTGGTCGTAAGTGCAAAGATCTGGCATGAAATGCCGGTCAACTGCACTCGTCATGTACATGTAAGACTGTGTGACAATGCAGGTGGTCACTTGCAACCTAACTCCATTCATTTTCTATTCTTTCCAAATCTTAACAAAAGATTTCCTAAAAAAAGGCCAGTATTAATTAACAAAATCATTCCCTCCAAGAGGAGAAGTACTAGAGAATTTGAAGAAAGCCGGTGAGTGAAGAATTTAACTAATTACTATAACAACAGGTTACATGTACATGTGTACCCAGCTGATAGTGGTTTCGAGGATCACATGGAGTCCTCGATGATGAGGCGTTTCTTTGATGCTACATACATGTAGTTCAGTCGTTAGCAGCGCCGATCCCTCGAACAGTATCAGCTTCAGATAGTGATAAATCAACTGTATAAGGCAAGCTTTAGATCAGACATAAACAAACCTGACAGGCGAGAAGGATTTGTTGCAAGACTTCGTTTTGCTGATCACGATTAAAATCTTTAAATGTGTTCACAAACACTTTGGCTTTCTCTTCAAAACTCATTCTTCTGAGTAGAGAGGCATGGATGCGTTCTTCTCAAGTTGTTAGATTCACTTTTCGGAATCTTGATTTAAAAAACTCAAAATCTAAACAAAATCCCTTAAGGACCTATAAGATGATCATCCTTCCCCGTCATTGAGCCCGCGATTATTATGAGTTTTAGTCACGCTTTTCTAGCACTGAGTCACGCCTTCAAGTCACGGGAAGTCACGCTTCATCGTAAAAGAGGCGCACGATATTTTCAACTTATGGTCAGCAGTTTCTGGTGTCAATTCAACATGGAGGGCATTCCTATGTGGTTGTTTGTAAACAACTTGAAACCTGCCTCAACTCGGTGGCTGAAAACGATCTAGAAGGCTCCTTTAATTCAATTTGACTGCTGAGAAGGATGATATTCCTCTTAAACTGTGTTTTTTAGAACGGATCGCCCTACATTTCTTGACCTTGGCTCACAGAAGGAGAATACAGAACATTCTGAATAGTTACCAAAACTTGTAAAATTATTTATGATTTCTTTGATATACCAAAGGTTTTAAACAGCACGAATTCAGTGGTAGTTGAAGGCTCTTACTCGAGAAAAATCAGAGAATTACTGGTACGAGGTATATCGTGATATTTGTGATGCAGAGGGGACAAACAGATAAAGATCGGCGTCGAAACGCCACACAAGAGTGTCAAGCTCTAAGGGATTTAGTGAACAAGTTGAAGATGGAACTTTTGCAAAGTCAAGTGGAAACTCAAAAAGTTAAAGATCAACTCCAGTGTATGATATATCTTGTTCGCCGGTAAGTACGATGACCCCGATTATAAACAAACTTCAATGACTGAACCAGTGATGCAAGTGCACCAAAGATATGATTTTCTACATAATTTTAAAAGGTTTTTCTCTCAAAATTACCTGTTTGATTTTATTGTTTTGAAGTGTGAATGGTGATTTAATCAAAGGACGTTTTCTAGGGCTCGTTATTTTTAAAGACAAAAAACACCAAACTTTACTACTAAAATATGCTGTTTAAGAAGTTTTGAAATATGTGTTATTTGGTTCTTTAATCAATATAAGCTCTATAGCTTATCTTAAAAAAATTATATTTCAAAAATTATATGCATAACTATCATTTCAGCCTGCACTTTCCCCCTAACCCTCCGATGACTACTTCTGCCTTGAAAACTCTTAACTTTAAAAACTGCCCCTGTTAGACACCAGACTATCCAAAAACCTTCAACCCTTGGTTCTCCAAAACTAAGATTTAGGTAACCCATGACTAATAACCATGAAAAGATGCTTCTTAGTGCAATACTGACACAAATAGATAGCTTTGACCTTTCATCAGAGTAGGGAGAAATGTCTTACATTGTCAAACATGTACCTTTGCTTACCCGCTTAAAGATATTTGTGAGTTTATGGCTTTCTAATGTTTCTGCAAGGCTAAGAAGTTATGGTGCACAAGGGCATAAGTTTTTCAGGGGTTCAAGTTGTTTAGACTGAATTTGGGGTGTGAGCTTTGTGGAGCACTGAGATTTTCAGGGGGGTGGAGGGGGCTTGAATTGTCAAGATACCCAGGCAGGGGTCTGTGCATGTGGTTGTAGTTTTGAGGGGTTTTGCTTTCTTCACATCCACATGGTCTTCCACACTTATCATTTCATCCTTTTGAAGCTGCTAATCTATCGCTATTCTCTGTAGAGCTTGGCAGGGAGATGATGTAGCATCAATACATGTAGCCAATATTGTAGGTAAGTTGATGTTTTACATTTTCTTTCTTTTCTATCTTTCCTGTGTTGTTCTTGTCTTTTTTGCCTGTGTTTGGTGGGGTTGGAGTTGGGTTCAGTGCCCCGATATAAACATTTCATAATTATATTCTTGCTATATCATAATAAATATTAACCTTAGCCACAAGGAGCTATTGAGAGAAATTAATTCAATCAGTGAATTTTCTTTATCTATCTTCTGGTAAAGTGTTGCAAATTAAATTTAGGCACACTTACCCACATTAGTTCAGGTACTTGATAGAGTCAAGTTCTACAGAGTATGCACGATGACAGACAGCTCATGATTTGGTCATTTTTTTTTTTTTTGTACTTTGAAACAATTTGATTTACATTTGATAGGTGTGGCTCCACCAAAGATGCAGAGGTCAGACCACGATGAAATTGTGGCCACACCCAAGGTTAGTTCAGATTATCTGGAGTCTCTATAATTAGCTTACTCAAGAAATATTAAAGTAAATGGTTTGAACCCAGGAGTATCAGTAGTTCGTATAGTGTGATCGTCCGGGTGAGTTACCAACAACAGTTCTTTTCAGAACTACACTCACCCGGATGATCACACTATACGAATCAAGAAATATTGTATTTTTTTCCTTGGTGTGTATTAATGGAGTGACCTTCAATTATATTTGAAGGACTATTTAGGCTATAGACTATTTAGACTGAATCAACAATGTACTCTACACACATTGTATCCCCTCTGATAACAGAACTTTTTATTGATAACAATGTTTTTTTTTTTTGCTCAAAGTAAATTGAAAATCCAGTTACATCCTTATTTGACGAATTGATTACTCCAAAAATACCATAATTTGATCAAATTATTATTGCCCAATGTAGACCAACATTTTTCATGCCGTAAATGCACATGTATAATATATCTGTACAGGTGCACTGTATAATATTTTATATGAATGCAATTGCTTTTATTTACTGGTAAATTTTTTTTTGTCTCACATTTGTTTTTTCCCGAAAATCTCACTGATCTTAGCATGTAGCATGAATACAGGGTCTATCATCAAATCCTGAGAAAAATGATTTTCTTTTCAGTCTAGAGCTCTGAATGGCTGGGCTCGACTTGTTATTGGTCTGTTAAATCGTATGTACCAAGAGGAAGAACTTGAACTACGTGCTAAACAACTTTTGTACATGCGTGACAGAGAAGAACTACTTGACGAGCAGCTAATGTCACACAAGGATATCACACGCCATCAAACGAATGTTTCCCTTTTGCAAACCAATACCTTACAGTTACTACAGGTATTTATATCAAGAACGTTTAAAATTGGTAAATTTGAGAAAATCTGGTCCGGAAAGCTTTCGTCTTTGATTGTTATACACACAACATTTTTTTTTTCACTTGTAGATTCTCCCTGATCGAGTTTCCTCTTAGCTAATAGATATCTGTTTGTAGAATTTTCATGCAATTATGTGTTAAGGGAGTGTTTTTCAGCGCTTTACTAACTAAATTCATTTATAATTTCCGTTCGGTTCATAAAAGTTTTTATATGATGAACTTCATTCTCTTTTTTCGACCCGATTCAATGAGGGCGGGCAATTGAAATAGATCCCGAATTATGTTTAAGCGCAACCATTCGTTAATGGAAATTGACTTGGGAAATGAATTAAAGATTGCGCATGCGTGAACGACGTAGTGATTGGCAATTTGAACTCGAAATCGATAAGAACGCAATTGAATCCCTACTATGTCGTTTGTGTGGTGTTCTTGGGTATGTCAACAATCCCTCAAAGTGGTTCTCCACCAAAGAGTCCAACTGGATACAAACGACCCCTCCGGGAAAGGCGAAAAAATCTTGAGGGTAGCCTGCAATTTGATCTGTTAGTTTGCTATCTGAAGAGGTAAGAGGCTTACAGAATTTGGGATACTAGCCTTGTACGAGAAGTTATTTTTGTGTAGGTCCGTTTGCGCTGGATTTTCGTTGCTTCTCGTGCACAAACTGACGTGGCACATGATATGAATGCGTTTTTACAGGCCAAAGAAGAGTGCAAAGCTCGAGAGAGAGCGGAGGAACGAGAGCAAATTGAACAGCAAAAACAAGAATTGAAAGCAAAGTTTAGAAGGAGGCCACCAAGGCTTCAAACCCACGGCGTGGCCCGGAAGGACAGTGTGGAGAGAATTGTTGACTTAGATATGTCTGGTAACCTCTTGATCAGCCCGGTGAGGAGCAAGAAGATAGCAGCTAAGGAAAGTACTGTAAGTATTACATAGGAACAGAGGGAAGGGCCGCTTTTAGTGGAGGGCTAGAAAAATGCTTTCTTTGTTTTATATCGTTGTTAGGCTGCCTAACTAATGAGATCATGAGCGCGATCTCTAAAGATCAAAATCAAAGACTACGAACAGTCCCTCTTTCTCAGCAAAGTCCCTCGCGCGGTTCAAAGATAAAAGACTGCGAAAAAAAATTTATGTCAGCGCGTCACGCGAAACTCTGGGAGTGAGGCGCACGAAAAGTAGAGTTTCCAGAACTCCTCCGACAGAGGGACCACTCGTAGTCTTGTAGGAGGTGTTTTTATTTGTCACCCTGCCGCGATATTCCGGTGTACAATAACAACATCAACAAATATAATCATAACAGCAACATGAATAGCAGAAACAAACGCAGCCACAATTCCAATAAAATCAAACACAAGTCATAAAATGTTTCGCAAGAGCCGTGGCAAACTTTAAGCATCGTTTATATTAAAGGTAAACAAAAAAATTGGGGAAATTCTCAAGACGTAGCTAAACTGGGAAAGCGTTTATTTTCCTTTCTTGTTTCTATGTCTGGGAGTTAAGGTTTTGTCTTTTTTTCTGATTAAGAGGAATTCGAAGATTTAAGACTCCAGTTTGCCACGACACTTCTTTGAGATTATACAGCAGTTTTGCTAAAGTAATCAAAATATCAGAGTTTGGTATATATATTGATTTTTCCGTTTTCTTTTTCAAGCAGGAGAGACATGTTAATAGTCCAGAAGATCTGGAAGATGAAGCTATAGTCGAAGGTTTGATGCAACTAATGCATGTATTTTGGTCTTGCGTTATGATGAAGACAGCAGTTACTAATATGTTGTATACTTTTGTGGTTAAATTTGGTCCTTGCACCAGGTTTTATTACCCTTCGTTTCGAACTCATCGTCATTCACTTTTATGTCCAGAAATTCGGGATAAAAATATTCTTATCACAACATGTCTGTAAGATTAAAACTCGTACTTTTTGTTACTTTATGAAAAGTCCGTTCATAACAGTGTCTCTATCCCATTCACTATCCCTCAGGATCGTCCTCCTCATGCAGCAATATCAAGAAGGAAAGCGCTGTAAGGTTCAGTTTTACCATCTGTATTTTAAGTCGTTTATTAGGATGTCTACTTTTTTTTTGTAACAAAGCCTTATCGCCTTACAACAACATCCCTTTCCATGTTTTACTTTTGCTTATCGCCGCCAAGGCGTATTTTTTCTCTTTGTTTCTTGAGATGGCAACTCAAAATGAGAACGCTTTTCATACTCTTAATTTTTCTTTTTGATGCACTTCTTAAATTTTGCAAGTTGAAATGTTATTAGCTAAGAGAGAGCTATTGCACTATGCAAGCAGGTGTTTGTAGAGGAATGTAAAGATGCTATTACATATACATCTATATGTGACTATCAATAGCCAAGGATGAATTTGGGAATTTCAAGGAAACGAATAGTTGTATTTATGAGACATTCTGCCATCTCAAGACGAGATCATCCGTTGCAAATTAAAGCGAACCTTAGATTAATAGCTGCATAAAATAAATGACGTCAAGAGAGCTCAAGTAACTCACAAAGTGGTCAACCTGTGACATTGGTTTTGTTTGCTTTCGGTTGTTTTTTGTCGACATAAACATTGATATTTGTTGGAATTTGTTTCAGATTTCAAACGATGTCTTCCTCACAAGAAGAAGATCTAGCTCTTTAAGCCGGTAACGGTAGCTCTGCTTCCATTTCTGTAATTAGAATTCACGTATTTTACGTTCGCATTAATGCTTTCAAACCTAGCACATCCCCAGGAGGATACTGAGTTAATATACCTGTAAATTCTTTACCACTTTAATTTTGTATTCAGAAAATGCAAATTTGATTGAAGTCTCAAAGTATATGGACATCTTTGATAGGCACTCACACCTTCGTTTGTCGTTAAATTCCCATCATCCCTCGCGCACATGGGGCCCATTCGAAGAGATAGAAATTATATCATTCAAGATATTCCCATTGAGCACTCAGAACCGAAACCGGTATTGTTTACGCTAGCATATAACCTAGTCTAATTTCTCTATTTTATGTGTCTCAGAGAGGAAGCAAACTTACCGAAACAGAAAAGAAATGGCAACGTAAGCAAACTTTACTTAATGTAGCTTTTTACTTAAATGAAAGAATCATTGATTTTGGAAACATTCATTGCCTTTTTCACGTCCCTTTCCCTGTTTCTTTAGCATACTCGTTCACAGACAAGCGATTGGACTGGAAAAAGAAAACCTAGGCCCCAAACTGCAGGTATGTAAGTTCTAGGTCAGCGTACGCTCGCACTATCTCGTCTTAAAGCGAGAAATTTCAAAGCAATTTGGCATCAATGTGCATTGTCTTATTGGATTAGCAGAAATTCCTTCTTGTAGAAGTGAGGTATGTTTCTCCTTAAGGAATTCTACTTGAGTAACACATGGAAAGCTAACGTTCGTATCTGCAATATCTTTTGTCGCTGAGATTTTGTACCTAGCCATAGGTGTTAAAACTTATTGTTTCGTGTGGCACAAGGGAATCTCATTGAGTTATAGGATTCACGACTACTGATCAGCCTTTGCCTCTATGACGCACCGTTTCACCCATGAGTGGCCTTCTTCCTTTTTTCTGACACTTAGCAGATAGTGAAGATTCTGCTTTTGTGAAATACTTCTGCAGTAAAAGTGATGCTAAATCTAGTTCTAAACCTTGGCAACGCTAAATTTTAGTCACCATAATTGTGGCTTTATTGAATATGACAGCTGCGAAAAGTTCCAACACGGGGGGCAGCATGGTTGTGAAGAGCAAAGGAAGGCCTATGTCCGCCCACGTGACCCAGCCTATGGCATGGAGTAAACCCCCTCCAACCTTTGACACAAGTAAAACCAGAAGACAGTTAGATCTCATCGAAAGAGACTTGAAGTTCACAACGAAGGCGCTTCAGGATCGACTGGGTATTTCTAAACAAGGATTTGTGTAAATAAAACGATTTCAATGCCGTAGCAAAGGCAATGCAAGGCTTAAGTCGCGTGGTATCTGGTAGGAGACCATTTTTGCGTGTTTGCGGTAACAAAAGAAATGTGTAAAATTCAGTGGCGAGGTAAAAAACTGAGGCACACAAGGGGAGTTACAGTTAGATTCCTTTATATGAACAGAAAAGACTCAGAAATCAAGCTAAAAGCTCAATTAGTCAATTTTAGCAAATATGGTGAAATGTCTGCTCCTAACGGAATCGGTTATTTTTGAGCCACGCATACCCGGATTGATTTAACAGTTTGACTACATGTAAGAGTGAAATAAAAGCATCTAAAACTTTCACTTTCAGATAAGTGATGAATTGAATGCATAATGGCTGCTCAGGTTGTGGGCGCGAAGGCTGTTCTTTAGGGTTGGCAAACATTTACACTACTATTAAAAGTCCAGCCATGTTTTGTTTCATTCACTCGTGCTTTGTACTACTCAGCCGCTCACTGGAAGAAAATTACAATTGGCTTGAAGCGACTGATAGAGTCCATCGTATCCTTCACTCTTTTTGATGTTAATTGCATCATCGATATGAACAGGATCCTTGAAGACGACCCCCCAGCGAAGGCCTGTTTGTTTTTGGGTGAAGCACTTGTCAAATGGTATTGTTGAGTTTTTGCAGTCTTAAATTTCTCAATAGCGTGACCCACGAAATGGTTCGCTCCCTTTTCTTTCCGATATTTACCATGGCATGCATCATTTCATTTCGCTTTTCCGTACCGAGAACATGTAAGAGAGAGCTTCTTTTTCTAAAATAATTCCAAGAGACAAACCTTAATCCTGCATTGCTGAGCGTAGCGGTTCATATTTATGATTGCTCCTTTGAATCCTGGATGAATATAACCAACGCCTTCAAAGAAGCCACCCCAGAATTTCAAAAGATCACAATTCCCTTGTAGGAAAGACATATGGTAAAAATTAAACCTTTATACGTAAAGGAAGGAAAGAAGTTATGTGAATTATGTCTTGTGACCAGAAATTTTTCGTCGCTCTTGGACTTATTTTGACTTAAAAAACAAAACAGAGGCAGGAACGAAATTTGCTGCATTTTTCATCATGATCACGTTGATGGTTTCGAATGCACTCTTCTCAGTTTGGTCACTACGCAAACATTTCCTAAAATCTCATTCTATTTGCTGTTTGCTATTTTTCATTCTATTTTGCTATTGCTATTAGCGGCTTAAGGCAAGAAATAGAACCAAACCTTTCCTTAGCGTTAATTTTTCGGCAAAACATTGGGGAACAAAAGAATAATACTTTTTAACAAACTTGGTATTGTGCACTTGTTGAATAATGCTTCTCCGAGAGAAAAAAAAGTTCTTACCTGCTGATTGTACATTGCAAGAGATTGCCAGTAGCACGATAACCACCAGAATCATTTTTAGCTTCATGGTTCTCGTGAAATACGAAATCCTGACAGGAAATGGAAGTTAGTTGTATGTAAAATCAACCTCGACAAATATCGTTGCCTTTCTTTAATTAGTGTTGCTGTAGAAATTTAAGCGTATGTAATGTCATTTTCTATGTTAAAAAAAAATTAAGTATAGCGAAATTCTATGTTCGTAACGACTTAAAATGCTAAATGTTTTAAGTTGTTTCCTATACACAATAAAACTTTTCCCTTACATTCAATTTTCGTCGTGGTTTACAACGAAATATTATTGCCCTTCGAGCATATAATACGGTCGTCTTCGGTCAAGCAACGTGAAAATTATAACCATCTAGTTGAAATTTGACATAGGCGGCAAAAAAGGTTTAATACCAATAGTTCTTACCTCAGTTCAGTTCTTGTGTCTCAAGATCTAGAAGTAAGTTATTGAAATGACTGTCTCAACAGTTAGTTAAGGGCTAAAAGTTCGACGGCTGTAAATAAATTGTAAGCTGTAAACTTCTTCTTTTAACACGTTGGGCTTTTGTTTGCCTTTTACATTGTCTGAATGCGATTGTTTTGATCACCCAACCGGGAACAGCAAGCACCTTCACAATAAAATGAAGATGGCAAAATGGAGGAAAACCAAATCAGACTTTTTATACTTTTATTGAAAATGGATGAGGCGATCTCTTCTTTACTCTTATCATATTTTTCCTGTATCTTTACACAGAAAAAGTTGTTTTTTATATTTGAATTGTAGATTCTCCTCTTAAAGTAGAGTGTCAAAGTTGAAGTGTTACTTTGGTTAATTATTCAAACATCTCTAAATCACAACTTGAAATAAAGTTAAAGAGGTGAATCAAACTTTCTCTACCAAGAATTAATTCAAGAAAAAATGTTCAGAGTTTTTCCATGGAGAAGTAAACGAACGAATCGAACGACGGTCCATTCTGTTTCCATGTATTTCGAAATCTGATGCTTCAAGTCTTTTGATAATGAATTAGGTCCCACATGAGGGTATCTTGTCTCCTCAATTGCAAGAATCCTACATGCTATCATGATTAGAAACGACGAAATCGTCGTTTGAGTGAATCAAATTTAACAGAAATGATAGATTTTGAACTCGAAAGTCGAATGAACAGAGATATAAACAGTATTCCCTGAAATGATTCATTACCATTACGACCGGAAGTATAAATTTCTCGCGATCTACTAAATATTTTGGGTGTACATTTTATGTAAAATTTTGTTAACAGCAAACATCATCTCCAAGTTAGTTTTTCCGTTTCTTTCGACGCGTGTCATTTATTTCACTGAACATCTACAACAACTTAATTACAAATGTAAAGTCATCTCGAAACGCTTTCCAGTTGGTTCTTTCAAGAATGTTGGCGGCCAACTTTCCTTAGGACGATATTTATATTTATAATAATCAACGCTTTGATTCCCCTTAAACTCAAGAAATATTGGTCGACGCTTCTCGTTCAATAACTTTAATCATGAACCTCTGGTGCTATAATTCCACTTTTTCCATGCATGTAGCCGTAACATACAGTATAGTTGCATCATACTTCAATATACAGCTGTTTGGAGAAAGTTTATCGGAAAAAAGGAAAAAATTGTACGCGACAACCATCAAAGGTAATCTGGTTATCTGGTAATCAATGAAGTTTATTAAATCAAATAAATAAGTAAATTCATCAAACCCGCTCTGCCTCGTCCTTACAATGACGTTTCTCAGATTTCTCGGAAATCCTGAAATCAGGGAACTATTCACAATACCTTTTGGGATTGTGGCGTGCACTTTTACGTCTTTTTTTCAACAACTTTTCTCGTTACAGCTTTATAAACATGTAGACCCACAGATATATTAAAGTTCACATGGCAACCAGGTGGACAATCAGACATGGTTTAAAGACCATGGTTAAAAACCAGGGCTGGGGGAAATATATGCTTGATGTCAAGAATGAAACAGTTCTTTTTAGCAATTGATTATTTGTAAAGATTGATGGGAGCGTCTCAAGCTGGTGAATGTGTAAAAGTGGTCAGCTTACAATGAATTTTATGCATGTTGTGATCCAATCCTTTCATTATGAGCCTTAGGCTACAAAAACACATCTTCCTTTTTTTATGAGGTACTGTAAAGCATACTAACTCGTCAAATTGTCTGCAAATTGGCAGAGTAAGCATGAGCATTTGATCTCTCCATCACCCAACTGATTTTGGAAAACAGTAATGGATTCCCAGAAACGCATCATCCTTTACGGTAAAGGAATTTTTTCAAAGTTGACCGAAAATCCTGCAGTCTGAGCGAATAAATAACTGGGTTTAAAATAGAGTTTGTATAATGAAGTAATTTCACGGTATAAATCAGTTGATGTGAAGGCTGCGCAAGGCATGGAAAAGATTTACACCTCAAAAACACAATTAGATTAATGACGTGAAATGGAAGCCAAGTTAGGATAAAAACTGTCGTCACTATAAACACAGTCAAGGCCAATTTTCGGTCATTCTCGATGGCTCGCCGACTTCTGTCCCTGCTGCTGTTTTCGTTGATGCATGGAAGTCTCTTTCGGTCGGATCCAGCTCCAGAAGACTCTACACTTGCCTCTCTAAAGTACATCTGCTGGACGCGGGCCTTTATCCAGATGGCGAGATAAGCTAACAACATTACAAGCATGGAAGAGAAGAACGTCAAAATAAGAAACCAGAAGAACACTTTGTGTTCGATCAAGTCGTATTCATGGAAAAAGTACAGACTTGACAAGAGCGTCGCTAAGATCCAAACGCAAGAAACCAAGGCGTGGTACAACCTTTTTGTGGAGGTTCTGTGACGGATCGGGAAACAAATCGCATACACTCTTTCCAAGGCGATTATTGTCAGAGTGAATGTAGACCCCAGGCCGCAAAATACGTCCATTGCTTTCACAATGTTCAAAAGTGTGGATTTTGAGACAGAACCATGTTGCCAGAAGCTAACAAACTGATAGATGAAAGCTGGAACTGAAAATATTCCAACTGTCATATCAGCTACAGCAAGAGAAAGAAGAAAATAGCTTGTTCGCCTGCGTAGTAGTCGCCTTCTTGTGAGCACCGCAATGGCAATTGAGTTGCCTGTGATGATGATTATTGACATTATGCCAAAAGCTAGTGACCACCCCACAAGGGAAATGTCCGATGGTCTTTCTTCTTGAGATGATTCGTTCATTCCTCGTCGCTCGGGTCTGCGGAAAGCCGAAACACAGAATTTATTAGTAAGTAAACAATTAACAACAATTGAGAGACAACTCTCGCGATAGATATGAAAACTGGAATAATATCTAAAATACCCATTTTTCGTAGAAAAGAGATGAATTTCTTACAGATATTATTTAAATGACTGAAAGGAACTTCTCGATTGTGAAAATTACGAAAGGTAAGTTTACATCGACATTTTAATGGACGGTTTCGAGGAAGTTACTTGGAAGAACTCATAGTGGTGATGTTGCCGTTGTCTTCGCAGAGAGGAACTGCCAAATCACTTAAATGTCAGAGAATTAAAGTTCGTTATATTCACATGCTGGAAAGAACATGAAAAAACAAATGCGAGTTCTAAATTTGCCACGGATTACTTCATGATATTTCTATTTTTAATTTCTCTATGTTACAAGATGTCGTTCCTTCTCGGTATAAACTATAAACACTGGAAATATCGACTATGGGAACGATTTGAAACATAAGCGCACTAGTTAAGTTGAAGCGATCGCGAATTACTTAGAAAAAACTTAATATCAATACTCACAAAGAAGCAATAAATGGCTGCCAAAAACAGTCGCAGTGACGGAGGATAGACCGCGATTGTTTCGGGAGGCGTGATATTATCCAGGAACCGTTGAGGAAAATCAAGTTCACTGACCTTACACCTGCGCGGGGAGGAGTGATCACTACGACTGCTGCACCACTGGGAGTATAATAAATGTGTGCCATTCAAATTTCCTTTGTACGTGATTAGGTAATACAATCCTTTTTGCCAAATACAATCATGTTCTTCAAAAGTATGATAACAACGCATTCGATTGATAAATCGTTTTTCATTCATAAAAGTAAGTGAAGTTTTCAAATGGATCGACAGGTCATCGTGACCAACCCTACTTAAAAGTAAACATTTTCTCGATGATTTGAACGCCGCAGTTTAAGAAGGCATAGAGCTGCGCTCAAGCTTCTTAAGAGCAGCCGAGAAAAAGAAAACTTCTCTGGGTAAAGGTATATTTGCTTAGCTTAAGTGAAGGAGTCTGGTTTTATCGCATCTGTACGTAATATTGATCTTTCTTTGATGATTAAAACATTGTCTCATTCGTTTGTAGAAGCCGTGAAAAGTATTTCATTTGATTGATGCTTTAGCTTCAAACGACCGAGGGGTTTAATCTTTTATAAAAAAAGTTATGTGATACGAAAATTTAAATAAGAAAGAGAAAATAACCTTTGCAGGAAAAAAGAGGAAAGAGAGAATGGAATGACCTTTCGCTACATGTCTTAAGAGTTAGGGAGGCAAGGCTTTTAAACATAGGACCATGTAATTTTCGAGTGTTATCAATTGTGAGTGATGTTTCAAAGGAGACCTTTCATCTGAAAGTGCGAATATAACCATATGTCGCAGGTACTAGACAACTACGTAACGTAAGCTGCCGGATGGTTATTAGAGGGAATAAATCGAAAACGCGAATTACTAACGCAAATCACTTACGAATAATAATAGGCTGTTTGTTACAACCTTGTGACGAAATTCGTCCTCAAAGTAAACAACTTGTGGTAGGTAATCATAAAATGAAAACCTCAGACAATCCATGTTTAACAACTCAGTTCCATGTCGAATTTTTAAAGCTAGAGGGAAATTCTGCTTGTAATCAACATTTCTTCTACGTTTGAATACTCCTAATAGCTACGGTGTGCGTTTCAGAGCGGGAGCTCCCTTTTTTTTTTCTTTTTTTTTTTTCATTTTCGACCGCTAATTTCATCCAAAAATTAGCCTTATTTTTTCTACCATAGACAGCGCGCTCAAAATTCTAAACAACCAAGTCATACCAGTTTGAGGTGCTTGAACTGAACATGATACCTGTGAGAGATCGCAACGCTTTCTCCTACCCATGATGTCGAGATGATAATTGTAAATGTTACCCTCACCCTCAATGATCATTGTGTGCAACTGCAAGATCGATCATTTCGTTTTCTAAATACAATGATGGTAAGAATTTAATGTTTTACATCCCAATCACTGGTGCGTATTACTGAAATTACGTCTGCAGAGTTTTTTTTCCTCTGCCAAGAAGTTTCCGTTCGTTAATGTAATAAGAAAAGAGAAAACTTATCTAGGGAGAAACATTAAATTGGCAATTTTGATTGACGTAGAGTGCTTTTAGTAGGGGAAGAGATAGACTTTATCTCTTATCTAAATACTGACCTTTCCATTGGTATAACTGCTTGTTTGCGATTTATTCAGTACATAAGACAACTCGAAGTAACACAACTAATACACTATTTGAAAATTATAATTCAACTATATCAGAGTAAATCTGATAGCTCGTGAAAAACATTGAACTCTTAAGACAGCCTTTTGTTCAGATGGTAATGTTTCTCATTTTTGGCGTTTTAAAAAAAATAAAAGCATATTGATTTCTACTAACCTTTGTCCTAATTTTTTTGTCTCCTTTAGCTTTGTTGTGCTTTATACAGGAAGGTGAATGATACAATAGCTAGTAGCAGTGATCATGATATCATCGACTAAGTGGATGAAGGGAGAGGGAGCAAAAGTTGGTATTGTAGTCAAGCAAAAAATGTATATCCTACCCATGCATAAAGTAGATTGATTTTATCAACACCTCGTGAGCATGCAATACTCCAGTTGACATGGTAGAAATGATAAAAACATGAACTTGATTTAGGCTAAATGCCGGGTTTACTAATTTCTTCATATCCGTCACTCGGTAGTTAACATGAGCCAAAACTTCCCAAGGTATGTCTCGGGGGTTATGATATTGCTATTGAAAATGACAAATACTCGCAAATATATTTATCATGTTGAATCGTAGAAAAACAAACGATCCTCGAGGTATTTACATCAATTTTACAAAATCTGCTTAAACTTGTTCCTCTCTTTTTACACCTAGACAAAGTAAAAGTAGCAAAAGTAAAAAATTCAATTGAACGGTGACCTGATTGAAAGAAAACGTGCCGAAATTTTGTAGCAAACCGCTGACAAATTGATATCGAGTGATGTAGTTGTATTCAGAAGCTTGCAAGCTTTACTTAAGTAATATGCACCGAGCAAAGGAATTTCTTGTTAAGTATTGCAGTTTAAGTTGGTTGTAGATCTAGGTTAGCAGTTTCGTGATTTTCGCTTGTAAACTAAATCTCTCTATCAGACTATTCTATTTAATTATAACCATTTGGCGAATCAGTTCAAAATTCAATATTCTTCCAAACTGAAATGAGTCACTGTTCTATAGCAAACTATCAACTGAAGCTCGACATGCAACTGGCTTCTTTTTTTTTTTCCATGCGCTCTTTAGGCTGAAATCTATTTTTCTTAAACTAAAATGATCAACAGACGTTTCAAAATTACATTATCCGCCAAAACCTTCGGTGAGGGATTCGAAAACATTGCCCTCCGGTTTCGCTTTCCTTTGTTGTGATGCAAACTTCCTTAGAAATAAAAACTAAAATTGTAGGAATTACAACTCTACCAATTGAAATTCAGGTCTCAAAGTTTGTTTTTGTGCGTCTGTATGGGCGCATTATCATATAAATATGTATTGATAGTAACATAACCTAAATATGTTGCTTTTGTGCCAGCTTAATGAGTGCAAGTATATCAAAAGCTCGTTCATCACGAAAACCTTTTTTATTCTGTTTGTTTACATTTCAACACCGGGATATTTTCCATGAATGCGCTCATTGCCGGTGTATGAATGAGCTCCAAAGCCTGAGAAACTCTTTCTTTGGTCCGAGTCCTATGTAGCTGTACACTAAGCATTAAGTAACCAATGGAAACGAGCGAAATTAAATTAATACTTACTTATAATAGCGATCTTTTTCACGAGAGAAGGTCTTGACATAGAGATAATTTACTTAATAAATATATATCCCTGTTGGCAAAAAATCCGGAAAATATATTTGTATTTATTTCCGATTTCTCGGAGGTTTTTTTATTATTAAAATCTTTGTTACTACTAACGATGCAATTTGCCCATTTCTAGTCTTTTTTGACACTTATTTGTTCGGAATCTGTACTTCAATATAGTTTTTGCCTTGCCAACTTCAATGTAGATTAGTGATCTAAATGGATTGTCCGTGAGACAGATAAACAACATAAAGGGATACGTTATCATCAAGTTTACTGTATACGTTTAAAACGATTTCTCGAACGAGAATTTCCATTGCAAAAAGCCGAACATTTAGCTTTCATATACAAATAAAGATGTTAGACCAAATAAGTCCATTTATTTTAGGTCGACTATAAAAACCTACAAAAAAGGTTGGAAACAAAAGAAAAACATATATGCCGTGATTGCTAGATATCTAGAGCAAAATATCCGGGAACAAGGGAATATCAAAGCAGAAAAATTAAAGAGGGAAGCTTCTAGTCCGATCGCCTTTGTGAAAATATCCTATTCAAAGAAAAAAAAAATATATAGAGCAATTATACCTTCTTCCTTGTTTCCATTCATACTCGGCGTATCTAAATACCGCCTACGACTCTCTTTGATTCTACTAAAATAACTTGGGCTCTGATCACGTTCAGAGCACCTTTGATCGGACAATTACTTGTTGTTCCCCTTTACCTTGATTCATGTTGAAAGCGTCGCAATATTTCAGTGAAAATACAAATATTAAAACTACGGCAATAGGAGAAACACATCAACCAAAAGTTTGTCACAAGGACAGTGAGTGTCTTACCGGAAAGACGAAATATCACAACATATGAAATGTAATGTCTTTGAAATTGATAAAGGGGAGATTTTGATGTGGATTGTTTCCTTATACCTTTTGAAAATTTATTTGTCGCATCTTGCAATAACGCCGATGAAGAAAGCGCTTGCAGTGTACCACGCGAAAGATTACGATCACTTAGCACTTCAGAGACATGAGTTGTCATTATCTTTATGAATCTGAACTTTAATGAAACCTCGCGGTACAAAAAAATAATTTTATCGAAACGACTTCATCTACATAATAAAAAAAAATAGATTATTTTCCTTCCATGCAGAATGTTTATAGAAAGATTTCGGGTTTTAATACATATCTTTTTGGCATTACAATATTGCCCTCAATTAATTCTTAGAAAAACGGACGTTTGCACATACACCTTCCACGGTGACCCTCAAATTAGATCATAAAGACATAGATTCGAATTTTGTTCTGGGAGACTAAAATTTCTGTAGAGGAAATCATTGTGATATTCCCTTTGATTTATAATGCTGTTTGGACTTACCAGTCCTGGAGCCACTGGAAAATACGATGAACAAAATATTCGAGGGTTTTTAAGCATCCTTATTCACCACTAATAAGCTTAGTTACTTTTTTGGTCAAATTAATTTTCCTTCGCGGTATATATAAAAAAAAGTAGTATAATACCTTTTTTACTTCAACGTTTCTTTCCTTCCTTAGAGTTAAATGCTGAGGATAAGAGGAGGAGAAGATTCTCAGCGGGAATTGAAGCTTCTTGCCTAAAACCATGCACTTGAGGTGAAATTAAACCCCACTTTGCTCAGCAGAACTTTACATATGTAAATTAAATACGTATGCAGGTTGATTTGATTATCTTGAAAAAAGAGAAGTTTACTGCCGTGGAATATCTCACTTATATTGATTAGATGTGTTCGAGGTCTGGGAAAGCGCGACTGATTTTCTATACAGAAAGACAGTGATTACCACTCTCTGGTTTTTGTTACCTTAATATATGTATATATATTATATATTTTTGTCTTTTCAATATATAAATTGACACCAAAAAATGTTCCTTGTCTCAAATTTGAATTTCTATTCAAAGAATATGCCGATGCAATTTAAGGGTTAAGTCGCCATTAAGAGAAATAGTGATAATCTTTTTTACCGAGCTGTCAAGGTAAAAAAGAGGAGCGAGAAACGTGGTCCTAAATTAACCAAAATCAAGCTTTGCAATTTATCAATGTCAGTCATAAGATAAAGAAAACTTGTTTATATGCATATAAAAATACAAACTAACAAGCATCTGTCAGGTAAGGGTCAAGACCGGAACAAGATAAAAGTTTTTTAATAAAATGCAATTTGACAAGCTTAATTGTTAACAAAAGCCAAGTTCTGGATTTTTTTTGTTCCAATTTAATTCTGAATTGGTTCAATTTATAACTTCCAAACTCCTGTATATTATGTTTTTCATGAACAGAGTGTCAAATATATGATTTAGTCGGATCCTTATCAATCAAAGCCATAAAAATCGTGAAATGTAATCGGGTTGATAAATTGAGTAACTTAATATGAATACACTGTGTAATTCGAATTGTGTCGTGAATTTCTCTTTTTTGTTTACCCTTTATAACGTCACTTGTCAAGCCCTCCAATAGCAGAAGGCCCTAGGTATCTCTTTTAGGTAATTGCTCAACTGTATTTAAAAGATGACACGTGTGACCATGGAGGGAAATAAAAGCTTAAGTGATATTAGAAGTAGACGGTCAATATGTATCAATCGGCGTCTTTGAAAATTAAGGGGTGACATTGTATTCATACGAAGCTAAAAGACTACGTCTTCACTGGATGTACCTTAGGGTTTGAGATGTTTAAAAAACTTTAAAAGTTTTTTCGTGTGTAAACCGTGTAAATGGTCGCCATCTTTGACTTCCCTTCCTTTCTGGTTTATTCTTCCCTTGTATTGTATAATGAATTCCTGTCCTCTTAATTTATAATCGCCAAAAGGACTCAAACAATCGTAGCTCTTTCAGTCTAACTCATTTCATAACTGTTTAAGAAATCAACAACAACAACAAACAAAAAAGAGACAAAAGAACGAACAAACAAACAAAATCAACAACAACAACTACAATAGGCAGCAGCTTCTTGTGAACAACGCGTCGTGGGTTTGCGTTTTCCGGCAGATTGCTCTTTTCGAAAATGGCGGCGTCCATATCCGAGCTTTTACCAAAATTGGGGAAAATTAAAAAATAAGGAAGTTTTCCACGTAGTTTAAAATGGCGGATCTGGAATTGGGGTAACTGCGAAACGTCCGAAAAAAAAACCCTGAAACGAAAGAAATAATGCAAATGTATTAATATAGAAATAATAATGTAAACTAACAATTTTTTTAAAGTCATGGGTACATGTTTCCGTGGGAATTTCCATGTTAATAGCTTGCTCTGTGACACTCACAAACTCTTGATTCTCGCTGCTCCTCGTTATGTGTAGTGCATGGACGATTCGAAAACCCTTCAAATTTAGTCTTAAAGTTGATCATAGCACTAATCTGAAACATTCGAAGTCCGTTTCAATTTAGTAAATGTCGTAACAGCAGTGTAAAGACAATAAACATCGCAACGATCGATGCAGTCACAATGGCGCCAGGACTTCGGACTTCTTCGGAAGGACAGATCTCGAGTTCGGAGCCTACTAATTACGACTAATTACGAAGAGTCCACGCCAATTTGCATATCCTAAAGTGCCCGCAACAACTCGTAACTAAGCTATCGCGTATCCTCGAGTTAAAAACAATAACGAACAAAAGTAGAACACAAATTATTTTTCTGTGAATGACATATCACCTATCGCGTAGTCTGTGCAAATGGACTAAAATTAAAAAATGGGAGTCTCTTTTAATGTTATTGTTACTAAAATTAAGTCCATTATCAGTCTGATTCGTCGGCACCAAATGAATTATTTATTAAGAGAAATTTTCTTTCTTTCCATCTCTTTTTTTTTTCCTTATTTTTTGTTATTTTTCTGTTCTTTTTCCATGCCTGTAAGGTAAGATGAATCAGCTTGTTTTTGCAAACTACACAATGCTACTTTGCCACTTGAGCGTTTCGAGTTAAGCCCGCCAATTCTGAAAAAATCATACCGGCTGGAAAAAGCTTGTTTGAACTTTATGTTATTAAATTTTAACGAGGGACCTGCTAAGTTGATATTTACCTTTTCACTGAATTAATTTCAACGATAGCAAACGTACATGATATGAAAAATAACGAAAAAGGTTGAATAAATGAAATCTTGAAGAGAGAAGGTTCACAAATTTTAGATTTATAAATCGAGATTGGAATATGAACACAATTTATATCACTGAGCGTATCACGTGTCTACTTCTCAACCAGTAAGATTAACTTTTGAAGGCTGAAAGTATGCCAGGTGTTTACTTAGACACCTCAAATCGTTTTTCTCCGTTTTGAAGGGAGGTATTACCTGATCGTCTCTGTTGGTCATTTTTTCGGCTTTCATTACAAAGGTACAAATTGATTTGCTCTCGACTTCGATGGCTTCAGAAAACAGCATCGGGATATCGTCGAGACAATTTGTGACCATCTTAAAGAAATTCGATAAAGACGGTCAGTAAAGCGTTATACCAACAAAGCATTATACCATCTGCTGCATGAACTTTATTGTTATTCTCATATTTCTTCTTACTTACTCTAACTCGACGATTAAATTTACAGGTGATGGAGACATCAAACTGAGCCAACTGGATGCGTTTTTGGAGGCATTTGTGGACGAGGTATTTATTTTTTTCAAGAATATTTTTATCAGAAGTGAGCCACTCCTATCACAAAATTTCTATTTCACAAATTTTCGGGCATTTAAAACAATTTATGTCAACAATTATTTTCTAATTTTATAGCTACTGCTTGATATCGTAGAGAAGTCGCAATTTTCTACTGTAAAATCAACTCATGTTACTTTTCTATGCCTAAAATTGCCTATGCTGAAATATTGTCAAAAAAAATTTAGATTAAGAATTACCTGCTGCCACCCGCCAAGATACAATTGCCATTTTATATTTTAGTTTCCTGTGGAACAGTTTTCTCGATCGATATTTAGCAATTTAGGTGAAGTTGTTTGCGAAACGTTTTCATATGCGATTTCAAGTGAAATCAGTTGAACATTCACCCTGATTTATCGAGCTGCATTGCTCGCTGCGAAAACCATTATGGTAAACAGTCCTTTTAAGCCATTGTGCAGCTGGCTGTGTTATAAAAAAAGGGGTCATTACGGGGAGAAATATTTAATTTTGGCTAAAGGAATGAGACATTTGTACCGTAAGACAGCGTATATAAACCGTTGGGAATCGAAACTCAGTATCAAGAACTTTTGCGTTTGATTTGATAAGAAATTTCCTGGTTAACCAGAATACCTAAATTTCGAAAATTTGAAGTATTATGTGCAGGCTTCTCTATACCTTAGAGCCATTCGACGTATGGTAATAATTAAATTTTAATTCGCTGCTTCAAAAACATAGAGGATAATTATTAGAGACTACGACCCCGGGAGGCGCCGGTAAAAAAGATCGTTAGTTTTGCATATAAATTTTACATCACCTAGTTTCCTCACCCCACTTACGTGTATATTAATAGCATTTATAATAAAGTTCGGATATAACGCGCGCTGTCATTGGTTGAAAGAGCGTGCTCTATGAGAGTATAGAGCATAGAACTGAGCTAACGCTGTCACGCCATCTGCCAAATTGTACCATGTTCGACCTTTTCCGGGACTTCTTTTTAGCTTTTTTCCGATAATTGAAAGTGAAATTTCGGAACAAGCGAGCCGGCAAGTAGTAACAAAAGAACCAAAGAAAGGTTTGTAAACATACCAGGCGCCGTTATTTACGTTATTAAAACGTGGGCAGATACGAAAATCCTCAAAGGAAAAACAAAATAGACATTCCAAGTTTTAAAGATTTTCACGCTCAGTTAGATTGCAAGCTTACGTACGGTAATGAAAATCAAACACAGCCAACACTCGTATAGTATATAAAGTTCAGAGTTCAAAAACAAAACAGAACAAAACAGAAATGATGAAAAATATAACCAAACTGGCATAACTGTTAAAATTCATACTAATCATGACGGTGTCTGAGCAAATATGATCATGCTGAAGTCCATCGCGGCTCACTTATCATGCCGCCCATCGAGTGAAAAAATAAGAGCTCGCTCTGATATCCTTTCCAATGTGTTGAGTGGAAAGTCACTTCAGTCACTGCAGCCGAGTTTTGCGGCGCTGTCATCCCGAGCGATCTTCATGTTCTGGTGAATTCGGCTGTCGTTCATTTAAAAAACACTCGCATTGAACAGTTTGTTTTCTACCTTGTCATGTGAAAAAACCCGCGTGTTTTTATGAGCCATAATTCGGCTGAAGTTCACTGAACATTTCACTTCAAGATTCTGAATTAAAAACTTCAGGCAAAAGCGTTAAATTCGACCTGCCGAATTATTTTAGTTTGTAAACTATCGCAGAGTGTGAACTTTGATGGTTTTTGAACTTTGATGGTTTGACACTTTTGACAGCTTCTGTCTTGTACAGCCAATCAGATTATTTGAACCATTCTAACAGGGATTCTGATTGGCTTATTGTAGCGTGCTCTATGAAAGTATAGAGCATGTTGACGACACTGTTCTTCGCTTTGGAAATAAAGTTTGTTTTGAAAATTGAAAGTAATACATGGGGAATTTAATGGATTCTTTATTATAAAACAAATAGAGAAGCCTTGACTGTGCTCTGTTCTCAAGAAGTGGGAAGAAACACTCGACTATGTCTCGTGTTTCTCCCTACACTTCGTTCGTGCTCTAGCCGCTTCCTGCGTGCTTTATAACAGAACAGAGCACAGTCAAGGCTTCTCTATTTGTTAAATAATGGTGGAGGGGAGACACGTTTTCGTAATATTATAAGTTAAACCGTTAACAAGATGAGAACATCAAATCGTGGCTGTAGTTATGTAAGATGCGTAATTAGTGTTTGAACAATTTCAGATTCAAACCTTCATTCTCCACTTACGTTAAAAGCAACTGGCTATTGATTTCATATAGAGTTTTGGCAAGACAAAATTTTACAATTTTAGCGCACCGTTTTCAATTATTTTCCTAACACATATTTTGTTTGACTCTGGCTTTTTTATTTGTCTTAGCCTGTGGTGTTTTATTTTTGCACTAATGCCTTGGGACTTAACAGAGAAGACATTTTTTTGATGACAATTACGCATCTGGGTGGTTTAAAGGGGAAAGGGAGACACGAGGTTTTTGAGCAGTTTTCAATTAAGCGTCGAAAGTAACTTATTATGATTGCTTTGGCTTTACTTAACTTTGCTCTCTGATTGGTCCAACAATCTCGAGCTATCCTACCAAACAATCAGATCCAAAATAGAAACAATGGCAACTTGGTCATTCGTGGTCATTCCCCACGCTGCAAGCAGTTTGCTTTTTCTTAAACTTTGAGTTCTCGTTGGCTAATGATAATGTAAAACTTTGGATTTGATTGGTCGCTTAGACACGTTTGGTTTTGGGTTTTCAACACTCAATTGCTCTAAGCCGTTATTATTATGTTGCATTAGAGCACAATCAACTAAACTTGCCTCGCACAGCATGACTTGCATACCAACTGATAAACGAACTTATAATTCTTGTATCATAATTGTTCGCAATTTTCAGAGAGATTTGTTCATTGCATTTTAGTTTCTCATAATCGTTTCAATCCCGGTCTTCAGGGTCTGATAGAAAAATGTAGAGCTGTAGAAATTGCTGAAAAAATCCGCGAAGAACAGCAAGACGGCGATGAAGTATCTATGACAACGGTAATAAAAATATTTTTTTTTTTCGTGTCACATGGATGCGAGCATAACTTAATTTGTTACTCTAACAATTTCTTTAAAATTGCGTGGCTATGTAAAGAGAAAACTGAAAAGTTACTTCTTTAAATTGATTCAGCTAATATCTGAAAAAGGCTCTGCTTTTTTTTGTATAGCTGACAAAGGAAATAGCACCCGTTAACTTCCTAACAGTTGAATTCGGGGAGCAGAAAACAAGAATTACGAGTGTGGATTTTATGAAGGTAGAGATTGATGAGTGCTTTCTTAGAGTGCACTAGGACTTTTTGCGAACTCTTTCTGGGCCAGCGAATATTGATCAGATTTAGATGCATCTGTTCCGAGACAATCGCAAAAGCTCACGAGGTAATCCTGACGACCTCCGGTAATACTGGCTGAGATCATAGCTTTCAATTAAACAAGATTAATGATTGACGTGAGTAGAATGCAATTAAGTTTGAAATCATACGCCTGATTATAAAATAAAACGAGTCCGCAGCGCGAGTTTGATTTGAAATCACAAGTATGATTTTCGACTAAACTTGCACTACACGAAGTTCAATTACCACTTTATTATATCCTTTTTGAAATCACAAAATTCAGCCACTCAAATATAGGATTTTCACAAACATTTTATTGATCCAGTCTTAGGCTGGTTTTTTAAAAAGTTGTCTTTCATTTTTCGCTAATTTGAGCGTTACTTTAAACAAGCCTTGAAATATTATTGGTTTTCGTGTTGGAATAAAGGTTTCTCATAGGCTGGGAAAAAAGATAAGAGCCAACCAGATTGCAAGGATCGCTGGTGATTTGAAAATGGATGTCAATGAAGGAATATATAAATTAGGAGATAAATAAATAAAGATCAAAATATAACAGTTTCGAACTTATAAAATACTTTCTTTATAGCTTTGGAATAACTATGATGTTGATAATAGTGGACATTTGGATAGAGTGGAGCTGCAGGTAACAATTGTAGTAATATTTAATGACGATAGTGATTCTAATAATTAATTATGGTAATAGGACTGAGTGGAGTTCAGTTCGGTCTGTAATCATACGAGTGATCAGAATTGGACGACACGGAGTCCTGTTACCAATTAACCGTGACCGTTGTATTATATATATATAGAAAACGGTCTTCATTTAGATGTGTCGGCTGGTATGGTGCATTGCTTATTTCATGGATACATAACGAGTCTAAATTTTTTTCTGGTAATTAAATAAGTCACTCGTTTCTTAACGCTTCATCTTTTCCTTTTTTAAAGTTAAAGATTTGTACATTAAAAAATTAATTATATATATATTATTTTGTATATTTACATAATGATATATACATTATGCTCTTTCGACTTGCCGACAAACGATACCGCTTTGGTTACGCTACGCTGACGATACATTCACAGCCGTACGACACGACGAAATCGATTCTTTCTACCACCACCTTAAAGGACAAAACACTGACATACAGTTTACCAGAGAAGTCGAAGAAATTGGCAAACTGCCTTTTCTAGACTGCCTGGTAAGCCGTGACGACAACTCACTACGGACAACAGTTTGCGGGAAACCGACACATACAGACAGATTACTGGACGAGTCATCCTACAACCCGACATTACACAAAGCCACAACTATCAGGACTCTCATGCGACGAGCGCAGCTAATATGCAACAGACAGCTTATCCGACGAAAACAAGTACCTTGATCGTGTTTTTTCGAAGAACAACTATAACGAAGACTTAATCATACGAAACACTCACCGACCTATTACTACTACCGAAGCTAACGATAACACAACCCTTACGACTATAGCAAGTATACCGTACATAAAGGGCATATCTGAGAACATCTCGCGCATCCTACAACCATTCAATATCCGCGTCGCTCACAAACCTATTAACACACTACGTCAGTTACTGACTGACGTCAAAGACCAAGACGAACCGAGGAACCGGCAAAGAGCAGGTAATAACATCAATTGCTCCGACTTCCACGCCTCCTACATCGGTGAGACTGGCAGAAAGCTCAAAACTAGACTGACTGAACACAAACGAGCGACGAGAAAAGGCGATGTCCACAATCACATTGCTGAACATCACCGACATACGAAACACGCTATCGACTGGGATTCTGTGCATTGCCTAATCTTCAGCAACAACTACTTTCAACGACTGACTCCAGAAAGCTTGTTTACAAACTTGGAACAGACTCCCCTCAACAGGTGTCAACCACTACTGGTACCATACAAACGACTCATCCACGACATTAACATTACAAACGAACCGAACAGAACGACCTAACTTTACTAACGGATCGAGACTGACTAATCACGACCGACCTATGCCACTTGAGTCTTACAGCCAATAACATCACGGCAAAACTGACCAATCAGTTTATAGAAACTGGACTAAGAACATTGGACTGACAACAACTATTCTTTTGACTCTGACTTCCACTCAGGTTGTCGAAAAGTCAGTCACCACTACTGACAACAGTCCTTCTCAGGACTGCACTTACCCGGAAGATCAAACTACACTATTACAGTAATAATACCTTAGCATGACAACTCTGTTCCTTTTGCCTTAATCTTTCCGATAATAACATCTTATTAATCTTTTTAGAAATTTTTTTACGATATTGTAACAAAGAACAAGGGCGAGGGAGACACTGAGGATACGGAAGAATTAGAAAAGAAAGTTGATCATTACATCAAAACTATGGTAAGACATCAATGGCTCAGGTAACTTGATAATAGTTTAGTATTCCATTTTGATTTCCAGTAATTTTAAAAAGCCAAAATTGTTTTAGTACGTAATATGTATAGGTGTACAACATGCATTTTAAAGGTTGGTTTATTGCGTTGTTTTATTTTTGTTTTTTTCTTTTTTTCGGTAAAGATATAATATGGACCAGTATTATTTCCAAGTAAATGTATTAAACAAATAAGACAAGATACCTGTGTTTGAATGAACATTTCTAAGACCAATACCATAGAGAATACATGCGTCATAGTTATAGAGTCAGTTATGAAAGCGGAAATAAGTGGACACTACAAACTATTTTTCGCAGTTTGAAATGCTGAACATTCAAGGGGATAAAGTCAGCCTGGATAAAATGTGCAAGTAAGTAAAGACCCAAACATAATTCGTCAATTATCTCCGTTTATTCTTTAGATAGTGAGAAGAATCATAATTCATAAGAATAATAGTAAGTACACATTTTCTGTTCTCAATCTCTACACCTAATTTTTCATAATTAGTCGAGTAGTCGTGAAATTCCTATCAATCATATCAATCATGAAACATCTATATTTCGGTATGGTGTTTGCTTTAGTCAAGTTAAATCTGTCTTGTCCTGTTACAATAAAGAAATTCAAGTCGTAACCACACTTGACTTAAGAAATCGAAATGGAGCTTAATCGAACCTTTTGAAAATTTGTAAGAAGTCATATTTATGAATCTTATTTTTCGTCCTGTAAGAATGTTTACCCATCTCTAATGACGCAACTTTGTTTGTAGATTTTGCCCTGTCGAGGAAAACTTTCTGGAGCAATACGAGGTAAGAGAAATCCGCGTAGAAAGACTAACTTACAGATATCATATAAAATCCCTTTACTTTATTTGCATCAATCGAGATGTATCTGAAATAGGTTCCCAATTGTATGATGAAACAAAGAAAACTTTGAAAGAGAGGTCTAAACAGGATATTCTAATCTTTTGCTTAAATAGCTGTTTTACACTTTTTTCCAAATATATTCCAGGCTTTTACTGCCGAAAAATTCGAAGAGATATTTGCACATTACGACCAGGTAAGCGTCAAAACATAGTTATCATCACCATTGCAAATTTTAGCCTTATCTATTGGCTTTTGAGCTTTGCTCTCGTTATTATTTGTAGGCTCTCGTTATTATTGTAGGGATTGATTATTAGTATTGCTAAAAGTGTTGGTTTTTTAGGTAGCGTTGGTATTGAAATTTTTGCTAGTTTCGTAGGGAACATAACTATTTCTCACTCCTCAGGACAAAAGTAACGAAATTGAAGGGTGTGAGCTTGAAGGTTTCCTCAAAGACCTCTACGATAGAATACAGGTTAGCCATATGCCTTTACACCCTAACATCGGTATGCATATTTGTCATACTGTTCTCTATACATTTCCTCGGGTGAATGGCAATGATCACTCCTAGTGGTCAAAGGGTTAAAGAAAAAAAAAGTCAGTGAATCACCAGATAAAGACAAAGAAAAACTAACCACAATTTTGTAATGCGTTGTTATAATGACCGTAAAGTAAGTTGCTTAGGAAAATATCTCAGTAAGTTACGCAGAGTTTGTGAAATTTTTTTAATGCATGGCAACGTAGGTAGCTTGATATTGTAGGTAGTGTTAACAGCATACTGAATATTAAAAAAAATAACAAAAACAAAAGTTACAAGTAGAAAACGAAAATAATCTTCCTTTCCTCACTCAATTCCTTAATCTGTTCAGATGTTTTCCTTGCAAGTTAAACGCTGATGCAGATTCATTTATTTGTTTGTTTCCCGCAGCCGGGTCAGTCCTTTGAAAAGTTTAAAGAAAAGATGAAGGAATTTGACGAAGACAAGAACAAGAAATTTAGGAAGGAGGAAGTGAAGAACATTTTGGCCAAACTGTTATGAACTGACAAATCATAATACTAAATGTGGCTTTTTTTCCTTTGAAGGGGGTTTAAGGGGTTCGTTTTAAGACAACTTTCCGTTTTTGAATTTTAGTCGTTGAAAATTTTTAGCTTTTAAATTGATTTTAAAGATTGACTTTCACGTTGCTTTCCATTTTTATGCTTAAGGCAGATGTATCAGTAGATAGTTTCACGGCCAGTTGAGAGTTACTCTCCTTAAGGAAGTTGCTAAAACAGACGGGTATTTCCCTCTGTACCTTACTGCCATATTAAATGTTATCTCCAGAGAATAAAGCATTTGCACACACATCTACACAGAAAGTACCTGTTTATTTTATATTGAGCTAAATTTTTCACGACACGGAAGATTTTTCAAATGAAAGGATTTCTCGGTAAATAGAAAAACTCCTAAAATGCTTCAAATTCAACATACAAAAAGGCTAAAATTGACAATTTAAATTCTATTTACTAAACTTGGGGCAATTAGACAGAATTTTTTTTTTAAACTTATATTGCCCTGATCTGCCTCGGTTTGTGCCACAGGAGAAAACTCAGAGGAAAGTTTTCAAGAATCAAATAGTCTTAATCTTCAACAAAGAGATTTAGAAGTAAAGGGAAATTCCCAGTGTTCCCAACAAAAAAATTCTTGCAAGAGGACTAACATAGAAAAGGGGTAGCATAAAAGTTAACTACCTTATGCTGGTAAGGCTGAAGAGTAGACAGATGGTAAATTTGTCAGGGGAAAGATCCAAGCCACTCATTTTTTATCAAAGAAGGCTTATTTCATGATTTGCTTTGCTAAGTCGTTATACCACATGCGTCCAATAAATATCAATTCAAAAGTTTCATTATCTTGTAAGGTTCTCATCCGTGTCAGACATGTTTACTCATTCATGTCAGACAATAGCAGTGACAGCTCGCTTTTGGAAAGTTTTCCATCATTGTCTTTATCGCTGACTTCAAGTACGACGTCCTTCATTTTTTCCAGCTCTAAACCATCGTCAGGTTCCTGAAAACAATTCAAAAAATTAAATTTAGTGAAATACAACACGATGTAACGGCGAGCGAAATTTAATCACGCGCAGAGTAAGTAACATGAAAGACTCCTTTCGAAGATTTGAGGTTCCTCTTACCAGTCCCATCCGTTTCATAACGTCACGCAGAAGAACCAACAGTTCAGAGCCTTCAATCTCACCGTTGTTATCCTACGTGGAAAAAAAACGTCAACCAAAATAAAGACAAAAACTTAATTTCCTTCTTGACGTAAATAAGATGCGAAGACAATTTTGCTAAAAGTCTGAATATTATACAAGAGCAGAAGTGTTCGAAACACGATGTGTCCAGCTAAAGCAAGGCTACTATGAATTTTTCATTAAATCCTTCAGCAATTTCTTTTCTATTTTCTGTTTTCCAGCTTTACCTCACGCAATTTGGAACATACAAAACGTTAGCCTAATAACGAATGTGACTTGTCAACACCGCAATTCACCGTCAATGACAAGATAACGCACTCTTAGACGCAATCAACTTCTTTAACACCCTACCGTATCATAATGGTCGAACACTGCGTCGAAGTCCGCCTTTGATAAACATTTCTTTCCCTAAAGATAGTTGTAGTATGAGTGTGGTTATTATCAGTAGCTTGATTGAAGGCAGCTCGAAATAGTTTCGCTATTCTTAAAGATCAATTCTTCTATTAATGGTTGCTTGGAGAAGAAATTGTCGGAAAACGATATGGCACATTTTTCCTTTAAACTAGCAAACGATGAATCTCGAAAAGCTATTTGCAATTTATTGACAAAATTGTGGTACGAAGCAATCGGCAAGTTAGAGCAAAACAACAATAGACAAACGGGGAGAAAGAAAAACGAAACAAACTAGTGCATAATGAGGCGGATATATTGTACCTGAAACCTGGCAAAGAAGTTCTCCTCAGGAGGCAGGATCCTACACCATAAAAGATGATTGAAAATAAGCTTTAGATAAAAGGCTCTCGAAGCGAACTCCAATGGACTACGCAGTTGGAGAGCTCTCACTTACTCGTATCTTGCGCCAATGGGGACCAGAATTGACTTCCTCAGCTGTGCCTCATACATACTACCATTTAACTCTCGCTAATTCCAACTTCATGCTACATAAATCGTTAGCAGTTTTCAATAATTCGAGGTAAGTTTTAGAATACGTGGCAGGTCAAGATAAATTATCATAGAGTCCAAAATGTAGAACAGTAAACAGTGTATTTTCCTTGATAATGCCTTCTCCAAAACGTTGATTTTTGTTACCTATTTGTGAAAATACGAGGTCTTTTTTTTTTAAACACAATTGATTAAATGACAGTAAAATCATTTGCTAGTCATGTTGTTTTGGTGTTACAACAAATGAAATATCATACTAAACTAATGAAGCCTTACATAGCAAGTTCTTTTAATCCAATTTTTCCGTCGTTGTTTTCGTCGTAGTGATCCATCTAAAAATTAAAAAATTCTGAAAAATGTAATCTGTATGCATTGAAGAGTCAAAAGAAGAAGTTTTGAACCAAATTTAAATGTCACTTTCCTATGTACTAGAGAACAACAACTCTTCGTGATTCAAAAAACAAGGACTCAAGGGCGGGGATTTGGTAGGCATGATATTTCAAAATTCATTGGTTCAATGGTCAGTATTGGAAGCAATATTTGTTGTGTAGTAACTTCGATCATGGAGAACAAAATATCAATACCAAAAGTCATTTTATGACGGCTAGAACGCTTGTATTGCATACATGAAAAGAAAAGTTAAAAAAACAATTTTGCTTATTCTTACTATGAAATTTTTGTAGTCCGAAATTCGCTGCGGGGACACAGTTTGATCGTCTGCTTTCAACAAATCTTTCAAAAACGCCTCGATTTCGTCTCCCTCCATGTACCCACTCTTGTCACTATCATAGTGATTCCAGATCTGCAAGGTAAAAAAAAGGGAAAAGAAAAACAACAAAACAAATATTCAACTAATTAATTAATCGATCAATGAAATATAAAATAATTTATCTCATAATAACCAGCAAGTATCTCCCTTGGGAAAAGTTGCTGTTACAAAGATGAGAGTTTTGAGTGAAAGTGGGTTTTTCTCTCGAAGAGGAAAATGAGCATCGCGTTTGCAAAAATCTGGAAATAAATTTAAAACAGTTATCTCTATTCACTCTCTTTTAATTTTCTCGATTTCCTTTAATTTCCAAGCTTTCCTTATGTAACGTATAGAGTCAAGGGCCACTGCTTTCATTGATCCCAGAATAAGCTTTCCTTTTTTCATTCCGCAATTGATGCTAACATTCCATTTTTAAAAGAAAAGTCATAATTTTTTTCAACTCCAAAAACCTCCTCTAGCAGAGGAGGTTTCCTTGGAAGAAAAACTAGATCTTTAGTTTTGCATAAGACCATCTTGCAACAACAAAACGTCCTACGGTCCAAAATGGTTGGGGAGCTCGTGAATTTTATAATACCTATACTCACTTATTACAGATGAAACTCGTAGATGCTAACAAGAGAATTCGGAGGTAGACTATTTGGCGGTACAAAAAAATAAACGTTATGACATGGTAGTCGTACCGACACTGCGTTAGTTTATCCCATTCCTGTTTCCATGAGCTTACGGATTCTGCTCCATGACAGGAAGCAATGCATGGGCTTAAAACTATCACCACTGCTTTATCAAATTCGGATAATGTTGACATTCCATGACAAACAACACCTACATGTGTAATGGACATAAAAGTTGATACATGACTTCCTTTCTCACCTTTATGAATTGGACACTGTCCATTGTCTTACTTGAGAACTCTGCTCGAAACTGCTTCAAGTAGTTTTCCTCTGTAGGAAGAATGTTTTCGAGCTAAAATTCAGGGAAAAGACTACATAAGTAAGTGCTCTAGTGAAAACAAAATCGAGAATACTTTGTACATTATTTGGGTCGAAAGAGCTAAGGTGTTGCTCACGAATATCTGATCCTTTGAAAGGGTGTCAAAAATAATCGAGCTAAAAATGCAAAAGGTGATGGAAACTACTGTTGGTTTTCGCTTCATCGGTGACACCAACAAACTACCAGTTAACAAGGATCATTAAGCATGAATTGGAAGACATCAACGATAAAAGAGTAGCAGTCAGGAGTCATTTAGAGAAGGTTGATACATGAAGAAGAACCTCGTTAAGAGTCAAGTTTTGATGGTTTTCACCTGAAGCGCACAAAATGAAATAACAGTTACATCAAATGTATCCTTGTGAAGCCACAAAGTTAATTAATGGTACACTTCTGGTGCTTACCTCATCCATACTTATTTTGCCGTCACAGTTGTCATCATACTTTTCTAGCACATACTCCTTGAATTTCTCAAGTTCCTCTGGTGATGGTGTCTTCAAAAGGAAAAAAGTGCAGAGAAGTTTACTCAATTTTTACTTCCCGAGAGCAATGAGGCTTTATACAGTAGTTTGCCCAAACTTCAAAGCATGGCAAAGAAATATCATATTTTTCCTGCGCCTTTCGTAAGTTGTGTGATAACTTTTCAATTAAATCGCCTCTTCATGGCCAACTATCCCCAAAATTTGGATGTACATTGTGCTCCAAAGGTATATCTGCTCATCAGACATCTGAGATGCTTTGAGGCTTATTTCATCAATAATTTTAACATTCGAAATATGACTCGCTAAAGTGCAAATCTATACACAGCATATTATCAGAGAAGAACCTTAAACCATTAAGGCGCCGTTCACGTCTGTCTAGTTTTTTTACTTGTAAAAAAATAATCTCCGTGTCAAAAAATTTCCGGATACTTGTGGAAGAGGCGTGAGAGAAAACGCCCGAAATTCTCATAACACTGATACATTTGTGATTGGTTATTTTATATTTAATAAAAAAGACATGATATCGATAATTACCTCTCAGTCTGCAAGGAGCTGTGATCAATTTCAAACTCAACATGCTACCAAATAGTCCTTTTCATACTCTCATTCGAAGCAGTTTGCACAACCGCAAAAATTAAACAGAATCATGGGTGATATATAGAAAAAAATTCCCACAAAGGGTGAAAGAAGGATCATTATGAATGGTGCCCAAATAGGAGCTATTCATGAGATACCGATTTAGCCATTCAATACGCGCTATTTTACATCACCCGTTGTGAGTATTAGCCACATTTGTCCCCCAGTGTTTTTATGAAGATCGCTTAAAGAGATACCTTTATAAATTATTGATTCAATTAACTTTTAACCACAAACGGCCTGCTCGTTCATGGAGAGCGAACTATATAGGTAAATCTAAAGCCACACTGAACGCTAACCGCGTTCGAAACGAATTTTCACATTTTGCATATTCCCTCATGATAAATTTCCTCAAGTTCTTTATTTTCCAGGACGTACACAAAACGGTCGAGGGGAGAACGTATAGTGTAATACTACAGGAACATTATTCAATTTAGCATAAACAAAACGAAAAGTAAAAAGCCACATTAGTCGACAAAAAGGGTTTCTTTGATAAGATAAGATCATTCCAAGGTTACTTTGGTTACAACTGAACATTCTTTTTTACCGGCAAACCTCGAAAGTGCAACGGATTTGACAGATTTTTTAATGTTATCAGTCAGAAATTACTTTTATTTTGAAAGGTGTTCTTCAAATGCGACGTACCAATTTTCGATAGCTTGAACTGTGATTGGTTGTATTTTCTTCATTTTAAGGTCGAAATTGGATTCTGTAAAGAGGAGAAAATGTACGCCAAGTAGTGTCTTCCAATAATTCTTGAAAATTCGAAAGATAGTAAATAGCATTTGATTGACGTTTTGAACGTAGGGTCGATGACCCGATATCTATGGCGATAATTCCAACCAACGCAACGAGAGCAGATTTACAATGGCCATTGTATTTTGATAAGGCATCGAAGATAATTCTGCGGTGTAGCCTCCCTGAAATATTAATAAGGAACAAGAAAATCACCCTTAAAACGATAATTGCTACATTCGTTTATTATCAACACAGTGCGATGAGATGCAGTCCATAGATACTTCTGGATAAATAAACAAAAACGCCCTCACACTTGTCTGGAAATACTTTTAAGTAAATTTTACTATGCTGTCTATCTATATATATATATCTATATATGTTTTTTTTCTTTTTCGTCCACAACTCAGTAAGGTTTCACATGAGCCCATTTGAGTTCCACCGTAAACTACCGAAACGAAGTACATATAACAACAATTGAAACGTCTCTATCGTCCCTATAGGCTTACAAATCATTTAAGGTTAAGCTGCACTGATTAAAATTAGTAAAAATAGCAACATCTATATATTTCATGACTCTTGCTTTATTTCGGCATCGTTTTTTATCATTGATCGCGGAACACGATCCCATGAGATTTTAGAAGGCTCGTAAAAATAACTTTTTATATAAAGACTTGTCAAAACGAAACAATAAGATCTTTCCATATTTTATTTTGCAAAAGTGGAAAAAATTCATAGGAAAAAATTCAATACTGAAAGTAAGCGAGCGTCTCCATAAATAAATAATGTGCATCGTATGGAAAAGCTCTTCGACCAATAAAATCTGCTTTGTTGTCATAATTACGAAAGATCGGCGTGATAAAGGTAATGCGTAAAACGCCTTCACGATTAAATCTTTGCCGAAGATCAGTTCATCTTGAAAATGCAATTCACTGAGTACTTTTGCAAATGTGAAATTCGTGCTAAAAGATAGCTGTTTTCGAATCCCAAATGAATCGTTCTGTAATTAGCTCGCTCAGAGAAAAAACCCAAAATTCATTAAATAGTTATTAGGTTGGAAAACTTAAACATAACGAGAACCAACTGCTCACTACTAAAAGGATTCATAAAATACAGTATTTAATCTGTAAACTTTCAGGTACTTTTGTAAACATTTTATTAATGCATTCAGCAGGGCAAAAATTTTAAGAAATACCGCAGGAAACGCGTAATGACGTTAGCAAAGGCGGGTAAGAAATGCATGGCTGAGATTCTGTATTTAAATCATTTAACATTTTCTAAGCAAAACAACATTGGTTTTGTAATTGCTGCATATTAAATTAAATGAAAATTACAACGCGAGATTAAATTTATGCAATATTCACGGACAACTAAGCTAAATATTACAAGCGAGCCAGTTTAAAAGAATTGAATGTCTGTTCAATAATAAAAAAAAATTATATGAGAAACACTTCAAAATAGGAAATCCTCATGGATCAGTAAAACTATTTTAACCGCTTGACCTCGAAAACATCGAAAAGCTTACGACGATCTATACAAGATCGCCCCTGGAAGTTATTAAAATCACAGATCTCGAGATGAAAATTTGCCAGTGTGAGTACCTGATACGACAAGAATATTCACATTTGTTGGGCTTTAAAGGAAAAAGATACATATATTAACAGCGATTTACAAGATCATTTGAACAATTCGCAGAGTGCGGTGAAAAAGCCTCAGGTTCACAGTTCGTACCTAAATATTCTAAAATTCAATGTAATAAACAAATATATGTCACCGTATAAAGCGCTTTTATTACCTCGTTGCCTGTCTCCTGCAGGAGAGTAACCAAAAACGTATTCAGCTCGTCTGCTTCTATGTAACCATTCCCTGAAAACAAAAGAGGGATGCCAGAGAATTTTTTCATGTGACTCAACTAATCGTTCATTCAACACGCTCGAGATAGGCAATTTTTAATTCTACTTTGGTTAATTCTTACCGTCTTTGTCAAATTCCTTGAAGACTTTCACGAATTCTTCTGACGTTAGCTTCGCATCGCTATTAAATTGCAGCATACAAGCATCCTTACCGGCCTCCATGATGATTGCCCGCAAGACCAAAATAACATTCGCTCTGAGCGAGAAGCGATCTTTAATGTTGTGTACAACCCTGACGCATGCGTGCTGGGGCGCTTGTCTCTCCCGCTGATAATATTCAAGTTTGCGTCTGAGTGCCTGAGACAGGTGTAATGACTCCACGCAAATTTAAACAAAAACTCTGAAAGGAGAGCGCTTCTAGCAGGATTACCTCTTCCAAAGTTCTAAATAAGTGGGTATCGATTACATTTCAGGAGAGCAACGTGGAGAACGAGAGGCAAAAATGCACTTGAAATCATCAAGGTGGTCTCTGAAACCAGAGAAAAAGGGTCAAAAGATAAAAACACACATCAAAGGAGCTTTGTTTTGAATCTAATGCAAATCAGATATGCAAATCAACCAATGGTTATTTTAGATTCTAGTTTGAACAAAAGGTCCAAACGTTGCTATTCAAATGTTCTGTTCGAATTCGTGAATGATTTAATTTTTCTTTCTTCTTTGTTTTCTTACCGATGGACACATCTTCTCGTAGGATTTTTTTCTAAATCACGAGTATCATGTCTCTGTATAATTCATGCGACCTGGAACGCGCCTTCAGTCGAAGAAATGGAATTATATCAGACTTTTCGGGATCAGAAGTGCTTTACACAAAAAAGATTTTTACCTAAATTGTTTGAAGCGAACCGTTAACATAGTAACAAAATAGAATTCATGTTTTAAAACGATGTTGCGGTCACAGTGAACAGATTTGAAGGTTGAAGTAGAGGGGAAATTCTACTCGAGTCAAGTGGATAGAAGACGCTAGCGAAAAAAAAAATAAAAAAAATAATGCGACGACTCCTACTGAATTTAACAACTGGTCAATATCAAATTAAAATTCGCATCTTAAATAAATGAGTCACATTGCCTCGTACGGTGCAAAAGTTGACAAACGGAGATAAGGAAAACCACAATGCATTATGGAAACAAGCAGAAGAAGCCTAAAATTTTGGTGAATGTAGGCGAGACGGCTAAGAGTTGCCAATCTTTTTAAATGCACTTGTATGACCGAAAAATAAATCAAAAAGTTTGATAAAATAAATGACTGATTTTTTCAACTTTCGTTATCAGTACCGATGAACTGACAGAATATTTACGGAGATTAACTTTGTTATGCTGTTGTTTTCGGTAGATGGTTTTGATAAACCTCTAATCTTTTCTTCCTGTCAAAATTTAGGAACTAAATATGATTTTTTTTCATTTTGATAGATCTGGACAAGTGTACATGTTTGACCATGTTAACGTGTTAAGGAACCCTACGCCTGGCCTTGTGATGGAATAATATGGGAACGAAAAGTTAGTTGAGTATAGAAGTTTCTTAAGACAAGCATGTCACCGATTCGGGATGCAAAGTAATAATTCTACGTTAATATATCCCGCTGGATATGAGATCACAGATAGATAATAAATAAGTGGAAAAAGACCAATGCAGCGACGAATTGGAAACTTGTCAACCTTTTCCCATCGAGGATAAGTCGAATAATTGTTTCTTTTAATAGCAACATCATTGATTCCCTTCAATACTAATTTTTACTTCAGAGTTGTAAAGTTACAGCTTGCAAGCTGAATTAATAACCAGAACTGAGTTTATTTATCGGTTTGGAGAGGTGATAAAGGATAAACCCACAATTAAAAAATGAAATAATATATAATTTGACCGGTCAATGATGATTGATGAGATGACACCTTTATGTAAAGTGTTATTAGAGAATATGTTTTTTTTCGTTTTGGTGCAGGGGGTCAAAATGTAGAGACAGTATTAGAATAACTTTTTCTGTCACAAGGTGCAGAAAATCCAAAGCAAAATCTTCGATCGCGGATCCAAGTTGAGCGATGATGAAGTCGATTGTAATCTCTGATAATAAGCAAATCACTGTGGCATTCTTATTTTCGCATGGCGATCATGGAATTCACCTCTATCCAGGCGAAGGACCACCCAACAATCCGTTCAGGTGGAACACCTCGTTGGGTCCATACACTTGTATCTAAACTGAAATAATTGAAGGGAAAAAAAATTAAAAAAACAAAAAACAAAAAAGCAATGTAACCCTTTAAATCACTTCGTTGCTGAATTTAGTTGGCTATTATCCTATTGCTGAAAAAAAAATTGAAAGAAATCTGATCCTCAGAACATTTTGGACTCAAACGTAGCCTTTTTTTTTTAAAGAATTTTTGGTGAGATTCGAAACACTGTCCTTATAATAGTTAGAGTCAGTACCAATTTGGCGTTCGTTAACCTTACAGATGTTTAAATCAAGGTTTCACTCTGATTCTCCAATACGATAAAAATGACTTGTCACAAAAATATGGTGACATACCTTCCTTAATACGCATCTGAGAACCAATTAAAGTTCCTACGATGTTTCTTCCTCTTTGTACCAAAGCTTTTCAACATACTCTCGACGAAATCAGCATCTTTTTGCTTTGTGGACTATTGAAGTTAATGGTAAGGATAACATTTAAATCAGCTTAATTTAAATATTTCAATATAACATTTCAATCGACAAATGACCAACAAACAACTTGATTCTTGGCAATCAGTTGGTAAATAATAAATTTGACACATTAAAGTAAAATCGCTTGCATACATCCGGTGAAGAAACATTCCACCTTCAGCCACCACGAACAGGTTATCAAACGTATGAAGCGGGTAAGTTTCTGAAGAAACTGTAGTGCTGCGTTCTTTACGGAGGCCAATTAACGTTATCGACTCAGTTGATAACACTAAATTACACTATCAAATGTTTGAACATAGTTCTCCATTTTGAAATTAATACCTCGCCTTCTCGATTGAGTGATTCGCCTTTTTCAACAGGAATCTATTTTAAAAAATTAATCAACAAATCAATAAAATTAAAAAAGCTCAAAATCAAAATACCTATGTTAGCACATACTTGAAACTTGTATAAGAATCGGCTTGTTAGCAAGTCTTTTAGAGGAAGTAAACATGTTATTGGAGCTAACGCGGTAGTTATCGTTTAATGACAACAAATATACATGTCTAAGTTACAATTTATTTATAATTACAGGTTTTAATTTTTTTATTAATCAACGCTTGTAACTCATATTTTTTAACCTAAAATCAACCTTTAGTAAAGTTTAGGGTAGTTCGATAAATTGACTCTGAGTTCGTGCTGGTCAAGGAATAAATAAATAAATGAATAAAACAGCAAAAACTTACTTGAAAAGATGGAAGAGAGCCAAACGTCGGAGTTCTTAACGTGAAAGGTTCTTCTTCCTCAGACGACTTGTTTCCCTCTGTGTAAACAGTAGATCAAGCAAACGGTTTCATATTTTTTACCTAGAATTCTATAGAGTACCTCCACCTGGTTAACATACGCCCCTCGGTTCAAATGAAGGAGAGAGGCGAAGACATGGAGCCTTTAAATTTCTCCCTCGTCGTTGTCCTTCTTTCGATATAGCAGCTGTGCCTGGGTATTTTTGGCTGAATGATTTTAAAGTCTACTGCTTCACTTGCCGATCGCGAAATCCAAAGAACAAATAAACGCCAATTATCGAGGCTTGTTTATGCATCAAATAACCACTGAGTCATTGTGAGCAAACAACTTAAGCACAAACAACAGTTGCGCATTATTGTCCAGTATGGCCCATTAGACCATTTGACCAAGATGAATTACAATGCCGGAATTATTCTAAAAAAAAAACCATCACGAAAATATCAAATTGAAATCAAAGCACAAGATTCGCACTTATTGTCAGCGTACCTGTTGATCCTGACGTGTCCAGAACCAAAGGATCCTGTTGTGAGTATAGGAAAGTAGGCTTGGCCAGGGAAATAGTGAGCTATCGAATCACCAAAGACAAACAAAAAAAAAAGAACAGTTAGTAAATAGGAAACTTCCTTTGAAAGCGGCTGAAGGAAGTTATAAGACTTTGCTACCACAAGGGCCACGAAATCATCAGTTAAATTACTTTCTAAAGTTACACTTGCTAAATAAAGTCTATCTTAACATCTTCATTCTTCTACCAACGTAACGCGTTGCCCTGTGACTTACAGAGTTGTTGCATCGCTGACTTTGAGAGTAACCAGCCTGACTACTGTTGGGTGAGAATGATGTTCTATCTGCAAAAGAAGATTATATAAAAAGCATGTAACGCTATCGTATTCTAGTTTGGGTTGTGAAAGATCAGAGATCCCAAAATAGCGCAGCCTTTGATTCGGCTGAAAATTTGCAACTACCATCTCGGCGCCAAGAAATTTAGCCACGCTCCTGTTTGATTGTCCCTTTCACTCGTCTGTCTGTCTCTCCGTCTATCTGTCTTCTTAATACTTTTTTTACTCACTTACCTGGACTAACTGCACCGTCCCCATAAAATACTTCTTTTTCTTGCTTGTCTGATAGGTGTGTCTTGTGCGAATGATCCTCAGTCTCAGAATGTCTCCTTTTGATAGACTGACGTCTGTCAATTTCAACTAAATCAGCACTTAATTCTTGTGTAAATGGTTGAGATACACTCCAAGTGTTTTGGGAGAACAAGATATCAAATTCAACATTAGAGTTTACCCGGTTGGGCTGTTTGCCAGTTGATGACTTGCTGACGGAGTTTCCCCGCGAAGACGAAATGGTAGATTCCTTAGAGTTTGTGTTACCTAGAATATTCGGTTTGCTTCCCAAAATTAGAGTTGATTCTTTTTCTGCTTCTTGACATGAAAAATAACATGCCGTGTTAACATCAGTCCTCCTCGAGCTAAAAGACTGAGAACTACATTTTCGTCTGCCAGACAAAATTTTATACAGCGTAGTCTCAGAGTCTTCTTGAGACACTTCCTGAGGTTTAATCTTAGTGTAACACTCTGGAGTTGGAGAAAGAACACCCGATAAGCCGGGCGGCGTGGTGACTTCATCAAAGGAAACACTATTTTCAAACAATTTTTCCAACTGCGACTCCGATAACGAGCAGTCACGTTGACATCGCACAGGTGTTACATGGGGAAGTTGTGGTGCTGGGTCGAGCTCATGGCTATTTTGGCTTGAGGGCACAAAAGATATATCCTCGTCCTCCCCGCCGGCAGCAGATCCCCCATGCAAAATGGAGTACGATTCTTCGCTGCTTTCTCTCGGCTGTGAACCTTCACTCCAAGACAAAAACAACTCTTCAGGTATCAGCCCCTCCAAAGGTTGAATGGTGACGACATGTGCATGTGTTTGAGAAGACGGTATATAACTTGAGCTACTACTCACCAACGGTACGCCATCTTCTTCCTGTAGGCAACATCTTGTTTTCTCGCTTGTTTTAGCTTTCTCTCCGTTTTCTACAATACTTGATTGTTCTACTACAGACTTTACCTGCTCGTTAATTCCCACTTTATCACTATTATTTGAAATCTTATTTTCACGGATCATCGAAATAGGAACACATCCACTCATTTCACCCGAAGTCTCATTTCCAACCAATTTAACTCTTTTTCGCCCTTCCTGTTTTGACTGAGAGGCGAAAATGTCTCTAGTTTCGAGTTTGGTGATATTGTCCTCTACAGCTACGAGGGAGATTGACGGTCTCGTGAATGATGATTCTCTTCCAAGGGACGAGGGTTCGCTATCTGTATCGTAGGATTGAGGTGGGTAGTAACTTGCCTTCCATTCTAAATAAATAAAACAATCAAATTCTTACATACTCTTTTAATCTTTGACTGTAAATATATTTCTACAAATTCGTTTCTTTTAATCTTCATGGAAACTATTTTAGGGCGCTCTAATTACATACTACTTTGGTTAATATTCTCCAGTAAACCGGCTCATAACCAGTGATGGATAAGTCGATGAAAACTCTTGAATTGCATTATCCAATTATCCATTTTTTACTAACAACGGATAGCCTGTTACTTATCGTGAGACAAACTATCAAACTTTCATTTATCTGTATAACAACGATAGACAAAAACAACATCTTCTATAACAAAACTTATTCACATGCTACATTGTACAATAATCCATAAGCAGTAACAATGCATTTAATCATTTACCTGGAATCTCTGCTAGTTTCTTTTCCATTTCATCTGGTACAAAGACCTTTTCATGACTCCTAAGCAGAGTTTTGTTGATTTCATTGAAGTTGAGGTTAGAGCCATCTTCATGTGATTCTTGACAAGACTGTGCATTGTCTAGGAGACTTCTAAGCTGTGCAATCCACCACAGCTCCCTCAGTCGCTGCTGTAACGGAGGATATGTTGAAGCATCTGTAATATCTCCCCCAAACTGCGTGTTACCTTCTCCTCCAGCAAACTTAAAGTGGTAAATTTTGATCAAAAATTCAGCATCACCCTGAATGGAAAGCCCAAGTGAAAACCTTCAAATCAATAAACTAAATGCCACTTTACTCGTGCTTCCGTCGATTTCTATCCATTCCAAAATCACTGCCAGTCTACACTGGCAAGTGGTTAGCTTATAGAATTACCCAGGCTTGTATACCTTCCTACAGACTTGAAAACAGAAAAAAATGAGCAAAAACAATTGAGAAAGTTTTGTATAGAGGAGGGCAATCATCAACCTTTTTACGACGGTCAACTCTAGTCTCTGAAAGGGTTACCTGGAAGAGCCACTGAATTGGCTTGACTACTTATATCTTGCAACAGCTCTTAAACAACACACCACTGAAGCATTACTTTTACTGGTATACAGTTTCAGTTGGATCAGATGCCAGCCCACAATCATTAAAATAATTAGTAACTACTAAGTAATTGGTTAAGAAGGAATCAGCCCATGCCATCTAACTTTTCCCACAAAAAATAGGGAGACATGGAGTGAAACACAATGACTACCTCAAGGAGAATCAAAAGCAGAAATTTGAGATAAAGCTGGCAAAATACTGCGCTTTGGAGGTTATCTTGTTGTTATGTGACTGTAAAAAAATTACAATGAATGTAACAGTTGTATTATTTGGATTTGCTCAGGAGCTTTATATCATAATGGTCATCCCATGACACTGTGAAGTGGAACATGATAAGCCTGATTAAACTGCCCCAAGGGAATATTCCCTTGACTGCCCCATAAGGCCACTTTGAAAAACGATTAGGGTTATGCATGTAAACTCAAAGATTAAGACACTCATTTGGTCAGGAGCACATAAAACAAATAGTGACATACATTTTGCAAAACATAGGTGAGATAAAGGGCCCGATCTTTCAAAGGGTGGATAATGCTATCCAGTGGATAAATTGCTACCCAGCAATTAAGTGTCAGCAAAATCTACTATGCTATCCACCAGATAAAGATTTTTCCAGTGAATATAGTTTTCCATGTACCCTTTTAACAACTTGGGCCAGGTTTATAAGGAAAAATTGTAATTATGATTATATTGATCTGATCAAAATTTACCTACTAGTAGCCAAAACATTATATACACAAATATACTAAAAATTTAGAACATTTCTGAATTCTACACGTCAATGTTACACTTAATTAGCACCTCATTTCCATAAGGCATGATGAACTGATAGCAATGGAGGGTAACAGTATTCCTAGCTTCCCTGTGCATTGAACACTTTCAAATGTTAAAAGATTATACTACATGAAAAATTGATTTGTTATGACTAAAACACTCTACAAAGATTTTGAAAAGCCCCATCTTACCCAGTCTTTTTCTGCCATAACTTGCACAGAGTATTTCTTGATAAATATAAGTCCACCTTGGATGTCAGGTAGAGAAAGACTAGAGTTGTCTCTATATCAGAAAAAACAAAATGTAAATAGGATACGTTTTGAGCTAAGAACCAAGAATGGAAGCTTAAGTTTAAGAAAAGTAGGGCAACTAAAAACCTGATCTTTAAATGCACTTTCCTTTTAATCTCTATCAATGTAACCAGCGTCTTAAACTAAATTTGGGAAAAGTATCATATACATGTAGCAATAGATAACAAAAAATGACTCTAATTCAAAAACCGTATGCATATCATCAATTCAGGCATTAATAACATTAATAAGTAGACATAAGTAAATATCTACAGAAGATATCGCATCATAGTTTTTGGAACAGATGTGTACAAGAGGTAGGCATGATAAGAAAAATGGAGAAGATAATAAAATAAAACTGCAAAAACATTTAATCAGGGGTTTCCTTCTAACAGAACGCCCTTGCCACGAGATCATCGACTATGTTTACTTGTTCTCCTTAATATAGTTCTCACATCTCTTTCTCTATCCCTTGCAGGATGAAATCTGTCCCTTGAGAAAATGTTTGAACTGAGAAGGGCACCTATTTCATGGAAGTATTCATCCCTTCCCCATTTGTATAAGATCTACATTTTGAAACAAACATCACTTTAAACCTCTTGCGCTCACCTTTTAAATTGCTCAATAGCTGGTGTTGAGAACAAAGCTTTTACAAAAAGTTTCTTGTCACTAATCATTAATGCCACATTTTTGGAGGTTTCTTCAAGCTAAAAATCATAAATCACACACAGTTAGTTTAATTATTTGTCCTCAAGGTAATATGCTGAGTTTTCCATAAGACAGTTCCAACAGGAGCACCTCTTTAAGTAGCAGTTGAGACATGTCAATTTTATTTTCAACCATAACTAATACTTCTTTTAGTTAGGAAAATGAGAGGTTGTAGGCTTGTTCTGCTCCTCTCCCCCCACTCCCTTCCCAAAACTCCCCTGCCAATCTTATATTTCTGAAGCCCTTGCAACCGTTCATTCATAGAACATTTTAAGAAGGTAAGTTCTGATAATTTTCTTTTTCTTTCAAAGAGATTATTGAAAACAGCAACAACCTTAAAAAGAAACAAAGAACACAGGTACACATGAAATATTGACCATTTTGCAACCAATAGCTCAGTAAGTCTGCTTTACATTTCCTATCATCTTAGTTCTGATAATTAAGTGTCGCAATATTTTACATTTACTAATTAATATTTGTTCGCTATTCTCCTTACCTCTATATTAAGTCATATATCTTTAACGTGTAAGGAGAAATTATCGATCGACTACCATCAACATTGCAAAATTCTCGTATGGAAACAAAACGCTGTGATGAGCTAAAAATTTCTACCAAGAATAACACATCTAATAATATTCGTCTAGACTATTTCTAAAGGCATCAGAAAATCTTTGTACAATTACCTTGGTCAAATTTTTGAATAACGCGGTTTGGCGCCATATTTACATTTGCAGTTTCAACCCATATAATCAGCACAGATACTTAAATCAAAAAATGTTAGGGAAATTATTGTATTAAGTACCTTGATGACTTGCGCCCTGGCAATTTTGGGTAAACTCTTAGAGTCTGGGCTCCTCAAAGCTTGCTCGATCCACGGCTTGGCTATCCAAGAGGCCATTTTCCAATGTCTGGCGTTACGTTGGTTGTGAGTACGAGGGGGGAGGGGAGGGGAGGGACAGTGTAACGACAGGTTTTTTATTTATTTATTTATTTTTGCATCTTCACTTTTAACTAAGAGCGCATGAGCAGCTCGATTACCCTACGTTTTCGTATCATGTCATGACATACCTAAATCAAATAACGGTAAGGATTTTCCAGATGACAAATAAGTCTTAATTCTGACGGGGAAAACGGCTTTATAAACGCCCTCAGCCCAATGGCGGGAAGGAAATGTGCTCAAACGTGAAAATAAATGATTTTGTCGCACAGGGTTTTATCTTCTGCATGGTAAAGGATCAGAATATGTATTTAAGTAAATCACTGCTTGCTTTCGCTAAATAACTTATTAAATAAATTAAAGATTATTCATTTTCATTCAATTTTATTTAATTACCAAGTTGGTTTCCCAGGTGAAACTGAACACAAGCCCTCCTTGGAACGTCATGATACTGAAAGAAACATTTTTTTTTTATAAAAATATAACCACATGATATATAATTCCCAAAGAATTCAAACTAATAACCACTTCAATTTTCCTCTATTTACCTTCCTTTCTCAGGTATCGCTTGAACACTTAACCTGATGACTCGGGCCAAATATTTTACTGACCGGCGCTCCCTCAGTCATTATGTACAAAATCATTTTTTTTTCATGAGATACACTCGGCCCCAAAAAAAAGGTTCGTAGAAATTTCTATGAGGCCTCCCACTGGGTCAATAAGAAGGGTCTGTCCTACGGCCTCGGGTAATATTTTCAAGACCTCGCTCACAGTTTTTCAGCATACGGACCTCCCAGCCGGTAAATAACATATATGTATGTGCTAATTAAATTAATGGTGAATGGTATGAATAGACTGTTTATCATATTTATGTACCTAAGGAGATGGAATCGGGAAAAAAAAGTACATGCCAAAGTAGACTGATCAATCTGTGGCCACTATATCGAGCCATTAATAAGAAATACAGCTAGCAAATCCGCTGAGCTGTTGGCTTTAGAAGTAGCCCGTGATGACCAATACGATAAGTAATAAAAACTAGCGGCAAATATCAAATCATATGGCAATAAGACTTTTCTACTTCCAGAGATGAAGTTCAGTAACGCTTGTGCATGAAGGTAAGAATCCCTCTGTTGTCACTAAATAATGGCTAGAGGAAGTGTTTCTTCCACCTTGGCCGTTTTCAGTCAAGTTTAAATCGTAATACGTGATATGCGACAAAATTAATTAATTAAACTAAAAGCAAATATTTAATTGCATCGTCAACAACTCTAAATTGTTTCTAATTAGTTATCAACAAATTTTGAAAAACCATCGATCTATCTTGCAATCAAATTTTGCCTTTACCAGCGGAAAGAAAACTAATTAGTAGATAACAAGAAATGAGCAAAAGGCTTCGCTCTGACGAAGGGCTAATGCTGGAAACGGCAGCTTAAAAAATCTCTTTACGGTGCATGGCCAATTTACCTTATCAACTCAGTTGATAAAACCAACTATCTTGTTATACTCCTCCACCGACGCAGCCCCACAATTTCTTTAGGAACTCTCTCCGTTAATTAATAAACGGATATGGTTGTTTAAATGGACCTAATAAATTTTTTTTCAATTGGTTGTGAATAAAACTAGGTATACTAATTCAAATGACACTGAGAAGCACAGCATTGTGAACTCCTGCTCAGCAAGAATGGATCGACAACATCTTCTGCAGATATTAGCGCTCTCTTATCTCCTTTTCTTTCAAGCTGTGATTGGTACAGGCGAACTAAACGAAGTTGTAAGTCACTCAGCAGACATCTAGGGTTCTTCATTTTTCATAGTAACATTCCTGAGTTAATAATATAAGACACGATTTTGGGTAATCGAGTGGTGATGAGGGTCGGATGTAGATGTATATAATTTCAACGATGTATGCAATTTCTCAAATACTAGTTCACTTGCGACGACTCGAACGTCCGTTAACATTCCGAGTCAAAAAAAATTAGCTCCATATATATATACATCGCGTGCATTTAAAAAATTGCCAATTCACTTGTCTCCTAGAAAGTGAAAGTCACCGAGGTAGCACCTTTAGGATTTCCTCATCGAGTGGCATAAAATAACATAGTTCTATTAATCAACATAAAATAGCTATTCAAGTTTCATTTTCAATAGGAATCAAGGAAGAAATTCTGTTCAACTCAAGGCCCACCAGGCCCAGCAGGTCGGGATGGATTACCAGGACGAGATGGAGCACCAGGACGGGATGGACTACCGGGACGGGATGGTGCACCTGGACCCAAGGGGGAAGTGGGACCGCCAGGACCAGCTGGAATCAAAGGAGAGCCTGGGACCCAAAGGAGATGGAAACAGTGTTTTTGGAACCACATCAATTCTGAGACTGATAATGGACGAGTTCTAGTATGTATACCGAGAAGGTAAATAATCGGTGCTCACTTAAACTGAAGAGAAAAGGGGATAGTGGTCGCCCTTGTCGAGATTGAGTAGGAAGAGACCAAAAGCAATGTTACCTGCTACATCTAGACGCCTAATAAATTTATTATTATTATTATTATTATTATTTTTTTTTTTTAAAGAAATGTCCATTCACCAAGGCTACCCCAAACACATACCTCCGTGTAGTTTACATGGGTAATATTCGCGTCACCGGTTGCAAACACTGTTGCATGAGGTCGTTTTTCACCTTTAACGACATCGAATGCAGGGCACCCGAAAAAAAAAAATTTAAGCGGATATGCTTCTTTTAACTGAAAGTACTAGTAAAAAGTGTTTGCGAACATAATAGCATTATAAATGAAATAAAGTTAACTTATTCAAAAGAAATAAGTTCATTTTTAATCTCTCTTTGGAAGGATGAATCGATAAAATCTTCTGTATTAACGTGTCTATTTACTCCATTGCGCTGACCTTCCATTTCCGCATCGGTGGAAAGATTTAAGTCAGACAGTATAAGTTGCTGATACTTCGCACAAATCAGCAATTCAGCAACCGAGTCTGGCTGGCATATGATCGGGCCTTTCGCGAGCATACGGCGGCGACCAATCTGACCGTGCAGCTCTTCATTATTAATTTCCACGCTGCGGGTGCCTCTACTCGTGGGCGTGGCGAATTTGCTAAAGAATCGGCTGGGCCTGCTGGAGCTAGCAATTCACAAATTTTCCGCAAGTCGTGGAAAAGGTCGTCGCTCTGCCCCCTATTCCCAATGTCGTTTTTCGCATTGCCGTTCGAACTCTTCAGGGTCCCATCGTGGGACACCAAAGCGGAGATCCCAGTCCCCAGCGTCTCCACGTTCTAGCGGCAAGTCTAGACGCACCTGTGTTGGTTCTTTCATATTTTGCTATCCTTTGTTTTTCGGCTTCTGCGCTTCTTAGTTTTTGTTCAGCTATAGTTCCCTGTTGTTACATGTTAGGAGTAGGGTCGGCCGTGATTCCTTTGCCCATTGAAAAATGTTTCATTGTGTTATTTCTGGCTGTGTTTTTTCGTTTGTTTCCTACCTATGTTAAGGGGGAACGGTTCTGGTCCTTCCTCTTTTACCATCATAGGGTGGTTGAGGAGCTCTGATATGTGTCTGCTTGGAGGGGACAAGTTATGGCTTTTCTGATCCCCTAAGCATGCTCTCGTTTCTTTCCTCCCTTTTGCCCCGCTCCCTCCAGTTTCTGCAGTCAGTCCATTGAAGGTGGAGCAGTCCTCCTGGGAGTTGAGGCATCATCCAAATCCTCAGGATGAGCTTCGCTTTGGTTTTAAACTAGGTTTTTCTCATGTACAATTTCTCAAGCCTGCCTGCCTGTCAGTAAGTGATGAGTACTTGGCGACTGAAGTGTCCTTGGGGAGGGTTTCTGGCCCCTTTACCTCCCCTCCTTTTCCTCTTCTTCACGTTAGCAGTTTTGGGGTTATTGCTAAAAAGGGTTAACCGGGAAAGTGGCGTCTCATTGTGGATCTCTCCTCCCTCGAAGGGGCCAGCGTGAATGACGGTATTAACCCTGATGTAGTTACATTGCATTTTATAACAGTACATCAAGTTATTCGCATGATATCACAGTTTGGTCAAGGGAAACTGATGGCCAAATTCGACGTCGAAGCTGCCTATCGGAACATTGCAATTCACCCTTCGGACTCTAGGAATACTCACCAATGCTTCTGTCTATGATATAAGGGACTGTATTGCTCGGCCACAAGCCATGTGGGTAAGTTATGGCATTGCGGGAATTTGGATCTTTAGTTATAAACTTTAGGGTCTCTGTATCTGAGATGATATCTGCAAGCAGTATATCTGGACCTGTATATGCTAAAGCTAAACAGCTCGAAGAAATGATAAATTTTGTATATTGTCACAAAAAGCAAATGTTTCAAAGGTAGCGTTAGTGCGCGCATTGGGTTGCACCATGGGAGAATTAGGCTCAAGATAGCCCCTGTTTCCCTTTCTTTTAAATTTCTGATCCTTTTTGTCAGATGAATTCGTGTAACTTTCGCTTGGTGCACTTTTCCTTTGCTTGGTAAATGGTCGAGGGTGGGAAGGGGGGATGTACGAAGTGGACTGTAAAGTAAGCCAAAAGCAAACGTAACTTCTACTGTGGTTGAAAACCAAAAAAAAAAACAAAGAAAGAAGGAGACAAAGATTGTTTAGGAGCCAAGGTGGGTGGGGGAGGGTTAGGGTGAGGGTTAGGGTCCAGATAGAAATGTTTCAATTCGGTACCGAAGTTGAAAACAAAGATGTGAGATGTAGGTGGAGCATGTATGATAAGAGGATCATTAGATATTTGAATATAGTGCATGTTTGGTAATTTACGTATTAGACCCTTCAGCCAACGGTCAACTTGTGTTCAAAAGCTAGGGTTAATTTTGATGAATTGATATTTCCCTATTGCATAAATTACGAAATATCACTGCGGGCTACTGAAGTTATTAAGAGTATTCCACTCTTGTTTATGACAAAATTGGAAATCCCTAGTATAGTATTCGCATCATTTAGTAAGCTGGATGTGAATACGATGAAAGACGTGAACAAAAAAATATTCTAAAGCTGTCGAATGTTCAAAGTTATCAGTTCTAAAATACGAGAAAAAATTGAAATTTTTTAGAAAAGAATCATTAAAATGGCATCAGAACGATTATTAAAAAGTTGTTTTTTGGTCATGTAAGGATGTCAAGAAAGTTCGACTTTCAATGAAGCTCTCTTTATTTCAGTTCATTCTTCACACTTGGCAAAATTTTTACTCATTAGAATCTTGAGATACTGCAAAGCAAACATAAAACAACAAATGTCTAGCAAATAAAAAAATGACACCTGTGAAACAATAGCTGTCAAACAATAGCTGGTGAAAGAAATCGCTCTATAGGGTCCTGTGGAAAAAGAAATACTTTACAGCGAAGCAGTTGATTTTAAGATCTCTCGTCTGGTTGTTTTAAGGAGATGCCTGAGGCTATCAAGATCTTTCACTTAGAAAGGCATATTTTCAAATTTCTTTGAAGTTGTCAGAATCATTCATTTTAAAAGACCGGTGATCCCTCTCACTTTCTGTCGATTTTTTTTGTCCGAAATTTGCAATAGAGTTTGATATTGACTCAGGCAAAAGGAAAAGAAAACCGTTTGTCGTTAACCATTATCATCCTTGAGACTGCAGGGGTGATGTATTTTTAGAAACGAGAGTGAGCGAATGATTAATTTGTTAAAGAAGGAAAACGTGGACGAGAACCCTGCTGTTAAGTGCTGGTTTAAATTACTCTTATAACTGGCGAAATGTTCTCCTGGTGAAAAGATAAATAAATAAAAAAATAAAAGCCATACACGATACGAAGTAAATTTTTTTGATATTGCGTAACATTTTTCGGCTTTCCAAAGCAGGCTTGTTTGTACCGAATGAAGACATATTTGTACCGAATGAAGGCTTGTTTGTACTGAATGAAGGTTTGTTTGGCCAGCTGAAATGTAATATCCAAGGAAAACAAAAATTTTCCCCCGCTTCCAATACGTTTGTTCTCAGCGGAGTCGATGGTAGCGACTAAATAACGACTAGGGAGCATTTGTTTCAACCTCATCGACATCAGAATTTTTCAGACTATTTTTTCACTCAATTTACAATAACCTTTTCATGGCACTTTACCTGTGGGGGTTCAATTCTGCACCTGTTAAGTATAGAAAACTTCTATTAAAATTTCGAGATATAAACGTCAGACATCCCAAAAGCGAAAAACTTATCGTACTTTACTGAACGTGTTTCAGTCTTTGCAAGTTTATGATGTATTGTCTGGTTGTCTTCTTGAAGATTATCTCTAGAAATTTAGCAAGCATGCGCGATAGACCATTTGTCAGGTGTTCTGTAGAAAATGGGCTTACAATGCAAATAAACCGCCATCGATAATTTATTCAGTGTGAATTTGTGGGTTTCACACTGTGTGAAACGCTCATTCAATACTCGCTCACTCGAGAAACGTGTTGCTTCGTCGCAGTTGAACGTGAAAGAAACGTAAAACTGACGGCAAGAAATGGACGAACCGCTACACGAGGATTTTCTGAAGAAGGAAGAAGAGAAGGAAAGATGGTTTGAATATTGGGTTATTCTGAAAAATTGTGTTTTGTATTTTTACGATGATCGTACCGACCTGTGGCAAGAATACTGTGATAAAATTGAAATCACAGCGAACGCACGATGTTCTGTCGTGAGGCGAAAGACGTACAGCTATAGATTCAAGTTAGTTACCGATGAAGGGATATGGCTTTTGAAATGCCATACCAACTTGCAGAGACATCGCTGGATGCATGCGATCGAGCTAGCGATAAAGGAAATTTCTTCCGGCTCTGAATCAGCTCGACTTGCGACAGCGGAAGAATCATCGCGTGTGTGCTACTTCGAAACAGATTTATTTGGAAGGAGTCTCCGACGTGAAATGCGACAACGTGAAGCGGCGCGCGAAAGTAACAACAACGCAAATAACACGCTAGAACTCAGTAGGAAATGCGATTTGAAGAAGGAAGGAGAGCGAGGCGAAAACAGAAATTCAAGAAAGAGCTCTAGGTTCAAGAGAAGCGTTAAAAAGGCTTTATCGCTGCAGCAAGGTCTTGGTAGTCCAGAAGAAAACCTAGCTTTCTCGGACGATGAAGTCAGCGTTGATGGTTTTGCAAAGTTTCTAAACAACCATTCACAACCCGTAACAGGAGTGAAGTTAATTCGCGTGGTCAGTGCAAAGTGATCTGTGCCATCATGACGGAACTAGTTGCTACAGTTCAAAATCCGTGGCGCTAAATTTTTGCGAAAAGAAACTAGGTTACAAATGGTTTGCCTGATAATTGTTGTAAACTTAGAGAAATTTTAATTTTCTAGTCTAGTCCAGTAATTTCTAAGGTGGGTTATTATTTTCTTACATCTTCCGTTGTCAAATATAGTTTGCTTGTGGCTTCTCGTATTGATTACAAAAAATTGAATTTAAACTGGGGGCATCAAATTTGTCTTTACATGTAACAAGGTGTTTTCCTACAATGGCGATTATTAATTGTAAAACTAAAGCAAGGCAAAAAATTTTTGTCATTCATCAGTTTTCCTTCTAATAAATTGCCAAAACGAAGCAAAGAATCATCTTGTTTCTCACTGCATTTGCAGGCGTGTTTTGACTAAAAAATGATTACTTATACGGAAGCGATTTCTCGCACAGAAAGTTAATTTGAAATTTAAAAAATTTCACGCGAAAAACAAAGGAGGCAGACAAGAATACTTTCTTCAAGAAAATTTAGTCACGAGATAGAGAAAATACCAAAACATTTAAGGACCCACAGATGGTATCTGGCTAAAACTTGTCGTTATTATAAAAGCAATACTTTCTCTTAATAGAGGCCGCACTTAGTTTTAAATTAGTGATATAACACATTATGAGGGACCAGGCAAGATATTTAGTTAATTCTGTCTCATATAATTGAGGAGTTTTCAATTTTTGAAATCTCAGTTTAACGAACGCATTCTTTGTTGACAGAAAATTGCCAGAGTACTAGGGACAGAAGTACGCTGTCCGGAAAAACAAACATTTTATTTTATAAATTAGAGACGAAATAAGTGAAGTGAAATTCGACTGAAAAAAGTGGATATTACGTTAATATACTTTAATTTAAAAAAAAGGTTTTCTGGAAGTTTTATGAGATTCAAATAGAAAGAATTAAAAAAATTATCCATTAATTTATTAAATAAGTGAAAGTAATAAAAAAGGGCAGAAAAAAGCCAGTTGAATACTCCTCTAAGGTTTTGTACTCAAGATGCATCAGAATTCCTAATTTTATTGTCTAACTGATTAAAAAAGTGTATTGCTTCTTGTTTGTGGTTATCAATATTAAATGCTGGTGTGTTTTCATAGATTAAGAGGAGCAGCGTGGCAGAATTTCGTCATCCATTCAGAATTTATCTTCAAATTACAGACCATTTTTCATATCCTAATTAAGGGTGAAAACGCACTGGTGCAATTTTTGAATGTTAGCAAAGCAACGCATTCAAGGTGTTATCTGATGGCTTTTTTCTCCTTACACTGAAACTGAGTCTTATGAGCTGGAACCACAATCGGGGTTTTGGAATTTTTCATTTGGTTTTTAGACAAGACTTTTGCAGTTCTTTTCTGTCGCCATACAAATGATGCCGACGAGTCAGTAAAGTTAAAAGGTCTTACAAGGTAATAAAAAATGAGTGGAACACCTGCAAGTATATCAACATTTCATTCACCCGAACGTCAACTTGTTTTATGCAACGAAAACCAGATATAAATACTGTCACAGCGTAGAAATTAAAACTCATAATTTCATCAAGACATGTGATTGCGGCTATGGAAGAAAAGGGTGGTGAATTCGCCCCATTGCAAGTTCACCGCCAATCACCTTTGCAAGTTCGCCACCCTACGTAAAACTTATTTAAAACTTACGAGTCCTTACCTTGACAGCGTTTACAAGTTTTTCTGTGGTAGAAAAACGAGTCGAAAGATTTGAGGCGAAGTGGTTAAGGTGGGACGAATTTTTTTTATGTTATGTTCGGGAACGAACTTGCAAAGGTGGGGGGAACTTGCGATAGGGCGAATTAACCATAAACCAAGAAAAGAGAGTAAATGAAGATTAATTTTTCTCGCCCATTAACTGTTAGGCTCATTAAGCATTATAGCGGCACCACAGTTTCCACAGATGAGACCGAGATTGGAGGCCCAACGTTTGACTCGGCGGCCCTGTGTCCCCAGGCTATCGGTTATCATTGATGTCTGGCTTTTAAAGTTTGAATGCCTAAAAGCCTGAAATTGACAATTGAAAGGCGAGTTAACGCGTCGCTGCCGGACTTTTTTACAGGGAACGAGCCTGATGGTCCGACAAATATTTCCTAATTTTCTCTTTACGTCAGTAGCTGATCTTGCTAGAAAAAGCTTCCTTGGACCCGATACTAAATGAAAATGACGTTGCGTACACCTCGGTTATTCTTATGTTTAGAATTTTGGAAAAGAGGGATGTTCATTCTACAATCTCGAGCTGTATCTCGAATGATATTATATCGAACCGATGGAGGAATTCTGAGAATAAATTGGTTCTGAAGATAAGTTTTTCCTACAAAGTATCTTTAGGCGAATTTAAAAGTGCGTCATTAGAGCTTTTGAATGAGACGGGACATCCTAGAAAAGTAGCTTTACTGATATGATAGGTTTTTATTTTTATAACACTGTATTTAACAAATAGAGGAACCTTGACTGTGCTCTGCTCTGTTATAAAGCACGCAGGAGGCGGCTAGAGCACGAAAGAAGTGTAGGGAGAAACACTCGACTACGTCTCGTGTTTCTCCCCACTTCTTGAGTGCTCTAGCCGCTTCCTAAGTGCTTTATAACTGAACAGAGCACAGTCAAGGCCTCTCCATTTGTTTTATAATAAAGAATCCGTTTAATTCCCCAAGCATTACTTTCAATTTTCAAAACAAACTTTATTTCCAAAGCGAAAAACAGTGTCGTCAGCATGCTCTATTAGTTATTAGCTAACTTAGTTAGGCAGAATTATATATTTTATACTCTTAGATTAAGCTGAGGGATTTTACCGTGCGTAAACAATGTTATCTATTTATCGATCATTAATTAAGGTGCATATTTAACAAAAAGTTCAACTGAATGGAATACCATGGTGACAGACCTCATATAATCCAGTAGAGATGTAATTTTATATGCTCGATTTAATTTTGAATTTTAAGCCGCAAAGTTTCACTTAACATGTTGTGCCATAAAAATTCTAATAGGAATGCGATTTGAAGTGTTAAGTGTAAACATCTGACCAGGGACTTGGACTGGTCATTATTCATCGGGGTGCAAAAAGATTTTGGTTGTGTCATAATAAAATTTTCGTGCAATTTTTTTCCCTGTAGACTCCGAATATCTTGCCCTTTTTGGCGGCTAATAACCATTTAACCAAATGAAAGAGAAACCCTGACTCCCCTTCTCTCCACCTCCCTGCATGCCGTGCGCGCCATTTCCCCTTATCAGGACTTACGCTGTTTGAACCCTACTGCCAACAACAACACATCCCAAGTAACCAATAGGTGCATTCGTAGCTACTTTAAACGTGGATTGACAAACAAATCTTTGCTTGCATTGATTGTGATGCTGACTTCTGCTCAGGTTGTCGAAACGTCAGTCACTTCTATCGAGCTACCGACAATAGCTCAAGTTTTTCAGAACTTCCCTCAGCTGGGCGACTGTACCACGCCACCAACTATTTCTCGTGCAATTGCTTTTGTTTCAGTTTTACCGGCCATCCACTTTAGACAATTCCTAATCATAACAAAACTAGACCACGAGCCTTTAAGACCTACTCTCTGAAGTCATCGCTAAACGTTTTAAACCCATTTATTTTGTCTACAAAGGGTTCCCGCTGGTGAAACATAGAATAGGAGTAGATATTAAGTTCACAGCTCTATCTTATTTATCATTATTATTATTTTCATTTGATCTTCGTAACAATCTAGAGAAATCTGAAGGACAAAACAAATTTTTCGGCCTGGTATCAAAAAATCTTATTTGAATTAATTCTTAAATATTTTAATGGGATTGAATGCTCAGGTCCGTAGCCAGACTTCAGAACAAGACGAGGCAAGTTTCGAGCGCCGAAGACGCCAACTGTTAGGGGAGTCTTGGGGCATGCCCCCCCCATAAAATTTTGAAATCTAGAGGCTCAGAAACTTGAAACGAATTAACCTCATCAAAACGCTTTCCCTCAATATATCCACCTTATATTAGCTGGTTTTATCTTAACCAATTCAATTTTTTCCAGGGATTATTTTCTCAATTTAACGTTTCTTCAAAAAAAAAAGGCTAAAATCAAGACGAGGCAATTGCCCCGTCTTGCCTCATGCTAGCTACGGCCCTGATGCTAAGATTCACAACAATTTCAAAGTAGAGTGCGAGAATAATGTAAAGTCTGATCTCGTAATTAGTTTCATTGTTCTGCAGATAACAGATCGGTAACCAATAAAATGACTCGTGTGTCCAAATCTACATTTTGGACGGTGGTATTTGACATGCATGATTAGATCTGCTCAGCCGCGCGCCAATGACCTGCGCAAAATGTCAAAAGAAATCATAACAAGCAATCGCTGTCTTGAAAAAATGAGCGGAGGAAAATTAAAATGTTCTTACAAATTGTAAAAGGAAACAAAAGTAGCTGAAAAAGAAAACTCAAGAATTTTTAAACACTAGCCTTTTTCAAGAACGGGTATACTGTTGATTTATTATTCTGTTTTGACCTTTACCGAAAAGGATCATACACTTTTAACCCCTTTACTTCCCATGAGTGACCAAGAGAGAATTTCTCCTTACAATATCGATACGATATCAAGCATAGAAGTGATGAGAATGAAGTAAAATATCAATTTGGGAATTATTAGTTGATCCAATACCAAATTCACCAAATTGACATCGTAAGAATTGTATGTCAGACAGTAAAGAGAATTACTAATGAGATCTTGGGAGTTAAAGGGTTAAAACACCATGACTTACTTGTTTGTACTTTTTTTGTAACTTGTAAGAGACAACTTGGTTCTGAAACCTTGAAAATCAAAGCACCAAGTCATTTCGCAGACGTTAGACCGCTGTGTTTTTCTAGGGTCACAGTGTTCTGTCCATGATTACTAAACTATTAATTAATCCTTCCCTCTTCTCCAAGCCACATTCGGTGACTTTTCACCCATATCGCGTTCTCAACACAAGGCTTTGGTTCATAGAAATAAGGGTCGTGTAGCCTCCTATAGTCAAACGTGTCGTATTCACAATAAGAAGAAAACTTAGAGATGGGGGGCACAGTTTTCGCGCCGTCCTCACTCGTCTTGGCCAGTTGTAGCATGCGCGACGCAAACGCTTGATGAACTCCCATGTACGTTACACACACGTTTCTCGCCTGCCAATCAAAAGCCCTCACGTGATTCAGACGAACGTCATGGAAAAATAAACGACCTGATATATTGTTGAGCCAAATGCCGATCTGCTGGCCAGCGTGCGGATGACACAACATGGTACGCGCATCTTGGTTCAAGAATTTGTCAATAATGTCACGTGAAAACAGCATCCATGACTCGTCAATCCATGTCATTTGTACTTCACAGTGAAAATTTCCCCAACAGAGATTATGCTTAGGGCGCCAAGGTAACTCATTCAAAAGCTTCTTAAGACACACAAAGTAGTCATCGTCCGTGCGAAGAAAATATTGAAAGTCGTAATTGGCTGCGGCCCATTTGGCGTGATACAAGAAGCGCATTCCAAACTCTATCCCGCCCAGAAGCGGTTGGAACTCAATATCTCCATAACGGGATGTTTCGTTTGAGAGATTTTCTTGGATCGTCTTGTTGACGACTAGTCCGTCTGTGAAAAAGTGGCAAGCTACCTACACGGACAGTTATAATCTTTAGTACTGTATGGCCGAGAGAAAATGATGGGAAATAGAAGGAGGCTGTAGGTCCAAGCCTTGAGATATGTCAATTTCACTTCAGTTATTTATAAAATGTCGCTAGAGTGTCAAATGGAAGTATATCTTTCAAGATGTCTGTATCAAAGTTAATTTTTAACTGTATTCGGCGAGAAGTTCTTCATTCTAAAAGAAACCACTATGTTTCCCACCCCAAGCTAAATTAAGTTAAGTCAAATTGATATATCCTGGTCGAAACCCTGATATTCCTTCTTTGTCCCATTATTTTTACATGATATGGTGCACTGGATTTTAAATTGCACCGTCGAGCCTGGTAGTCTGCAATTAACTTTCTAATACTTGGTGGAGGAAGGATGTATTTCGAAGATCGAGTCCACCACAAAAATTCAAAGTTGTGAAAATATGTAAAAGCTTAAGAAAAAGTGAGAAGAACAAAAATTGGCTACAAAACTACGAAAATGAAATAAAATTCTTATCTTCGTCGCGGAGTTCAATGCTGCACTTAGTTTAAAGAAAGGCATTGTGGATATGATAATTTTGTGGACTGACAACTGACCAGGCACATAACTTGAACAATTGCGCTCGAGAGCGAGTCCAAGATACTTACTCATTATAAGGCTATAGTGCTTTCCAATGAACAAAGATTGCTGAAACATATCGTAACCTGAAGAATTATGAACAATTTTTTTGGAAGCTAATGAATGTCAATAACGTAACCATCAGGTTAGATTAATTATGCTCGGGAATTTCAGCATTGTGCTTTTGGGCTTCACCCTTGAATACATGTTATCACGCGAAAATAATACTCAAAATTTTTCATCATGCTCATTGATAATTCAATATGATGGCTTTTAAGAGCCCCAAAATCTCCCCCCCCTCCCCCCCCCTCACTTACCCTCATACCAACCACCAGCAGGGTAGGAATTCTTTTTGTGAATCGAATTCCAAAGAGCGAACTAGAAAAACAGCCTCACTGTTTACAGAATCCAGTCTACAGAATTCATGATCTCATGTTGAACTGTAACATCAAGTGAATTTTTAAGAAGTTTAGTCAATATGCTAGCATTAGGCTCGGAACCCTGACTATTGCATTAAACTAAAAATTATGCTGGCATAATTTACCTGACCCGAACCATGAGAAACAGAACTAACCTCTTTCACATTGCAGTGTTTCCACCAAGTCTGTCGTATGGCCTTCCTTCGTTCCCAGCGCAAAGGCGCTGACGACACAATTATCACAAGGAGAACACTAGGCTTCTCTTCCCTGAGGTCTTGGATTTGACTTATTGGAAGCCCAACCGTGACTTTAGGAATTGACCAGACTAGTTCACCTTGAATCTCTTGGATATTGACACGGAAAGGAATGAGATCCGGTTGATCCGGCATAACAGGTTCTTTTACCGAAGGATTCAGGTTTATATACAGTATGGGTACTTCTATTAGCAGAACTATTAGCAGAACAGCAAGTAGGAGGAGTTTATATCTTCGAGAATTGTCCATAACAATGATGAAGTTTGGTGGGGGACGCCGTTCAGTGTCAACGTCTCACAATTTCTGAAAGAAAGTGGCCTTTAAAGATATGACAAAGGTACAAGCAGTCTACCATTAGTTCCCTAAGACTTTCTTTCTTCGTATTTAGGTGTTTTTTACTGTCACTTTACCTTTTTTTTCGTTTTTTGTTACTTGTTCCATTTCAACAATTACAACCTTTTGGATAATTGTAACCGATCGAGAGAGAGAAAATAGAGAAGGGCATGATAGAGAGCTAATTAGATACCCTTTACATTAAATTACATCTTCTCAAACAGTTATACTAACGACGATATAAACGTTAGAAAGTGATAAAGGAATCACACTTTCAATCGCAAAATTACAATTTCCTCGATTGTGATTGGTTTAAAAAACCCATATTTCCACTTATTCTCTTACCAGGTTGTCATCAGACAGTTTGTTATCGAACAGTTCAACAATAGTGATTTTTATGATTAATCGGTAATAACACTTCGTGTCGTCCACTTCGGTCTGTAATCGTACTGGTGATAAACAAATCGGACTCCCGCTGCGCGGTCGTCCGATTTTGTTATCATTCGTATGATAACAGCCCGAATTGGACTCCAATCAGTTCTATTTCCATTACAAACAACAGATACGCAAATAGTACATAGTCGAAGGAAGACATTGATTAATACTGAGAAAAATAATACATGAAAATTGCTCTTTTTTCCTAGTAGCCTTCTCTCATACAGATATAGAAATATCATTTTAATAGTAGCATTCAATAACTGTTGGACAGACACTTCATCCTTTCACTCCCAAGATTTCTTTAGTAATTCTCGTTACTATCTATTACACAAATCTCATGATGTTACTTCAGAGAATTTGGTACTGGATCAATCAATAATACTCTAATTGATTTTTTTCATTTGTTAGAATCGCTTGTCTGCTTGAGATTGTATTGAGATTTGTATTGTGCGGAAAAAAATCTGTCTTGGTCACTGGTTAATAGAATATAACCCAAATAGATATTTTGCAATTTACCAAAGCATGGCAGAATACATGGTGCTGTACAGTTACACATGGCTACACCAAGATAATTACAATACTACAAGTAATATATTGGTTAAGATAATGAAAGAAAATTTTGGAATAATAATAATAATAACAATAATAATAACTAAAAGAAACACTACGGGCACTATGGGTTAAAGAAACAACGTCATAACCAAAAAAAATAAATCGCAAAAATACAAAATTTTGGCACAAGCATCAAGTGACTTTAGATAACATTGTCTTGACCTCCGCTAAACCCACGAAATAAGATAGTTGCTAAAATGTCTAAACTTGCTCCCATCACGTGGTATCGTTGCTCAGTTGGCAGTAGCGTCCATCTAAAATCTGGGAGGCATGGGTTCGAATTACGTCGAAGTAAATTTTTTTGGCTTCTATTCTGTAACTGCGTTGCCAATATACATGAAAAAATTACTCAGTTCTGATTGGTTAAGGTAAATGTAGTTTTCAGGTAATTCGATACAGAAGAGGGTTAATTCAGTGCAAAGAAGTAACAAACCAGACATTATGATCGGTCAATAATCAAAGAAACTCACAGATAGCCGATCAAATGCGAGCCTTGGATGTCACAACATTTGGATACGCTGAAAAATTGCGAGCGAAACAATTGCCGGCGTTTTAAGTAAGTTTTCTTTCGCCACCGTAACAACAATACAGTAACAGTAACAATACAGCAACTGAAAAAAACTGTAAAAAGTACTGCTTTTTAGTTGTTGGTTTGGAAAAAGTGGTGTTTAGAGAAGGGAATTGCTAAGGAAATCGAAAGTTACGAGCTTAACACTTTGCACGAGCGATTCTACGCCGAAATTAAAAACAAACATGGTTAAACCTCGCAAACGACGATTCCATGAAAGTGATTCGGACACAGACTGAACAATTCCTTGAACTTTTTGTGCAAACCAATTAAGTACTGAATCAGTGAACTGTTTATACAGACTAAAAAAATCCTGTATTTGAGCAATTAAATTTTGTTATCACAAAATGGATGTAATAAATTGTAATTGAACTTAGTGAGTTGCAAATTTGGTCTCAAATAATGCTGCTTTCACCATTGCGCCATCCTTGCTCCCCAAAATAGACACTGTTTACACATGAAAGAACTTTCCCGGCAAGATCCGCGCCCCATACCCCGGGAAAAGTGGGGCATTAAACTAGTCCTTCCTTTTTAATGAAATGGCAAATTTTCTACTCTGTGAGGCAATTTCTTTTCTAGAAACCTCTCTTTTGCAACTAAAGCAACTTCAAAATTCACAAACGCTCGACATCGACATAAAATCTATCTTCTTCAGAAGTTCCAGCAGTTCTTCTCAATAATTAAATTTTTACGAATATCAACAGCTATCATGTTGTCTTTCTATTGCAGTCAAATGACGAACTTTAATCTTGATCATTTAAGAGATTATTTCAGGTATTTCCCATGACACTATTTTGAAAAACCAAAAGGAGGTATATGTGCTGATGTTGTTGTAGTGCTTTGATTTGTTGCTCATCTCCAGAGGACACGCAGTACATTTGGATCCATTTTGAAACGAAAAATAAATTTATGGTTATGGGAGTGACTATTACACGTCAGCCCATAGAAGTCTCTAGTGATATGACAAATGTGGGATGATACGTGACAATTCAGGCTGGCGATGCATCATAGGAGTGTTTCTAGGACACCGTCTTCCTAACGCAACTTATTTGACCCCTTAGGATTGTTGGTGCATTTATTCAAATTTTTTTGCACAGAAAATTTAATCGGAGAAGAATTTCCATAAAACTTGACGGGTTACAATTTGCTTGAAATATCGATCGCATGAGAAGCTAAACCTAAGGCGTTTGATGAAGAATCGCATAAAAAGCTTCATCGAAAAAAAAATTTATGACATGAGATTGGGTATTAAAATAATCGATATGCACACTGTCTGCGAACGAGGCAAGTACAACAGCATGTATGGTGATTTAACGAGTTGTGAATAATGGACCCTATTTTCCGTGGTTTTACCAAAGATAGGTTTCGAAATTAATACTGAACGAGAGGTTACATGGTAATTTTGACACTGATAACGCGCCATAGTCGAGAATTTAAAACGGACGCCACTTAATGCGCAGATTGTATCATACATTTAATGTCTGCTTGCGAGGGAAAGAGTAGCTTTGTTTTCCAGAGTCTCAATATTTTCCGAGACGAAATTGCGCGAAACTTTGAGAATCGAGGGAAACAAATCTAACTGTTTCCCTTGCAAGCAAACATCAACGCTTCGTTATACATCCACAGCACGGAAATGATAGACAGACGAACGAAAGCGTTTGCAACACTAAAATATTTGGAACCTTATTTGGAACAACGAGGAAGTAGTCGATTACATAAATGAACCTATATTTCTAGCTATAGCTATCTAGGCAGTCAGGACAGCAACACCGAGGAAGAGGTCCTTTACAAAAATGAACCTATATCTCTAGCAATAATTTCGCAGATGGCTGGATGTACTTAATGTCTCCTACGGCACCATAACTCGACTACCGCACAAAATTTGTGATCAGCGCAGCGTTAAATCCTAAGCGAAAACTTCCTCTTCTCTGACAACGTAAATTTCCCGAATTTTTAAACGCACAAACCGAGCTGTCCTTCTGCTCATTAAAGAATTTGTTTGCCACGTCCTCGTTACCATCGTGGTTTACTTAGAGTTCACATAATTTCTTGTAAACACTGCAAATTTACCTTTAATCGTATTTTCGGAGTCCTGATGCCCACCAGTCAATGTCGTCTTTCAATAAAGTAGGAATGGAACAAAAAATAAATTTATGGTTATGGGAGTGACTATTACACGTCAGCCCATAGAAGTCTCTAATGTATGACAAATGTGATGTGATACGTGACAATTCAGGCTGGCAATGCATCATAGGAGTGTTTCTAGGACACCGTCTTCCTAACGCAACTTATTTGACCCCTTAGGATTGTTGGTGCATCTATTCAAATGTTTTTTCATAAAAAATTTAATTGGAGAAGAATTTCCATAAAACTTGATAGGTAACAACTTGCTTGAAATATCGATCGCATGAGAAGCTAAACCTAAGACGTTTGATGAAGAATCGCATAAAAAGCTTCATCGAAAAAAAATTTATGACATGAGATTGGGTATTAAAATAATCGATATGCACCTTGTCTGCGAACGAGACAAGTACAAAAGCGCTGTATGGTGATTTAACAAGGTTTGAATGATGGACCCTATTTTCCGTGGTTTTACCAAAGATAGGTTTCGAAATTAATACTGAACGAGAGGTTACATGGTAATTTTGACACTGATAACGCACCATAGTCGAGAATTTAAAACGGACGCCACTTAATGCGCAGATTGTATCATACATTTAATGTCTGCTTGCGAGGGAAAGAGTAGCTTTGTTTTCCAGAGTCTCAATATTTTCCGAGACGAAATTGCGCGAAACTTTGAGAATCGAGGGAAACAAATCTAACTGTTTCCCTTGCAAGTGAAACATCAACGCTTTGTTATACATCCAAAGCACGGAAATGATAAGCAGGCAAACGAAAGCGTTTGTAATACTAAAATATTTGGAACCTTATTTGGAACAACGAGGAAGTAGTCGATTACATAAATGAACCTATATTTCTAGCTATAGCTATCTAGGCAGTCAGGATAGCAACACCGAGGAAGAAGTCCATTGCAAAAATGAACCTATATCTCTAGCAATAATTTCGCAGGTGGCTGGATGTACTTAATGTCTCCTTGCATTCTTCTCCTTGCACTCCTCCTCTCCAGCACCATAACTCGACTACCGCACAAAATTTGTGATCAGCGCAGCGTTAAATCCCAAGTGAAAACTTCCTCACATAATTTCTTGTAAACACTGCAAATTTACCTTTAATCGTGTTTTCGGAGTCCTGATGCCCACCAGTCAATGTCGTCTTTCAGTAAAGTAGGAAGCACTGT